GCGCGGGAACAACATCATTGTCTGATGGCTTTGCTATCGAATCGAAGACGATGCGCCGCGCTGCTGGCGACAGGTCTTGCCGTGCCGCAACCGCTTCCAACAACATCGAACCACTCCGTCGAGCTTCAGGTGAACTTTCATGGTGGAAGAGATACGCCCCTGCTTCCCAGAGAGCAAGCGACTGTTCCGGAGTGAACCACTGGAGTGACTTTGATATTTGTTCCGCCTCGTCTACAGCGTGGCTTAGAGACTGCCTCTGAGCCAACGTTCGGACTGCGGTATCGAAATCCCGTGCACCAGAGGTGTCGGAAGAACTGGATACGACGCTGCCACGATGCATTGAGTCAAATCCCAGTACAGTCCGACTGATTCTGCGTCCATCCGATGAATGCGATAAAGAATCACTGCTATCGTGGAGCGAGATTGGAGAAGGTGACTTTGGGCGGGAGATGCTTAGTGACTTGAGTACGTCGACAAAACTTGATGCTGCGTGCTTGGTATAGTACGGGGATTGAGCATCGTCAGAAGACATGCGTCCCAGCGGACGAGGGGGTGCGTATGGGTTTCTTCAGGGCAGAGGATTATTATATCTGTCCGATGACCGGTCAGCGACGGGATTGTGACTAGAGGCCACGGAAGGTCACCGGTCAGCTGGAACTGACCAGCTCTACATCGGCGATCCACTTTACGCAAAATCTCACATACCATTGGCAGGTCATATGGATGGATCAGGGACGTGAAAGATCCGCAAAGGCGTATATATGAGGCTTTTACCGATTGTTACACTCGGAGAGCTGGTCCCAGCGGCATATCAGTGGGCAACTAGTAGTCGGGCAACCGGGGTTGGAAGATCGGTCAAAGCATGTATTCCAATTTCAGGCAAACAAAGGAATGCTGCCGAACAAACACAGCCGAGAGAACAAAGAGACAGGGAAGCTAAGTTGATACTTGGAGATATAATCAGAGCAAAAGTGCGCCAAGCCACTTTTCCCCTCCGAGCAGCGATGATGATGATCTGGCGGAGGTCGGCAAGGCTTTGATCCGCACCCGGTCACCTGATGGGCAGAATCACCCCGCGACCGCCGCTCACCGCCTGGATTTTGCAAAGCAACCGCCAAACAAACTGCCAGTCCAGGAATCGAGCTTCCACCCGGCTTTTACTGGAGCCATTCTTTAATATACCCTTGGGTTCTTTCTCTAGAGCAACCCGTCCTAGCTCTGCAAGCTTTTCCCTTTAATCTTCTTCAACAACCTGCCTTTACCCCTTAATTTGTACCACTTTCCCACATATTCCACCTGCGCCGCTCGCTTGGCTTCTTGGTAACATCCCCGCTTCAAAATGGCTGATGGTCTTGGGGCTGTTGCGCAGCTCCTCGAGGCAAGCTTGGATCCCAGGCAGAACAAGCAAGGTCAGTAAATTTGGTCACCCTATTGCCTCGAATACTCACTTCCGAGCCATTTGCAAGCTTTGATTTTTACATTGCATTAATCAAAGCATCCTTAACTGATTGTGAACCAGCCGAACTTGCTCTTCGCCAGGAGGAAAAAAAACCGAACTACTCTCTGCAGCTTCTCCAGATCACGGCTTCCGCGTCCTATCCTTACAACACCCGTTTGGCTAGCGCATTATGCTTCAAGAACTTTATTAAGAGGAACTGGACTGATGAAGATGGAAACTACAAGCTCCAAGCGGAGGAGGTAACTACCATCAAGCGGGAGCTGATCAGCCTGATGATCTCCGTCCCCACGGGCATCCAAACACAACTGGGAGAAGCTGTTAGCGTTATCGCCGACAGTGACTTCTGGGAGCGATGGGATACACTTGTGGATGTAAGTTAGAGAGGTGTCATGTTTTCGGCTTGTGCGCGGTCAATTGACGTCCCCAGGATCTTGTTTCTAGACTCCAGCCGAACAACCCCGCTGTCAACAACGGCGTACTCCAAGTCGCACATTCCATTTTCAAGAGATGGAGACCCCTTTTCCGGTCGGATCAGCTGTACCTGGAAATTAATCATGTTCTCGAAAGATTCGGCAGTCCTTTCTTGGCTCTCTTCGAGGTAAGTTGCATTGTATTCTAAAACATGGGCCATTACGAGGCCAAGGATTTCTGACAGCAAACTGACTTCCTTATAGGGCTTGGATGCCTACCTTGAGGAGAACAAATCCAACAAAGAAAATCTTGTTCAGGGATTCACGCAACTCAATTTGATGATCAAATTGATGTATGACCTTTCTTGCCACGATCTTCCTCCGATGTTCGAAGAAAATATTTCAGGGATAGCCTCGCTTTTGCTCAAGTATCTGACTTACGATAACCAACTCCTGCACACCGATGACGATACCGAAGCAGGACAGCTGGAATTTGCGCGTGCTGGAATTTTCCAAGTCTTGACTCTGTACGTGCAAAAGTACATGGATGAGTTCAAGCCTCACATTGGACAATTCGTGGAAAGCTCGTGGAGCTTCTTGACACTTATCGGTCAAGAAACCAAGTACGACATTCTGGTCAGCAGGGCTCTGCAATTCTTGACTTCGATTGCGGGCATGACCGAACATGCGGCTGTATTCCAGGCCGAAGACACCCTCGGTCAGATCATCGAGAAGGTCATTCTGCCTAATGTCAGCTTGCGTGAATCTGACGAGGAGCTTTTCGAGGATGAGCCTATTGAGTTCATCCGTCGCGACCTGGAAGGCTCAGACAGCGATACCAGACGACGTGCCGCAACCGACTTCCTGAGACGGCTTGCCGAGAGATTTGAGGAATCCGTGACGAGAGTTGTTCTCAGATACACCGAGCACTACCTTTCTGAATACGCCAAGGCTCCCGCCGCTAACTGGAAGGCCAAGGACACTGCAACCTATCTCTTCTCTGCGATTGCAGCGAAGGGAACTGCTACGTCAAGCCACGGTGTGACTGCTACGAACAAACTCATTAGCATTACCGATTTCTTCCAGAAGCACCTTGCGGCTGATTTGATTAATGATGAGGGTGTACACCCCATTCTCAAGGTCGACGCCATCAAGTACCTCTACCTTTTCCGAAGCATTATCACAAAGGAGCAGTGGCAGGAAGTTCTTCCTATGTTGGTTAAGCACCTCGGCTCCTCGGAATATGTCGTTTACAGTTATGCGGCTATCGCCGTGGAGCGTGTCCTCTACCTCACCGATAGCCAGGGCCAACCGATCATTTCCCCCGCTACTATTACACCGCTGTCTAAGGACTTGTTGGAACACATCTTCTCCTTAATCCAAAAGGACCAGGCCCCTCAGAAAGTGCAGGAGAACGAGTTCCTGATGAGATGTGCCATGAGAGTTCTGATCGTCATCAAGGAGGGCATTGTGCCGCACACCGACAGTGTCCTTCAGCACCTGATCGCTATCACGAAAATCATCAGCAGCAACCCAAGCAACCCCAGGTTCTACTATTTTCACTTTGAAGCGCTCGGAGCTTTTATCCGGTACGTGATTACCAGCGATTGCTCGAAATTACAGTCACTAACCAATGGATTCTAGGTTTGCGGCCCCTGCCAACCCCGACAAACTCGAACAAGCTCTTTACGCTCCTTTCGCAGAGATCCTCCAAGGGGATGTGCAAGGTCAGTTGTAAACCATAGGGAATGGCACTACGAGCCATGGCTAACATATGATCAGAGTTCATGCCTTACATTTTCCAACTCTTTGCTGCACTTCTTGAGGCGAACCCCTCAGGAACACTACCTGACTACTACCAGAACCTGATTGCCCCGATCCTTATGCCTGTCATGTGGGAGTCGAAGGGCAACATCCCTGCGCTTGTGCGACTTTTGTCGAGCATCATCCACCGCGGATCTCAATACATCATCCAGAATGAGCAAATTGCTCCTGTCCTGGGTATCTTCCAGAAGCTACTCTCGACCAAGGCCAATGAAGGTTATGGATTCGACCTGTTGGAGTCTGTGGTTGCAAACTTCCCTCCGTATGTGAAGCCCCGGTGTGATTGTCGATGCATTAATTTACCAACTATCTTCCAGGGCAACACTGGAACAATACTTTGTTTCAATCATGCAGATCATCCTTACTCGCCTCCAGAATTCCAAGACGGAGAACCTGACCCTCCGATTCGTCCGTTTCTATCATTTTGTCTCTGCCCAGGATGACAAGGGCTACAGTGCCGACTTCGTCATCCAAGTGATGGATAAGGTCCAGCCCGAGTACGTAAAATCCAATCCAAGCGTGGGAGCTAGCATGCTAACTGCCTCCAGGCTGTTCACTCCCATCTATCTGAATATCATCCTTCCCGAAACACAAAAGCTCGCTCGTCCGTTGGACCGCAAGACCGCAGTGCTATCATTTACTAAAACTCTTGCTAACTCGGAAGCCTTTGCGAACCGGTACAAGAAGGGATGGGGCTTCACATGTGAGGCTCTTCTCAAGCTTCTGGAGCTGCCTCCTCTCCCTGCCAGCAAGGATGACATCATCGCCGAACACGATGTGGAGGATATGGCATTCGGTGTTGGTTTCACAGCGCTGAACACTGTGCGACCACAGACCAGGGACCCTTGGCCAGACACGGGCGCCGACCTGAAGGCCTGGACTGGCAAGTATCTGAAGGAAGCGGACAAGAAGCACAACGGACGCATTTCTGGCTTTGTCCAGGAGCGTCTGGGAGCCGAGGCGAAGACAGTGCTGCTTAGTTATATCGCATGAGCAGGCTAATGGGGCCAGGTGCACTATTTACTGGGATGTATAAAATCCTATGTCTGATAACTCGACCGTCTTTGCATTTTGCCAAAAAGAAATCATGGAGAAAGTGTTGACTAGCTTCAACCGCTCTATTGCATGTCCTTATGAATTGAATTACACTTAGATGACACTGATATGCCTCAACTTCCTCGTAGTCGATTTCCCAAGTACTAGTTTGTTCCCGTTTTATGTAAGTTTAACTACGTTTGGAGAGCGACAGCGTGCCTTGCTTTAGTGTGCGAATGTAAAACGGTGGCGCACGCGATGCAGAAGATCATTTACCTCTGGCTCCGCGCGCTGTCCGGGACATGCTCCTGCTGTAGATTTTGTTGGGCTGCCAGTTGATGGGGACTCTGTATGTCTGCTCCTTCTACTTCCGATTCGTGCTTTGAATCAGCGGACTCCTGTGCATCGTCCTCTTCTGCCTCTTGACTCTCCTTGCCATCTTCGAGCTCACGATACTTGCGCCGGCTCTTCTTCATTTTACTGGCCTTCTTTTTCCTCGCGCGGTCGGCCTTGATGGCCGCGCGACTTTGGTCCCCATGTAGGAGCTCTTCCACCTTGTCAGCAAGCAGCTGACGAGCTATCTTCTCATTCTGGGAACGGGATCGTGTGGCTTGAGATTTGACCACTACGCCCGTTGGTTTGTGTATGATCTGGACGGCAGAGTTGGTTTTATTCTAGGCATTGAAAGGAGAAGCAAGTTAGATAAGTTCAAACAGCCAAGTAAGAATGGAAGGAAATATCTGGTTGGCATACAATCTTTTGGCCTCCAGGGCCAGTACCCTTGAGGTATGAGACTGTCACGTCGGCATCTTGGATCTTCAGGCGGGGAGGTAATGCTTTGTCGGCGAGGGAGAGCGCAGAGAGGGTGAAGAACCTCGGGGTCGGGAGGTAATTGGATTTGAGAAAGGGGCGTGTGATGTAGGGGGTCAAGTGGAGGGGACGGAACATGGTGATCTGAGGCGCCTACTACTAAATTCCATCTGGAGTACTCAGCGTAGGCTCATTGCTTGATTAGTATTACATGAAGCTGGCTGGTAATTGGCGGCGGCGGCTGCTGCTGCTGCCTGCTAGTACTAACTAGTACTAAGATGCCCGCGGCACGAGAAATCATCGCTGGATCTGGACCCGTTTTACAAAACCATACCATTGTTACCATCATTTGGTCGGTGACTAAGGCAATTAGTACAGCATCAGGTGGCTTGAAGAATACTGACTAAGCGAAAACACCATCAACTGAGGTAAATTGCTGTTTATCCGAGCTGTAACCACAGTTAACGACTTTATAATATCTCTTTCTGCTGCACTACCCCCCACTGGGTAGTAGGAACACAACTGCTTTCTCCCCTCTTCTTCCATCGGAACTGCCTCTCTGGTTTCCAACCAAGATGGAGGATTGGATTTGTCTCACCCTTTTTCACCCTGAATCTGCTTGATAGGCCTGACCGAGCGGAGAGGGTGACGTACGCCGCCCAGTGGATGCGCGGACGACAGCCATCACCACACGCCAATCAGGGTCAGATCGCACGGGAAAATCCTCCCCATGAAGGGAAGGCAGGCAGGCATTTGTTCCAGTGAACTGGATGCTTGAGCCCTTCGCACTGGCTGCGGGAGAGAGAGTCTGAAACTTTGCACGCTGCAATCCTTCGGCTGGACCCTGAGAGGAGGAAAAAGTGGACCTGGTTTGGTTCTCTTCCGTGGCGGTGGATTGATTTGACTTAGTCTCTGCGGCCGATTTGAAACAGTGTCCAGATCGCAAGCATGGACTTGACGGGGGCGCTGGCCTAACTAACTCGTATTCGTTAACTATTCACTTTAAATTATATGACTGTCTGTTCCGTCCGGCTGTGAAGCTATTCTTAGTTGAGGTGGCCTTCCTGCCTATTCTTCCCCATTCCTGTTCCCCTGGACTTATCTGAGCTTCTTCACATGGGGGGCTAATTCACTGTTCTACTTTTCTCTCCCCATCACAGCCTCCGGCCAAATTTCTCCTCTTTCGTCCCTTTCACCGACTGGACTGACCAGCTCTCTGTCGATCAACCCACATCGTGTTGGGTTTTATATAATTTTTCCCTATTATTCTTTATTTTCTTTTTCCCCCTCTGTGACCTGCCGGCTTAGTACTTGATCTTTTCTTCCATCAACAACCGACTGGACAGATCATGGATGCCTAGTTGAACTTCCAAATTATCTCCGTCTTTCTAATATTCCTTCCCCCCCTTCCCAGCGCGCTTGGACAAATTGCTTCATCACCGTGGGCGACTGCGATAATACTCCAAAGGACTACCAGGGCAGGAGCTAATCTCACCCCTCATCACCGTTGGATTCTGCGCTTTTCTCCGCTTGTCACTTTCGTTGACCTCCTGGCTCGCGGGCGGTCCCCCTTTCGTTCAATCCTTTCAAGAAAAAACCCGCCTCTCTCCACCATGACTCTCTTCTGGATCCTGAACTCTTTCATGCGCTGGGTGCGCTTGAAGATATATCAATATGAGGTGACCTTCGCCGTGTACATGCTTACGCCTACCGAAAAGTTCATTTTTAGTACGTTCCCCCGGTTGGAACCTGGCCACAAGTTTCGAGCTTGCATTTCTTGCATTAAAGCCGCATGGTGCTAACAAAGAACGTTCTAGATTCCCTTCTCCTCACTCTCCTTTCAATGATTGTAACCGGCATCTACGTCTACCTTCCCGATCATATCCGATCCATTTATAGTCACCTTTACTACTACTGGGCCGGCGAGCGTCCGTTTATCTCTGCAAGCCTTCCATCAATCAGCTCCGTATTCCGGGAGACCGGTACCCAGACTCTAGGAGTGATGTACGAGACGGCCAAGAATGCTGCTGCGACGGCCACTGCTCCAATCGCTGAACTGTGATATCTCCCCGCTACAGTAGCGATACGGGTTGGTTTCTCGGTGTTGGTGACGATTGTGGGCTGCTGGGTTGGGTCATTTGGCTTCTCTGTTTCTCCTTGTGATACCATCGGGGCTTTCTTGCATTTTGCTATTCGTATCAGCATATTGCTGCCATTAATCATCCTCTATGACCGCATACCTCTCTTGTCCTCGAGCATGGATTGCATCAGCATTTCACGATTCACCGTACTGCTCCTCCACCGAACGGTTCCTATCGGCGTTGTGAAGTTGTTTCATGGAGTTTGAACGATACTGTTCTGAGCGGGCCGGCGCATCCTAGGAGTTCCATCATCTTCGTTTTGTTTCCTCCCCTGGTTCATACTCTGCCTCACGCATATTGTTTATACCTTATCGAGGCAATCATTGTTACGATCACATACTTTGCTGCTCTTGTTACTTTCGCGACTGGACGCTGGGGCTCCACTGACTGCACATCTTATAACATATAAACTCATAATTCTGTATGGGGCACGACAGTAACGCCGAGGATAGCACCAAATCCTATAGGATGCTATGATGCTACAAAGTTTTGCACCGCTATGCTCAGCCGAGCAGAAACTTTTGCTTTGATATTGCGCCAGACTAAAAGTACATATAAGTTTAACATATGTAAACAAAAAAAATTGAAGTTACCCAATTCAATCATCAAACCCATCGCCCAAATGCAACTCCCGCCATGCTCAGAGAAGAGTGTTATACAAAACCAAAAAAAAAAGAGCCACCACCGTAGATACGCGAGTAGGACACGGTGCAACATCGCTTCCCTACCCCTCTTAGTCGCACATCCATACACAGGACGCGTGTAGCATGTTTCAAGGTATACATAGATGCCGGCTCCGAACGCATCCGCGACTGTATTTCCCGTTTCCTACTCTGCGTAGAGACTCACTGATAGCCCCATCTCTATATCAAACACAACCGCACCGCATCAAATTACCCGAGTAGTTGGTTTACTCTGCATTCGAAGATGCCGCCTGGATCTGAGCCGGAGCCTGAGCCTGAGCCTCAGCCTCCAATGCCTCGCGCCGCTGTCGCTTCTCTCGCTTCACTGCATCCAACATGCGCATGCGTGACAACTCGCGGTCAATCTCTTCTTTCTCAAGGGGAATCTTGTGCGATTGCTCGGTTGTGGGCCAGAAGCCGGGGACGCTGAAGCGGTCGTCGAGGTTCGTGCCGAAGTAGTACATCCAGCCGATGGGGAAGATGATGTACATGCCGAACTAGAAGAGATTAGATTCTGCCTCCTTTGGGAATGAGGCATTAGTGCTTTGCGTACCTTGAAGACCTCGAGGTTGCCTCCCTGGAGTCTGCGGAGGATGGAGGACATGGTGGGCTGTTGTTGGTGGGATGGATGGATGGGATCGGATGGTAAGTGTGGCTTTGGTATTTGATTCCACAGGTGTGTATGGGTTTGAAATAAGTGTACTGCTCCGGGATTGAGTATGCTAATGTCGAGCTACAAAGTTGTGTGAATTCTTCTTGATCCGTCACCGACGACAAATTATCTGGGCTGATCGTTCCGATACGACGGATTATTATCACGGAGCTTCTGACATGCCGACCACACCTTGCAAACAGAGCAAACGTTCCACGTGCTACAAGTCAGGTGACATCAATTACTCATCAGGACTCGGCCTGCCGTGGGCCGAGGCACCTAAGCCTCGGTCCGTGGGTTTCCCCGCATAATGTTGATGCCGGTTATGGCAGATCCCCGTTAGTAGAACCCACCTCTATCTATTTCTATTATCAGGGACTAATAATACTGCAGGTTCTCCTGGAATTGCTTTTCTTTAGAACTGTCACTCACTGAATATTTTCCTTACGGCCATCTGACGTGCAAGCGTGCATTTAGGAAAGGTTACACAACGGTTCTTTCTCTTTAGAGCGGCTCTAAACCCTCCTAGTCTCCGATAGTAACAAACAATCTATACTCACCCCTATCTATCTACACACCCTCTCTAACAGCACACAACACCCCGAACATCAACATGGCCACTACCACCGAAGACCCCATCAAACTCACCTACCAAGGCCGTCTGGCAATCATCACCCTCAACCGGCCCAAGAAACTCAATGCCCTAGACGGAGACCTCTACTACCTCCTCGGCGAACGTCTCCGCGAAGTAGACAAGCGAGATGACATCTTCATCACCATCCTCACAGGCTCAGGACGCTACTTCTCCGCGTAAGTTTTCCCTTTCTCCCACACATAACCACAAATACCAAATACATCCTAATCCTCCATCTCCAGCGGCGCGGACGTAAACTCCTCCCGCCCCGGCGGCGGCCTCGGCACCTCCGCACGGCGCGACCTCGCCCGGTCTTTCGTAATAAACAACTACGACATCACACACACCTTCGCGCACCACTCGAAGATCCTAATCGCCGCGCTCAATGGCCCCGCTGTCGGGCTCTCCGCGGCCCTCATCGCCCTCGCGGACTTCATCTACGCCGCGCCGCACACCTTCCTTCTCACGCCGTTCGCCTCGCTGGGCCTCGTAGCGGAGGGCGGGTCGTCGCGGGCGTTCGTGGAGCGTCTGGGCATCGCGAAAGCCAACGAGGCGCTTATCATGAGTAAGAGGATTACGTGCGAGGAGTTGGTGGCGGCTGGGTTCGTGAATAAGGTGTTTACGGCGCCGAGTGGGAAGAGCGATGATAGTGAGGGGTTCTTGGGGCTGGTGTTGCAGGAGGTGGAGGAGAGGTTGGGGTTGCATTTGAATCAGGAGAGTTTGCTCAAGATTAAGGAGTTGATTAGACGGCCCGAGAGGGAGGTGCTGGATCGCCAGAACGGGTTGGAGGTTTTCGGGGGGCTCGAGAGGTTTCTTAGTGGGGTGCCGCAGGAGGAGTTTAGGAGGTTGGCGAGTGGGGAGAAGAAGCACAAGTTGTGAGACATTGGGTTGGGTTGAAGGGTATATAGTGAGTGTTCGTAGTACATATGGGCTAGATGGTTTGTGGAGTATAGAAGGTAGAGAGGTGGAGGAGGTTAATGCGAGTATCACTTTTAGTATTCGGTTTTTAGTGCCTTGTCCCTCTTTCGCTATAGTCCTAACGCCGCCTTAATATGCTGAGCTGCGCTCTTTGGTATGTTCGTAACTAAGTATACAATCGATGCATGGTTGGAACCTCTATTGGTCTTCATTGTCCGAGTCGGACTCCTGCGCCTGCTTCGCCAGAATGTCCTGCCATTTCCCCAGAAACTCGCTCATGCCTCCAGGACCGGAGATAGAGGCGTCGACCACTTCCTTGGGCAGCTTGTGTGCTGAGTACTGCGGGGTCGTGAACGCATACGCCTCCGGGTCATCGCGCTTGATTAGCCTGAACTCTGGGAACAATGGTGCATCATCTACATTCTCGTCTTCGGACGCGGACTCGGACTCGGATTCGGACCCTTCATCTGGCTCAGCACCTGCCTCCAGTCCACCGTTTCCATTCAGAGAAAGCCGCACAAATTGCTCTTCCCCATTGTCGTCTTCCTCCCGGATACCCACGGGATCCTTCATATGCAGAATCTCCATCCAACTGAAGAGCAGTGAGTCGGTCCTCTCCGCCCATGGGTTGATATCGATAAGCCACACTCGGTCATGGGGAGGCGGGATATAGACATCAAACACGAAGTTAGGGTCCGTGAACGTATCCTTCAGCTTTTCATCGAAGAAGGTCTGGATCCGAGACCGGAGAGAGTCCCGCATGGGGAAGAGGAAGTCGAAATGGTTCTGATCACGCTGGCACATGCACAGGAGGACTCTGTTGCGCACGAAGCACCGGAACTCGAGCGACGGGTTGAAGTTGACGTATTTGCGAAGAACGAGGTAGTAGGGGATTTCGGGGGGCGTTGAGGAAGAATCGTCGGTGGTGGTAGTGTCAGAAACGCAGTCGTCGAATGGGTGTTCCAGGTCATGGCTGATAAAGTCACTGCTTTTCAAGAGGAGGTAGATGTCGTTGGCTGTGCGACATTGCGTGTCGTTGGTGGCGGACATCCACGTCGCATCTTTGGGCGCACTCCAGTTCAGCTTCGGCGTCACTTTACCGCCGTATTCGGTGATTGTGGACTTGATCTGGTTGTGGATTTCAGGCCATTCGACTGACGGGTCGGGCTCCTCGTCTGCGCCATCATCGGAGAATGTGTCGAGGTTGTCGTCGTCTGTCGGCGGGGCAGCTTCTGGCGGCAGGACGATACCGTCCGCTCGGAGGTACTTAACGAAGGGGGCAGTGAGACGGATAGCGCGGGACTTGGGGACCAGGGTGCGGTATCTGCGGCGGTGTATTTAAATTAGTACCTTCATTAACGTATAGAGGGGTTATACTGGGCACATACCGAGGCTGCCAGTGGTGATAAGAGCAGTGTAGGATGTGAGAATAAGTGACTGGAGGGAAAGGCAGTCTTGTTAATTGCTCGGTAGGAGCTTCGGCCGCCGGAGCTGGCGCCTCTGAATCAATATGAGGCATATTGGTTTATGCGCCGCAATTTCGGAGGATTGTGATGGTGAAGATGGAGATAAAAGTTATCTCGTCGATCGCGCAGTCCGCGGGGTCTTTTTCTTTTTTGGGGATGACTCAAGTCACTTACCCGAAATAGCATGGTTGATACAGGCATGACCGTACCGTATTGAAGCCACGTGCTGCCTCAGGCACAATGGATCGTCATCCAGTGATTACGGGCTGCGTAGCATCATTCCAGGCAGTGCTCCGGCTGGCATTGATGCCCTGCATTGTTGGCTTGTCCCGCCAGCGTCCTTTCCTTTCACCATGGCGTCTGATGGCCCGGATCCCCAGTCATTGAAGTCCTGGCAGGATGCATTTCACTATCCAATTCCTACTGTGCGCCGCGTGGAGCAGGAGCTGCGCCGGGACATCGCAAGCAATAAGGAGAAGCTCAGGGCTCTTGTCGGGTATGTGAAAGCAAACCCTCATGATATCTATATGCAGGACTAATCATATATGGCGCATCTAGTACGAGATACCGAGAACTTATTGGCACTGCCGAGACGATCGTGTCGATGAACCGCGAAATGGAGGATGTGGATTCGACGCTGGCCGACATAGGACGAAGATGCAATCCACGCCTGATGGAGAAGATGTACACACATTACAATCAGATAAAGGATGATAGCCATGATGAAGGTATGTTATTGTCGTGAGTTTGGATTTGGTTACAACCAACAGCTGATGGGGATTAGATGCCGCGAAACGAGCGCTCGGAGGGCAACTGGCCTTGCTTCATCGCTGCGCATCGTCAATCTCCAAGCTTTTGCGACGACGCGGCTCCGTCTTGCTTGTGGCGAAGCTTATGGTCATCTCTCGCCTTCTACACAAGACCCTGTCCCAGCAGACAACGGTACCACCATTTGTGGAGGACCTGCGCAATCAATTGGCGTCCCTTCGGCGAAGTCTGTTGAGGAGGCTCGAAAAGCGTCTCGCGTCTGCTAAGTATGCGGCTGATGAGATTATTGAGGCCTTGGCAGCGTACTGTCTTACAACTAGCTCTTCCTCAGATGACGCTATTCGTTACTTTCACCAGGTTCGCTTAGATGGTATTGGAGGCCAGTTGGAGCTTGTCGACCCGTCAGGCGAGAATGTCCTGAACAGCTTACGACTATATGTTCGGACCCTCCAAACTTCTAAGATCCTGCTATCTCGCCGTTTGTCTGATGTTCTAAGCAAACTGAAAGCACGGCCCCTGCTGACAGACCCTGAAATTCGGAGTTTGGACGACCTAGACCTCGGTGTTCTGGGACGCTGGGTTGCCGCAGATGTTAATAACTTCACACCATGGATCAAGCTTAGTGAGTTATCGAAGTCGGATGCCGAGAAGACGATCAAGCAATGGTCCAAACCGGCTTTTGATAGATTCTTAGACGGGTGCCGGGGCACCCTCACAAACTGGCTGGACTTCTCGAAACTTCTCTCGTTACGCAAGCAGACATTGGAGCTCTGGCTATCTTCCCGGAGCTCGACACCCACCCATTCATCGTTACAAGTTCTGGAGGGAATTAGGTCGGTCTTTAATGATCGACTTAAAGGGATTCTGTCAGAACAAGCTAAAACATTGGATGTATTCGGTCAAGGCGTCGCTTCTGGAGTGTCGCATTGGGGCGACAGAGCCCACACGGCTTCGCAGTCACTTTGGGCCGAGGACTTGATTTCCCTTGACTATTCCAACGGCTCTGCTGCGTTCAAGCAAGCTGTCACGCACAGACTCCTGGGCCGTGATGATGACGTATCCGCTGTCCTTGAGAAATACCATGGATGGTTGTCTGTCATCGAGGAGTCCAGGGAGTCTATCGATGGCCTACGGCAGATACGTTGGGCTGACGTCTTGGACGAAGGCGAGGACGAGGATCTTGATATCGATGTTCCTGCCATGTTAAACGACGACGATCCACGACTGCTGCGCGAAGCCCTTCAGGCGGCAATTGAGCAAGCATTCGAAACACTCCAAAATTCGCTCAGCACAACCTTCGACACACTTGAGAAGCCGGGACAAAGCGGTGAGGCCGCTTTTATGCTGAAGACTATCCGACTGGCTCGAAGAGATCTGCCTGCCCAGTTCATTTCGAGCGATTATGCACTGTCCCAGAGCATTGTGCCGGAGTTGCAGAAAATTCTTGCTACTGACATAGTCGCCCGCACAGGACCCTGGAAGTCTCCGGCTACTTCGAAATCGAAGTCTGGAAAAGTGCCAGGTCGCACACTTTGGGAAGGTGATCCTGAAATCCCTGTCCAGCCGACACCATCGACGTTCAAATACCTGCGTAGACTTGTGCGTTCTATGGATCAGTACGGCGCCGGGCTTTGGGATGCTTCCACAACCCAAACGCTAAAGAGCGCCATGCTCGATGAGATCTCAAAGGCGATCAAATCTTCCCTTGAGAACCTTAACTCACCTGTCGATCATGAGGACAGCAAAAAGTCTGCCTCACAGGATGATGAAGAGACGGAATCGGCACGGAACGGCGAGGATAGCGACCCGGCGAAGCCAGAAACTGAAAGTATCGAATCAGACAGTGCGGCCGATGTCAAGGACCGGAAGATACAGCTATACTTCGATTCCGTCTATCTGAATGATGCGTTTGCGGTTCAACACTCTGAGCGCAGCCAGTTGACAGAAGTATTGGGTACACTTCGCAGCAGTCTCGACTTGCCTGCGAAGGCGACAAAGAACCTAGAGAACGCTGCGCGCGAGTACTGGAAACGGACCCAGCTATTATTTGGGCTCTTAACCATGGGATCTGAGCTCTAAACAGGCTGCCAGTGGCATGAAACAATGTATATAGATCATAACCATATCATCATCGGACAATCCAGTTCATACCATCTTCATACCTCCTGTGACCGGCCAATGAGCGTGCGTATGTATAACCTTCCTGATCGGGCCTAGCGGCCGCGGGGGTTACTCACCGCCCACGTCACGTTTCCGGCGGTGACGCCGACTTGGCCGCGGGAAAACGAGATGCGTTCATCGTTCATCTCCCTCTTTCTCTCCTGACCGGCTGCCTTGTCTTGTTGCACCTCTCATCCTTGCTCCTTCTTCCTCCTCTCCCCTTAATCCCTTGTCAACGCGGCAACCATGGCGGCCCCAAGGCTTCCATTCCTTTACCCAAATCTGATGCGCGCAGTTCGATCCTGCGAACCCCATACCTACCGCTCTCTTCGCCTTTCATCCCGCAACCAGTACGCTCCCTTCCACACCAGTCCACGACGAAGTCAGGAAACCTATCATCGAAGATACGGGCCTGCCGCAGAAGCGAACCTACCACCGCCCTCCAAACCTAAAGATGAACCAGCTCGTCAACAGCCCACCAACTCTTCATCCGGGAAAGACAAGGACAGCAATGCTGCTTCATCTCCGAACCCAACCCCACCAGCGCAATCGCAGCCAAAGGACACCGACACCACCTCCGAGGCCTCATCACAGTCGCAACAAGACAAGTTTGCCTCTGCAGACACAGAACTGCTAGACGAGGAGAAATCCGCACAAGAACAAGAGCCCCGTGAAGACTCCGAGCCCATCCTCGACGCCCGTGATGCCGATGAGGTCAATGCTATATCAAGCGAAAGACCCCCCGAGGAATCCATCCATCTTCACCATCCACTCAACCAGAACCCTCTCGAGGGTGTACTTCACATGCCATCTCCTTCATCCTACCTGACTACAACCGGCGGTCTCGCCTCCGAAAATAACCACCCGAACCTCGCCCCAGCCCCTTACGTTCACCACTTTGATACATACTCGCTCGTTCGCGACCTCTCCACAGGTGGCTTCTCCGAAGAACAATCCGTCACAATCATGAAGGCAGTCCGGACCATCCTACACAGTAACCTTGATCTTGCACGCCAAAGCCTGACCTCCAAATCGGACGTTGAGAACGAGTCCTACCTGTTCAAAGCAGCTTGCTCGGAACTCCAATCCTCTTTACAGACGGCCAGAAACTCCGAAATGCAGCGTCAGCGGACGTCCCGAACACAGCTACAGCACGAGTCTGACATTCTATCTCAACGCTTGAACCAGGAACTGGCCGGTCTGAAAGACGACATCAAGGGAATGTTCAACGATCACAAGATGACGACCCGCGAACAACAGCGAAGCATCGACACCTCTGTACAGGAACTAAATTACAAAATCACTGTCTCTCTGAACAGTGACGGCAAGAGTGAAATTGAGGGTCTGCGCTGGATTCTAACCAGGAGAGCTGCTATGGCCGTTGCTACTAGTGCCTGTAAGTCACATTCTATACCTTCCTTACACTCCTTCTCAAGTTTAATACTAATATCGTACAGTCATGATCATCTGCTTCCTGAAATACTACTCCGTCCGCAAGGCGCAGGAGAGCGCGGAGAAGAAAAAGAAAGAGCAAGATCTCCCAGTCAAGGGCGGAACTAAAGAGGCCCGAGCAGCAGCTGCCGTCGCCGGCCGGGATCCTCTCCTGCCCAAGTCGGCGCCAGTTCCGGGGGTTCATCTTGGAGAGTCCCTTGGCTGAACTTCCATTACCCTCCTTTCATTCCCAGTTCAAATGATTTTACCGATTGTACAACAACCAATCCATCTACTTCCTACTTCTCCTGTATATCATCCATTCTTATACCAGTTATAGATTTTCTCCTTTTGTTTTCTTAGCCCACATCACATTGATTTATCTCCCTCCTGGTTGGTGAGACATCTCGATACCCCCACGCATATATCTATCTTTTGACATTCTCTCTCTTTCTCTCTTTCACATTCAGTTCTCTACTGTTCCCTGGATGGGGACAATCGCAACATATAGACGGGTTCCATCGTTCATTATCCTTGTCATATCATGTCATGTTAACATTTCAAATCATTGTACCTATACCTATACTTCTCTATCATCTTTAAAAAATAACTCTATATATGCAAATAGTATGGGCATGTATCTCATAAGCGCAACGCTCGCCGTCATGACCTGTGCACGGGACCCTTCCTTCCAAGTACTAGCCAGTTATCCCTGCGTTGTCGTCATCATCACATCTCGTGCCATGCATGCGTGATAGAACATGTCATCCGGCAGGAGCCAAAGTCACTCACGCCTGTCCAATTAAATTTATACGGGGGGGTGTGTAACATGAGTAAAAAGATGAACACAAAATAAAAACATGCAAAGAAGAAAGCAAAGACGCAAAGAATCCAATATAGTATACTAGAAGTCGAACCTCAGCGCAATACTAGGCATGGCTTGCTGCTCACTGCTGGACTGCGTGCTCTCACGGGCATGTTTATTGGCTCCCAAACCGGCTTCCGCACTGCGGAGGATTTCCTCGAGTCGAGCCTTCTGCTCCGGACTCATAGTAGCCACGAGCGCTCGGAACACGAGCTGATTGGCTTTAGCCAGTTCCAGCAGATGAACGGCGGTTTCCTGATAGATGGCCTGCCCCTCACGTTTTGCGCGAGAAAGAAGCGTCGACATAATTAGGGAGATGGCGGTGGGCATCTCGTTTGCAGGGAATACTGCATTGCTGACACATGCGACGAGCGTGCGCGCAATGACTGTTTTGGAGTTTTCCGGGTCGCTGGGGACGTCACCGTTGTCTGTGGGACAGCCGACGTAGAAGGCAATGAGTCGGGGTAACAGGTAGCGGGCAATCACTTCGCTAGTGGGGGATCTCGGGTTTGAGGTCAGGAGAATGGAGCGAATGCAACCAGCAGCAACGTTCGCAAGTCCAACATCTTGAAGGCAGTCCAGGAGTTCATCCAGAACTCGGAAAATCACAGGATCTTGAGGTGGAATAATGTGTCCACCGCTCGTTAGTAGAATGGCAATAGCAAGGAGAGTGTTCTTCGCGCAGGGGAGAGAGGACTCGGACTCTCGTCGTTGCGCAAAAGTCAGGGTAGTGAGGAAGCGTGTAAGACAGCCACGCAACTGGCGAGAGACGACGCTACGGTTTTCCGGGTGTTCTGGACTGACTTCGGGCGAATTCGCTACGCTGCTGATGAAGTGTTTGAAAGTCGGTAGAGCCTGAGGCACGACCTCCGCCTGGCACAGCCCAGTCGCCAAGATAGTGCTGAAAATGTGCAAAATGCATGCGTTGAGGTCGTTGCGGATGATTGAGGGGAAAATCGAGGCAACATTAACCAGCGACGAGAGCGCAAGCCGGATGAGGGACAAGGCATCATCCGATCCGACATTGAATCGTGCAAGAGGTGTGGACTCGCGAAGATTGGGCAGGAGCCCTGCAAGCACGAGGATTATGCTTCTTGTTAGCTCGAAAAGCTGCTCAATGTCGTCGGACAGATGATCGTCTCGGCCCTCGCTGCCCTTGGCAGAAGGGTGGTCTAAGGACAGGTTCCGTGCTATTTCCACGATGACATTCTGGATGGGAGTTGTTTCGGTCAACGCGAGACGGTCAAGAGAGTCCATAGTCTCCGAGAAAATCGCATCCTGGTAGATCGCATTCCCCGAGATGACTGGCCTCAGGATCCTTTTAAGAGCCTGGAGAATCTCCAATCTCTGGGATGGGGTTGTTGACTGGTCAACTAGAGCTTCAAATGCCAGACCAAACAGAACGAAAAAGAATGCAACAGGCTCATCACGATAGTTGATGTTGTCACCCTTTCCCTTTGGCTCATCGTTAGTTTTCTGCTCGTCGTCCTTCTCGGTCTTCTCCGATTCTTCCAACTCCGACTTGCCGTCCAATGCGTCAAAGACAAAATCGATGTCCTTTTCAACCAGGCCAGCAATAGCATCGACAAGGTTTAACCAGGAGTCTTGGTAAAACTGTAACGATGGTTAGCACCTTGACTAGTAACTTTGACCCTGCCAGTCTTGTCCTACCTTCAAGAGGGTCTCCCGATTCAATGCCGCGTACACCTCGTCCAAGTCCCCGCTCATAGGGCCAGTACCCAAGCTTCCTGAGATATCTGGCTCGAAACGCAGCCGAGCATATTCCTGGAGCGAAGACAACCATAGCGGAGTGAGTTTCATGAGATACGGTTGAACCACTTGGTTCAGGTAGTCCTGCTCAACACTGGCTATCTGCAGCCGTGCCCAGGCAGAGTACAAAGCCATCTTGACCATGACCCTAGCATTCGGGTTAAGACCTTTGAGGTCGCCAATCTCGGTAGTGTCAAGGTTTTCTGGGGTGGTTAGCGGAATTCCATTACAAACTTTTATGGCACTCACTGGAGAAGTTTTCAAGGCCTAGAACCATAAGCTTCAAGATTCTGCCCATTCGATCAACGTTGGTCACTATGCCAGTAGCAATGAATGTCGCAGAGACATTGATGGCCTCTGATGCCAATTCCGCAGACGAGTCAGCGGCAAACGCGGGTGTAAGAGCCGATCCAATCTGGGCTTGATACTGTTCCAGAAGGGATGCCTCGGTAAAGTCTGGGTCGGGTGTCTTGCCAAACATCTGATAGAATTGTTAGCTCAGAAACGAGACATTTTCACCTTAAACAGGGGTTAACGTACTTTGAGAACTTGATCAATAATCCGCAGTCCCCAGACTCGAAGTTCTATTACATTGGCAGTCGATGCTGAGAAAGCCATGCGGACGATATCTCCAACCTTCTGCTGCAGCGCAAGCTCAGCAGGAATAGTTTGATCCGGCAGAATTGCCTCTTGCACAATCGCCAAAAGTTCGCTAAGACAGCTCATAACGAAATTCCGAGTCTGCCATTTCAGAAGCTCCTGGCCAGAGACAGCGCCATTTGCCTCTTCTGTCTGGCCAGCACCCGCAATTGCGGACGCAAACCCTGCAACCTCATCATCTGGCATGTCATTTCCAGTAGGCCTGATTGCGGATGTTAGAGGAATATCCTCCACTTTAACACGAGTCTTGGTCAGCGTGTTGTGGCAGCGCTGGATCCACAATTCCGTCTCCACGAGGGCCGTTTGTTGCAGCCAATCCTGGATCATGCTTCTGAGGATTGGGCAGTCTGGAGTATCATCGAATGCAAGCCAAATTTCCTCTTCAAGAGTTGGAGTGGCGGTGCGGAGGACAGCTCCAGCGTCACGCTTCATGAGGTTACTCAGTCCCCGAATAGCCACATCCCTCATCAACGGGTTGCCGTCGCTGAGCTCATTCTGTAACCGCTTTACATATCCGGAGAAATCAACGTATCCCGGCGCATACAGGGAGAGATGATCCAAGCATTTGGAGCTTTCAGTGACTAGAGCCGAGTTGTCCTCCAGCTGGAACTGGCGAAGAAGTGTGAGGATGAGGTTGCGTGTTTTAGCAATGTCCTGAAGATCCGGCCCGAGAACGTTGATGAGGGAGTCAACACAGCGACTGATCACAACAGGAGTGAGGAAGGACATTTCGATGTTGGAAGTCGCTAGGGCTGCAGCCTCCTCATTGTGTGTGTCAGCGTTGTATAGCTGGGCTAGCATTCCGAGGGAACTTGAGACGAAGGGCGAAAAGGTCAGTCCGGCAGAGTTTGCTACTCTCTCTAGACCACCAAGAGCCCAGAAGTGGACGACAGGGTGAGGGTCGCTACACAGGGACATCAAAACACCAACAATGGTCTTTAGGTGCAGGCCAGCTGCCATACCACCAACTTGGGAATGAATGCAACCCAAGGCAGCAGCACAGCCAGCACGGGTATTGGGCTCGCGGTTCTCCACAATGGTGTCGACCAGCCAGTTGATCTGTGTATTGGTGAAAGCGGTCCCAGAGCTCTCACAAAGACGTCCGAGTGCCTCAACCCCGATTGTCCGAACAGTCAGATCAGCATCGGTTACGAATTTCTGCGTCAATTAGCTTTCTGTTATAGCCCTTTCCATCATAGCTTTGCCAACAACAAGCCTTACCTGGACAAGTTCCTGCAACACTTTATCAGTCGCGGGATTGAGCTTCCCAGATGTAGAACCAGTCTCTTTCACGGAGACCTTCAGAGCATGGAGTAGTGCCACAGCGATATTGACGACCATAGCAGCCTTGCGCCCGGGATTACGCTGAAGACTGGTGGATGAGAGGAAGGTTGCGATTTGTTCTACACTACCTTCCTGGACCCTTGGGGTGTGCAACGGAATTGCAACAGAAAAGAGCTCAATGGCAGCATTCACAACGCCGGTGGAATGGGGATCAGCCAAGGGAGAATCTTCTTCCCTTCTCGAGTATAAAAGCAAAGAATCATGTTCGCTTGCTTGGCATATAGGGAAAGTCAACTGCAGAGATATTAGTCCTACTACGATTTATCTGAGAGAAAAGTGGGCCACTCACAGCTTCATCCACAGCTTGATCCGCTGAATCAACAGCCGACCAAGCAGGACCATTATCGGTACCATGCTTGCCAGTCAGAGTCACGCGCACGTATTCCCTCGCCAGGCCTGTCATTCCGAAGCCATAGTTATCACATAGATCCCACAAAGTTTCAAATTGCGCGGTGGATGCCGCGATTGAGCTCTCCAGTGGACCAGCTTGGGCCGCGTCGGGGTCTGCAAACGACGAGATGGCCAGGCTCAATAAACTAGACTGAGAAATAACATCGGCATGGCTAACAGGGTGAACCCGGAGTAACTTAGAAAAGCACTGCAGAACACGGCGCCGGACCATGGTCTCGATATCATGAAGTTGCAATGATGGGTGAAGTCGTTGCGAAAGTTCGTTGGCAGTCTTTTGGCGGGGCAGATCGTCCAGGAATTCAACCGTGTTTTGGAGCATTACGGCAATTCTCTTCGCGCCGTCGGCTGTTATAAGTCTGCTGTTGAACTCCATAAACACCAGCAGCGAACTCAGAGCGCACTCCCTCACATGCGCAAGGAAGCTCAATTCCAGTATACCGCGTTTTCCAGAGTTCTCTTGACTCAGGTGTTTCGGGAGCGCATTCTTCCATAGCAGCGATAATTGAGAGAGATGAATCTTCACAAAACTAGGGCCGAGTGGCATCAGCCCTCCGATCAGAATCCAAGCGACTTGAATCTGTGTACTGGCGGCACGCAGTTCCGAGTTGCTACTAGTCTTCAGGAGATCCGTCGCCTGGGTGAACACACGCGAGAACACCTCAACTGAACCATAAAGAGGCTGCAATCGAGATGTACTTAACATAGCAGAGAGTCCATTGGCATAACCGATGCAGCGACGCGGCGACTGCCTAGGCGTTGACAGCTGTCCCACTTCTCGGTTCAGGCTATTCAAGCAAATGGTGACACAGGACAACAACTGATGCGGACACGCAAGGACGAAGTTTCGTAGGCATTGAGCTGTATGGATCTGAACAGTATAGCTGGGGTGCGGTAAGACTTGGAGCAGAGCTTCGCGACAAGTTTCCGCCAGGGTACCAAAAGCAGACCCAAGGGACACAATCAAAGAAGAAAGTGCACTTAAGGCGCTCGTGAGGGAATGCTTGCTCGGCTCGCGGCGTTCCTGGATTACTTGAGGATAATCCTTGAGAACATCATTGATTAGCCACTTGGCCGCATTGAGTTGACTAGTTTCCCGGAGGGATTCGCGGCCAACAGTATCCTCCAGAATACTCTTGACGAACTTCCTGGTCATCAGAAGCCTGAATCGATTGTACGTGACGGTAGGGTGGTTGAGAATATCGAAAAGCAGATGATTTGCGATTTGGCCATAACGTTCCTCGATGATCTTATCCCCAAGGATTCGCAGAACATGCTTGTAGCAGATAGCGATACCTGCGCGGGCCCGGTTGGAAGTTGTGCTCCGTAAATACTGCGCAGACAGCTGACGAAGAAGGTCAGGAAGGAGGAAGAACAAACGCGGCTCAGCTTTCTTGGGAGCAGATGATTCTGAAATTTCGGCCTCTTCTTCATCCTCGCCAGGTTTAGCAGCCGGCTTTTTTGATAGTCTCTTTGCTTTCTTCGACTTCGGGACTGAGATAATTGGGGTATCGGTAGCATGCAACTTGGCCAGCGCACGAGCCAAGCAGGCCGCGGCCGCGTGTCTGACCGGGGCCACCGGGCTGTCAATGACTTTCCATACCAAGGTCTTCAGATGGTCAAAGTCGTTCGTGTTGTCAAAGTATGGAGTCGTGTTCACTAACTGCTCCAGGCAGCGACAGGCATGTACTTGAACGAACGTCGATTTATCCCCGGCTGCGGCATTGCGAGCTTGTTTCCAGATGTCGCGCGCAGTTGCTTCGTCCACGGGGACTCCAGTACCGACCACGACCTTTCGCAGGACGGCAAAGGTTGACCCACGACATCCAGTGTGGTTGCTTGATGCTTTAAGCAATTTGAGCAAGCTTGCAACAACAACGCCTGATTGCGCAAAGACACTTTCTCCGGCGACCGCAAAGACCTCGCCCATACAATGGGCTACAGCAAACCTAGTCTTCAATTCCGCATCGCTCTTGCCCGTATTTAGGAGGCCTAGTAGATCGGTAACAGTTTTAAATAGTATGCCACGGTCACCCTTGCTGAAGATTGCCCCGAAACACCGGCCTAAATTATTGCGGATTACTCGCGTGATGGTCGGCGAGGAAAGCGTGAGTATCTTGAACAATTCCTTTTTCAAGAACTTTTGCTGCGCCGATACTTGAGCCTTATCGAGGCCGGAAATGTGTTGAACCAGATCGGAGGTGAAGGTGAGGAGGTACAGGTCCTGTTGTTCGGAGGGGAGCGCATGGAGCTTGGTGATATCAAGCTCCGCTCGGGGGACCGCATGGTTGTCGGAGTTGGTAGACGTAGCGTTTTCCGATGAAGACATTGGGATCGACTATGGCGACTAAAGGCTCACCCATAGGGTTCCCTTTCACAAGGAATGAACAGAGGTGAGATGCGAAAGGAGAACACGATGCGACCGCAATCTGGTTGACAGGTCGGCCAGACTTTCTATGGGATGGGGATGAGATGGATCTCCCCCCCCTTTAAGCGGGCACTTGGCCTCACACCTCCGTCCGGGGGCGGTCGCGGAGAAACTGTTGCACCGGCCCCGCTATCAGATCGCGATTCTAGACGCTTTTTCACGAAGTGACGCGCTTGCGGGGATCATCTATCGAAGCTTTCTGCAATGACGACGATCGTATGCAAACGCCTGGTGCAGCAGCGGGTTGCCCGCGCGAATTGGGTGGTGGGCGATGGTTGCCGTACCCTCACCACCAGCGCTCCGTGGCTTGCAGGACACAATCGATGGTCTCAGATCAAACATGACAAGGCCAAAAATGACAAGGCAAAAAGCAAGGAGCGCCAACTTATTGGCAAGGAAATCAGCAGTGCAACTCAGAGTATGTACTTGGAAGGCTTTCGACAATCAATCCCCCGTCATTCTTCGGTATTGATCTCAAGCAGTGTGGGGTCCCGATCCTAAATTCAATCCGCGCCTTACCCTCGCCCTTTCCAATGCAAAGCGAGCAGGAATTCCAAAGACTGTGATCGAAGCAGCAGTTGCTCGGGGACAGGGCATAAGTGTCACTGGTGAAGCTTTGGAACAGGTCACGGTCGAAGCTATTCTCCCTCATTCGGTTGCGGCCGTTCTCGAGTGTCTGACCGATCAGAAAGCCCGTGTATTGCAAGACGTTCGACACGCTATCAAAGATGCCGGGGGCATCGTCACACCTACCACATACCTCTTTGAAAAGAAAGGCAGGATCATCTTCGAGAAGAAGGATGGGGTGGATCCCGACGACTATATAGACCAGGCTATCGAAGCAGGTGCGACGGATATCACGGCAGATGAGCAAGGCCGGCTCCTTGTCTTCACAGAGCCTACGGAAACAAAGAGTGTGGGCGAGACACTTGAGAAAATGATTGGCCTTTCCATTGAGGAGTTGGATATCATATGGGATCCCAACCAAGACACAATAGTCGATCTCAAGGATGAGGCACAGGTTGCGGAAATGGAGGATATCATCAGTGACCTTCGAGAAGAGCCGAGTCTACGAGATATCTACCTGAACACAGTCCAGCGCTTCTGATGATTTTTCATTGATTTTTGGCAGCTTGATGCCTTCCACGACTACAGCCTGGGGCCTCTCATACTTCCTCATTACAGTGTACACTAGACTCGGAACACCTTGGAGTGGCTGGCGGCTCGTCGAGCCCTTTCTGTATTATATTACTACAAATCACGAAATATCAAAGCGTGTACGCATTTCGAATACATACGAGAGGAAGGCATAAGTGAGTTTTCTTCTGATACCATTCTCTACTCTTTTCGCAAAGCCTTCATCGTGCTCCGCATTAAATTACCAATCCCAACACTTCCAGTCGCGTCAAGCCAGTCAAGCATGCGCACCCTATACTCCTGCCACGTCATCTTCATGCCTCCTTCTTTCTCCAGCGCACTCAGTGCCTTCTGCGTCACTGGCTTCCTCAGCTTGGGCTGTTCATCGCTAATGTTGTTTTCCTCCTCGAGGTCAGAGAAACAGGCCGCAGACATGTTGCACAATGCCACGTGGTGGCTTAGAGAGAAAACCGAGGAAATTGTGTAGACAAAAGAGGAATCGCGCTTTCTTTCCCTCTCATTGAACTCACGAATGAATCGCGTCAGTGCACCAACGGTGGGGGCCGGTATCAAACAACCCACGGCGTTGGGGTCTTCCGAGTTGAGTCCTCGGTTCCGCCAGATCAGATTACAGATGTCCATAATATAGCCATTGAATTGGCCCACAAGTTCTGTAGGATAGAGCGAGTCTTGAGAGTTTGGTACCCGGAGAACCTGAGAGGTGAGGGAAGCCTCAAAGGACGACTTATAGCTGGCAAGTACTGAGCACATGATGGAGATGACTGAGTTGATGGGCGTGAAGGCAAGTGTATAGACCGTAGGAGCTAGCGGGACAGTAAGTCGAATGCTCCCATTCAGGGATGCATGTGTGAAAAGTTCGGCCAGGGTACAGTAGAAGTCCAAGATGGACAGTGTGGCGGGCTTCTGTGTCTCATGTCGAGCATCTGTGGGATCCGGCATTGAGGTCAAGCACTCCAAAGTCGATAAAGCTAGGAGCTCTGCGTGCGATATCAGGCGACCCAATGGCTTGAATTCCTCTGTGGTCCGGGAATGTGTCCTTAACTGGATTCCCCATCGACGGATCAAGGCCGAATAGAAATCGAGTAGAGATGTTCTTGATGAAATGGCTCCATTAAGGAGTGCTCTCTCCAGTGGTATCAAGAAATCTTTACCTAGAATATCGAAGTCAAGAATGGGAATATACACGAGAAGCCCAAGTATCTGCTCTTTGTTGTCCTCACCATTCCAGGAGATGAGGTACTTTTTGAGAAATGATGTGAAAGCGTCCGGTATTTCCTATAATAGAGTGAGCCACTGAGGTAGCGAATAATGACTAACGGGAAATACCTTCGTGTATTGCGCATATTCAACCGCCAAAGCCAATATGTAGCCCAAACTCTCATGGTCTTCCACGTCGTTTGACCGCGCAATCTCCAGTTGGTCATTTAGGAATGTTTTTAGCCAGTCGTTCAACCGGCGATCTGCAGCCTCAGAACGAGCCAGGAAGAGGTACTTCTGCGCCAAGCTATTTCCCAGCATGGATATAATCTGGTTAGGTAATTCTATCTTGTCAATCTTATCAACAAGATGCTCGACACCACGCAGTTCTTCCAAAGAAGTGTGGCTATAGGACACTCTTGATGTCTTCACATCAGGAACAATGGCCTCTATCTTGCTTCTTTTTGTTAGGCCGCGATGTACAACCTGAAATGTCGAGGGCTGCACTGCCTGCAACCTTTCAAGGTGCGTATCCTGAATTTCTCTGACATGAGCGGTCCATTCAGGGTCCGGGTGTTTAAAGAAGGATGCCTTTCTTCCCGTAAAACCAAGGTCACCGACAATAACGTCAGGACAATAATTCTTGAACACATTAAGTAGAATCAAGAGCTCTTTCTCTTCACCACCGGAAAGGCTGACTAACTCCATGAGAGCTTGGATACGAAAGGGCTTGACATGCTTGCGCCTCGTGATGAACGAAAGCAAGTGGCACAGAGGCTTGCGCAGACTGATCATGTCCAGATAGTTAAATAGCACGGCATATAGTTTTGCCAGATGAGCCTTGTCATCGAGGTAATCGTATACAAGGATCAGCCATCGCACAAGCAAAGCCTGGGTCGCAGGACTGGGCTTCGTTTTAGCGGGACCGAGACAGCACACAACCCGTGTGATTAGTTTGGAAGGTACTCTCTCCAGTGGGTACAAGTTCTTGACTAGTGTAGTGACTGTGCCTTGGTCAAGAGCATTGTGTGTCGTGAGAAGCTTCAGCAAGCGTTCGAGGGCAGCCTGCGGTATGCCGCTCTCGTACGCGTGGGTTGCTATTGTTTTGGCCAACTGGCCAGCATCCGTGTATCGCTGTTTTGGAGGCACGAAAGCAACTGGATACACATTAATGATGCGCCATTTTTCAAGATGCCTTTAGTAACTGGTTTTACCTGCTTCAAGATGCTCGATCGCATCTTCAAGGCTACTAGGCCTGACTTCAGTGTCTAGTATCACTATCAGCAAACTCGAACCTGTGCGAAGAAGCAAGCTTGACAAACCTCTTTCAGAGTCGGATGACATGCCTGTTTCGCAAACAAATTATCAAATCTATCAGTCAACTAATAGACCTTCCTCTCCTCTAGCCGAGTGAGGCCGTGCTTGATTGTAGGTGTTTCGCACCACCAGGCACATCACACGCAAAACAAGACTGTCGCCCTAAGCAAACAGCGCGTTAGGCTCTATTACCATAAAGCGCCTATTATTATGCTCTTTGGGCGCAAAAGTGACAGTGTGTTGATGGTCAAGTCGTTTTTGGCCGTGGTAGGTGCTTTCAGGATGTATCTCCGTCGCGTGGGACTGTTCGAGTCGATCGCGGGAAATGGAACCTGAGAGAGCAACTTTACCATTTCGGGTGTCCAACAACCACTGTAGGCCGTATGCCAGCGTCGCCAGTTGTAACTGCGAACACCATGGATGCTTTGCAGTAATCTTGTTCTTTTTATCTCATGTGGTCTTGTTTCTGGTCTGCATAGACCCACCAAAAAAAAAAATATGAATGTTTTTTCAAGGCACTCTAGTTGCAGCTACTTATTTATAGATGAGGTGCCTACAGTCAAACATCTTCATATGCGCCAGACTGGATACTTGCCGTCTCTTCCTCAAATGGCGTATTGAGTTACTCTACTTCGCACCGGACGATCTCAATCTAGATGGTCTTGAGCTGTATGCAGCTCCTCATTATGCGATTGGTAGTAATGACATCGTGGGAGGAACAAAAAGCCATGGCCCACAATGTCTCCAACATCTCAACTATGAACAGTAGTCTGAGAATACTTCCAGGAAGAATGAAGCCAATCACGTCTACTTCCTCTTTCTAGCCGGCTGCTTAGAGCTTGCCTTCCCAGAGGCAGTCGCTGTCTCCTTGGCCTTGGGCGCCTCAGCCGGTGTAGGCTCCTCTTCCTCCTCATCACTGTCGCCACCCTGACCAAATTCGTTGACACGCTTGTAATCAACCTTGTACTTCCAGCCTTGGTAGAGCCAGATGAAGAAAATGATATCATCACGGAAGGTTGCCAATCTGTGGAGCCAAGGCATCTTGACAGTGAAAGCAAAAAGGTCGTCGATGAAGGTGTTGAGGAACTTGTACGTCAAAGCCTTTCCGGGCATATGAGCGACAGACTGCAATAGCAAGTTAGCAAAAATTATTACATGGATGGTTAAGAAGGGAACATACCTTCAGTCGATAGTTGATGTACAGACTAGGCACCATCATCAGGAAGCCGTAGGCGTAGACACTTCCAACAAGGGTCTCAATGACATAGGAGTACCACGACTTGTGCGTGTTGTAGATCAGGCTGTACACAGCATATGCGGCCAAGAGCGGAACAGCAATGATATACAGCCAGCGGAATGCGATCTCATCATATTCTTTGGTCTTCTGCTCCGTCTCACTGAGCTTGTGCTTGTCCTCAAAGACAATAACATAAGGGAGGAATGAGAAGAATGATCCAGCTGGCGGAGGACGCAAGCGCACGTCTACTGTCTTGGTGATCTTCCAGGCTTCTAGCAGGATACCAAAACCTTGACTTGCGAGGATCATCCAAGAAGTGTTCTCACTGTTGTCCATCAAGTAGAGGAAGATGACCGCCTGCATGAAGACATTCGCCAGGATGGTACGAACGGAGGTACCAACAACATCCTTCTTCTTGCGCCAGTGAGACTATTCAGAGTACATACCCATTAGCGTTTGACACAAGAAGGATTCGAAAGGGGAAATGGAGTGATAAGCTTACAATATCGTTCTTGAAGGCCAGAGTTTCGAAGACCATATGCAGGATAGTAACCACACCAGTTGTGCAGAGCAGGTAGATGTTCGTGTCAAGCAGGACTTCCTTGACCATTTCGAACTCAGTACCGTCCCCGCCACCGGGTGTCTGACCACCAAAAGCCGCCTGCTTGGCATTTGCCTTCGCATTCTCATCAACACTTGCCATCATGCTGAACTTCCAGTTCTGCAGGTTGTTGAGAGTGATACGCATAGGAACGGTCTCGACGGTCGAGTTGAGCTCCATCATGTGACTTCTGAGCTGCCAGAAGGTGTTGAGGAACACAATCGGATAGTACCAGCCATTCTGCCCAGTGGCATCCCGCGCGCCAGTCGCTTCGAGCTGCATATGCTGTCTAACAGCAGGGTGAACCTGCCGGTACTTCTGCGCACCGGCGTCAGGAACAACGGACACGGTGAAGTTCGGGTGGTAGTAAGACGCAATGGAGACATCGGGAGTGCCATCATCTTCTTCCTCCTCGGTTTCCTCCGACGAAGCAAGCAGGTTTTTCAACTTCTTCACTTTCTTCTTGGGGAGGTACTGGTTCAAGGGGCGGAAGAAATGAACGGCACTATCGGTACTGTAATCCTTAGCGGTAGGGTCGAGCTGGTGTCCGGTGAGTCCGACAAAGAAATGCGCCCAGAGAGTTCCATTGCGTTGAACCTCCTTGGGGATCTTGATGGTCGTGTCAATTTCTCTAGTGTCACTGTAGTTTCCGATAGTAAAGTTCTTTTCCTCCAGAACGAGGGAATCCGATGGGAAGGACTTGAAGCCAGGAACGACAATTGAAGGCGAAACGTAGATATTCAGGTCCAGAGCACTATCGGAAGGCCAAATCGGGGTAACGAGATCGGGAACGGGGCTGTAGTTGGACACTTCGCTGCGAGGCGGACGCGTGTTGAAAGAAGGCACATCACTAGGCTTTGCTCCTGAGCCCGCATTTTGCTTTGACCCAAAGAACTGGCTCATCACAAATTGCGCCAACAAGAAAAAAGCCAGACCCTGAAGGGCACCCTTGAAGCCGGACTAAAGCAAGGAAAAGCGACTGTCAGCTAACCCATCGAATCCTGTACCACAAACAAAGCAGATTGAAGCATACGCACGCCTTGCTCCGACTCCTCCCTACGCTGACGTTGTTCCGGCATTGCGACCCGTTTATAAAGAACCTGGTCAGCAAAGAGGGAAAAACGGGGGAGAGGGGGAAGAAGAAGAAGAAGAAGGAAGAGAAAAGAGGCCACGAAGGAATACGAAGGCTAACGGCTGGTTGGTTGGTTGGTTCTGGCCCAGAAGCCCGGCGTTTGGCCCTTGGCGGGTCCCGGCGATAAGCCAGGCGGAAGTGGGAAGCATGTCATAAATCCCTCCTCCGCGGATTTCTCCACATCACCGATCTGCTACGATTCCGCCGGACTTGGAGAAGAGCACTGAGTCGCGCAATAGGCATGTTAGGCTCATGAAGGTCGGTTTTTATCCCAATGGCGGACAATCAGCCCTCTCCCGATTACTCCCGGCCTCAGTTTCCTGCTCATAATGAGCCGCGGGTGTGGGTTATCACGGCCGGGGATTCCCCCATCGGCATCTCTGTGACGCGCCAGATCTTAATGCATGGAGACTATGCCCTGGTTGGACTGGCGCACTCGAGCCTAGATCGCGATGAATGTCGTCGAGATATGTTCGATGCTTTTCTGGCAGAAATTGAAAGCAATGAGGGATGGGGGAAGCGATTCAAGGCACTGCCTCTGGACATAAGGTGTGATTGGGTCTTGTTACTCTCGAATATATGACATAGGCTTATAATAATCTCACAGAATGGTCGGCGAATGTCAGGCCATGGTGGCGCAAGCTGTCGCTTCATTCGGCAGAGTAGACGTTCTTCTTTGCTGTACTAGCCAAGGTTAGCTTTCAACGGCCTCGATACCCACATCTTGCACATCGCTAAATGGCATCGTAGCCCTCATCGGAACAGTGGAAGAGCTCTCAGCCTCGCAGCAGACACTAAATCTAGTCCGAGATCAATTCGAGAGTAACTACTTCGGACCACTCAATATCATCAAGGCAGCGCTGCCGCACATGCGAAGGCAAAAGGCAGGGCACATCACGATCCTCTCCGGCATCAGTAAGCACAGCTCCTTCTTCTCACATACATCAGGCAAAATCTAACCAGAGACAGCCGCTCACATAGGTACACCCGGACTGGGAATGTACTGCGCAGCCGGATGGGCTCTCGAAGGCTTCTGCGATGTGAGATTCACTACCACATTTCCCACCCTCTATCCCAACTTTATCGCTAACCAATCCATTACCAGAGTCTCGCATATGAGATCGCTCCATTCAACATCAAGCTCACCATTTTCCAATGCAGCATCGAGATCGGCATTCTCACAAACTTAGTAACCAGCGTTCCACCCATAGGTCCCGTATACTCATCCGCTGCTAACCACGCGCCACTCTTCCGCGGAATCATGAACCGACTCGTGTCACGTCTGTCGAGCAACACGCAATCCTCAGCGGGTTCATCAAATGGGTCGAACCAAGGTAACTCTATCGAAGATGGTCCATTCTCGGCCTCAGAGGTCATATCAACGTATCCTCCGCTAAGTTCGGCGCATATGGAGGTGCTGGTGAGTGAGACTGTCTATGCTATTACAGCTATTGCGGGCCATGAGAATCCACCGTCCCGACATATTGTGGGGCAGGAGGGTGTGGCTAGCGTAAAGGAGAAGCTCAAGACGGTTAGTGAAGAGCTGGAGGACTTCATTCAGGCAAGCTTTGCTGTGGATTATGCTGCTGATGAGGCTGGTCGGTCGTCTAAGGAGGAGGGTATGATTATGGGTATGGGTACTGGTCATGAGGGATTTCAATGATTATTAAGTCTTGATGTGTTTGGATCAATAATAGGTAATATTGTGAATGAGTTCGCTCATGCCTATGGTAGAGGTATCATGAGCGACTTGCACTCTATTGGCGACACACCGTTATCTAAAGTAGAGTTTATCGTTATCCAAACTGGGAGAAATTAAAGCATGCTAGTATGTTGGGCGCACATAGAAGGACCAGCCATCCTATTTACTTCCTAGCACGTTGGAACCAAGCTTGTCTAACCTCCCATAGACTCCCCATATCCTGATTGTTCCTGTATGCACGGAACTCTTTCCAAGCATTCCCGTTAGGAATGTCCGTAATACGGCCATCAACTTCGATAATCTTGGAGGCAAGCGAGGTAAGCCCCTGGATATTCTCAACCAAAATCCCGTCCATCCTCTCATCGAGGATGTCCGCAGGAGCCGTCTCTTCTGTCTCTTTTGTCGATTCCTGGGGGGCATCAGGCACTGATACGGGCGGTTCCTCTGATGCTTCGCCCGCACTTTCCGGCTTCTCACTTGACGCTGTGGAGATTGCTGCAGCCTCGGCGGATGAAACGGCCTCCGCCGCCGTTGAAGGGCTGACGGTATCTGCGGCCGCTTCGGTTGGCAACTCGCTAGAAGATGCCGCTTGGTCATTGGCTTCTGGAGGCTTAGAACGCTGTCGTTTGCAGTCGCCGTGTTCATCTTCACATTTGCGCTTCTTAGGAGAGACAGGCTCTGTCGTTCCGCTGGCGTTCAATTGGACGTTATAGTCGATTTCAGCAGCATTACTATCTTGCTGCTGGTCGCCAGCTTCTACATCGGCTTTTAACCCATCCGCATGGCTTTGATTTTGTGTGTACCCGCTTGAGACAGCTGGGAGAAATACACGCTGTCCGGGAGGAATGATGAAGTTCAGCCGCGCGCCATTAATGCCCACAATCTAGCAAGTTGTTAGAGTGTTCATCTAAGTCGAATCGAGGAAGTGATGAAAGTTCCCACATACCCTAGCTTCCTTCTCTACCAGAACTCTGTCGGCACCTTTGGAAAAGCATCGCGAATACTTCCAGACATCGCCCTCGCGGACAACATTGTGATCGATCAGTGTCTTCAATTTCACCTGGGAGCTTTGCCCTGCCACCAATGTCTTGTCCATCCTCTGTTTCTGTCCCCAAAACTCCTCGAACTCTTCCTCCTTGAACCTGTCAAACCTGCCCGCGGCCCTCTCCTCCATGGCCAGCTTGGCCTGGCGCAACCATTCCGGATCATGGTAACCATTCTCCAGCTCTGCTTGGAATTGCCGAATACCTTCGCGCCAGTTATTCGAGTAGCGTAAGAAAGCGTGCGGAATTGGGGGTATCTTCGCATCGGGGTCCTCAGATGGCGGGTTAGGGTCCGGATGTACGCCATCCGGAAGAAGTCTGATGATCTCTTGCTTTTCGCTCTCTTCGAGACAGTCCCAAGCTTGAGGGTTGGCAAGCAGTCCCTACTCAATAGGCATCAGTTAGCATACAATCCAGACATTGCGCCAGCGCGATAGTGTCATATCTAGCGATTCCAACGTACCACTAAATCCGCATCAACCAAGGGGGACGTCGTGCTCGTCATTACCCTCTGCTCCTCCCATCGATCTTTCGCGGCTCTTCTAGGATTCCGCTTCGTTTTAGCATTGGTAGTAGTAGATGGTGACATCGCGGAGCTCGATTCGCCGGCATTACTCTGTTTAGCCGCATTCACAGAGCGAGAGGAGCGGCTTCTGAAACATTCTCAAGGTCAGCACTCTTCACTAAATCAGCGACGGCCTTATTCAGCGGTCGCCATATGCGTCTTGTTCCAGCCACAAGAGGGAAAGAAGATAACGCAAGCATTAGTTGGCTAATCGTACCTTGTTGTTGGCTGCTTCGCTGCTGAACTGCCGCGGTCGACCGCCTTGCGAGGGCGGGCCATTGATCCGCGGGCCTGGATTGGAGATCTGGACAATACCCCGAAGTCACCAACCTACCACTGCGTCGACAGAAGGAGTGCTCAAGTAGGTGATAGGACGGAAATTAAGTATCGCCACGATGGTTAGGTCAACACAGATTGCCAGAATTGATGGTAAGATGCTGTCCGGAGCTTGTTCAGGGGGAACAGAGTGAGGGGTGAGCCAAGTGTGCCGTTTACTGATATTACGAGACAGGCTTGATGCTGGCGGCATCGGTGGATGATGAGCAGGTTAGTTTGGTTCAGGGCGCATTCACTGCTCTATTGTTGCTTGATAACTGACAATGGGATTCCTGGTGTTCTTCTCTAGGCTGAAGTGGAGCTCTCTGAGATCAAGTCTCAGGCTAAGATGATCTTTCGCCGATTGAATCGCAATTCGGCGCCGCAAGCCAGTATTGAGTCCGGTCAATTTAATCTACAGTATGTCTGACATTTTGGAATTTGTACGACGCAAAAACTAGTCAGTGCAGTTGGCTAAAGACCGGTGTTAGCTATCTTATCAAGGATGATATCTGCTTCCTTTGCATATGCGATCACTCCTATCCGCGCAAGCTTGCATTCACCTATCTAGCCGATCTCGCAACCGAGTTCACTACGACGTATTCCCCGACACAGTATCAATCTCCGACTCTGCGCCCATATGCCTTTGTGGAATTCGACACTTTCATTCAGCGCACCAAAAAGCTCTACCAGGATAGCCGCGCATCGCAAAATCTCGACCGTCTGAACGATGAGCTCCGGGACGTGACGAAAGTGATGACCAAGAACATCGAGGACCTTCTATACAGAGGCGATAGCTTGGAGAGGATGGGCGAATTGTCGGGCCGTCTACGGGAAGACAGCAAGAAGTACAGAAAGGCCGCGGTACGGATCAACTGGGAGTTGTTGGTCAAACAGGTAGGTTCAATGTTGATGTGACGGCAGACTTGACGCTAACCTGTCGCAGTACGGACCTGTCGCAGGTGTTGGGTTTATCTTCCTTTTCCTCATTTGGTGGCGCTTCTTTTAATTGCGGGCAAAGCGGCTCCGAAACTCGATACCCGCTAATATGATTGTATGCATAGATAATGTCTCTGGTGGTTGCAGGACACCATCCCCCTAAGCCCAGGACTTAATCAGCTCTAACAAAAATCTGGTAGAGCTGTTGGAGTGTATAGCTTAAGCCGTCGCATAGTTGTAAGAGCATGAACAGCGGCTCCGCATCATTTGATCGCGCATGGCCCGTATCGCATAAAGATGGTGCTATAAAGGACGTCGCAGTCCGTCAAGTGGTGTCTTGTGGCGTATATGAAGGGGCTGTCTGGTGATGAATTCGAGGTAAATAGATCTAGATTTCATCTTCCTCTTCGTCAAAATCGTCCTCTTCTCCCATGTCGTATAAGATGCGTCCTCCTTCACCAGGACCGTCGCCCTGCTGGGCATCGAAGTACGGCAGCACCACACCCTCTCGCTCTCGTCTCTGTCTTTCCGTAAGGCGCAATTCGAATGTTGATTCGGGCTCTTCTTCGCCTGCACCAGCGTCCGGCTCCTGCGGCGGGCGGTACAAGGGATGGTCGTCCAGCAACGTCACAATCTCCTTCACGTATTGGGGAGGGTAACGAGACGCAGGAGGAAGGAAGTACCATTCCAAGACGCCGCGACCACTCTTTCTGCGGTGCTCCAGCTCGAGTACAATCCCCTCTGATGAGTCTTGACCACTCGGTCTGTCCAGTCGGCCAAGGAGCACACCATCCTGCTCTTCTTCAAGACCAAAGACAGGCGCGGCCAAACTCCGATCGCGTGCCGCTTTCTGCGCGAGAATATGCGAGAATGAATGGAGGGTGATGATTGTAGTAGCGAGGTATGTCAGCATTGAGAGGGGCGAGGGTGCGTAGGGCGAGAGAGCAGGTGGGCTGGGAACATCCTGATGAAAGTTTACCACGAGCGACACCTCCACCTTCGGAGCTGTGGGATTCGGTGGAATCAGGAAGGAGCTTAGAAATTGTGATACATGGAACTGAGGATCATTCTTTTTCGAGTGTAGAAGCGGGTTGATGGCGTCAATGAGGATGAGTCTCCCTTGGATACATTAGCCAATTCACGGATGAAGCTCGGCGGAAGAAGCTTGGGATAGGCATACTTCGGGTAGGGCTATTCGATGAGACATTTTGGTAAGCAGCGCCAACTGCTTTCAGGATCTCTAAAGGACTCTTCCGGCGAGCGGGAATGAATGCATCGACGCCCTCCGGGGGTTTCAATGTTTCAAAGGCAAGGAGGGTTACATGGGTCCTGGAAAGCTGTTGCGACGACAGTTAGCCACGTCGGCAAGCAATGACGGAACAGGCACTTAATGGCACGAGGGCCATTGTTCAACTGCCTCGTAGCCGACTTTCAACTGTGCGAACAGCCCTCCAATTCTCAGAGCAAACAGCATGCCTACCTTTGCACGCCGAATGTATTCTTTGGTCAATGGGGTCGCGGGCTGCTCTAGTGAGTCCAAGACCAAGGTAAGCGGTGATGCGGTATCTCTCAGGCTAAGAAGCTTTGAAATCAAGAGCAGATTATGCGTCTGTCGGTGAGAAGTGCTTGCGGGCGCCATAATTGAAGTCAAGTAAGGGCGACGTGCAGCGGAGGATCGGGAATGGGAAATTTGAAGAAAATCGGAATCGGTTCGGCACAGAAGATTGCGGGGTCCAGGAATCGAGCTATGGAGGGGTTCGCTCAGCTCGGGGCGCCCAAGATTTCCAATGAGCGATCTCGCTTGCGTTTAAGCTCATGCTGTCGGCCCACCCGCATGATGTACTACTATTCGGAGAATTAAAGAGTTCAATTGTCAGGTGTATCACAAGGGATCATTGCAATCCATACTGTCTGAAAGAAGTAGTATGTTTGTACCAGATCTTCAACCTGATACAATTTGAGGCTCAAAAGCACTGTGACTTTATTTTGAGGTTAAAAAGTAAACACATGCCATTATACTGCAAATAGCGCATAAATCACAAGTGATAAAGCAGATAACATCTCTTCCATACCCATAGATGCTATTGTAGTCACTTTCATGGGCTCATTGAATATGACATTTGTTTATGCATTGAGATGATGGGATCTGTACCAATCTACTACACTTGATCCTGTGTAGACTACGGAGTAGGCTACTAACTAGTACTACTGTGTGTGTGTCAGATGCCAGTCAATCACTAGTCACAAAAATTACTGCAATGGTAAATTACTACTAGTAGTTATCGGAATAAGGCCTTATGAGGCTTTTCCCAGGGTCTCAAACTGAAAATATACTTCGCTGGACGGCTGAGCTGGCTCGAATGGGAACATGCTGACAGTTGACATCTGTCTCAGCCACCAGAAAGGTACCATAAAATAACACTAAAATTTGAATTAAACTCTTACGCGAGGCTGCCAAACTGAGACTCTACCAACGAACAACTGGACCTACATGGGAATTTGGTTATCGCATATCTCCGGCAACGATAAGGTGGCCGCACCAGTTCCCGGAACAACTCGATTGTATGTCACAATTTCGCTTACTCCCACCTTATGAGTGTGAAATTCGCCAGTCTATAATATATCATAGCAATGACCGATGACAGATGATTCATTTATCCCTCTGCTTATCCAGTGAATAGCCTGGGTCGTAGATCGGCGGTGGTTCAAGCCCATCTGGCTAGCCGCGCAGTAGGTCGAAACCGGCTACCGTAATAATCTTCACGCCTTCAATCTCGGGACCTGACTTACGGAGCACTTTTCTCATTCTCAGTCAAGACTACAACCACTACGTGGCGCGCCTATCTCTATCAATTGACATTGAAAAGTAGAGGAAGAAGAGTAATGGACTAATTACTTTGGATATCTCCTTAGCAGCCGCCATATCCCCCATCCCCCTTCCCTTTGAACCGCTCCTGCGGAATCACACGTGCACGAAGAAAACAACTCTCCATCAACACAACGACTCTCACAGACACCGTCTCCAAGATGACGGAACCACCAGCGAAACGTGCTCGCCGAGTCGATAGCTCAGCTATGTGGGACCAAGATGACCGGAGGACACGTTCACCCGAATTAGAACCAGATTATACCAGAAGCCCTCGACGGGACCATGTTGCGAGAGATGATGGACGACGCGATGGGCCTCGTGATGATCGGAGATACCGTTCTCGCTCCAGGGACCGGAGAGACAGGAGGCGAGATAGAAGCCGGTCGAGGGATCGCCGCGACCGCGACCGCAGAGACAGAGACGGACGGGGAATGAGGGATAGGGAAAGAAGTGTCAGTCGGGATAGGCACTATGATAGACGCGGTATGTCGGAGATAAGAATCAAAACTCTTTAAACTACGGATGCTAACAACGCATGAAGGCTATCCTTCAAAAGGAGACAGGTACAGGTCGCGATCACCTATTCCGAACGGCAACAGGGACCGGTCGCGGACGCCGCCACCTCGCGGACCCCGGAGCGACCGCAGGCACGACCGCAGGGACCATAGAGGACAGACAAACGGTGCTACGGATGCGAAGTCAGGAGGGAACCGGTTCAAAGACGAAATGGAGGTGGACAGTGACGGAGCTGTTGGAGAAGACGATGTCGAGGAAATGATGCGCCGCAGCATGGGATTCACGAAATTCAGGAGCACGAAGAATACCAAGGTCCCCGGGAACGACATTTACGGAGTCCGCAAGGAGAAGAAGACGGAGTACAGACAGTACATGAATCGTGTCGGAGGATTCAACAGACCTCTCAGTCCCTCGAGGTAACCAAGGCCTTCTGTCTCCCGGCTACCTTCACGATATTATCGGTCGCCTCTTGCTCACATCCTCAACTTTGCACTTTCGACTTATTCCACACTTCTAAATGTTCTTTCTCTGTTGGGGCGATATCAGTTTTCATGCATGGCTGGAGTCAAGATCTATGGAGGGATTTTTCTTTTGTTGTCGCTCGACTTTTTTCAAGCAAATAAGATACCTTTCAAAGCCTGTCTATACCCTTGCATTGGTTCTTAGTAGATCGAATCAAGGCAGATGTAATATAATTAAGACTTATCAGGACGCTCGGCACATGACCTCAGTGACGTATGCCCCTCTTTTAAAAGGCTTGCTTCCGACACCAACTCGACTCCCCGGCATTACATCAAGCCCCTCGTCATCTCATCACCGTGGCTTCTCTGAAAGCTCTGGTGTCTAGAATTGCGCCATACCACAAGATGCCGACCTCTGGTGAGCGCCGTGAAATTGTGATCGTTGGTACGTGTGCGCCGCATGCGCATCAATCTACTTATCTTTATCTACCCCGCACAGCTCGGAAGATGCGTGCTAATGGCTCTTCCTTAAGGTGGTGGTATCATTGGATGCTGCTCAGCCTATTACTTGACCAGACATCCTTCTTTTGATCCCTCACGGCATTCGGTGACTCTGATCGAAGCATCCGACATTGCAGGAGGGGCGTCGGGCAAAGCAGGAGGCCTTCTGGCATTGTGGGCTTACCCGAGCAATATCGTCCCACTGAGCTACAAGTTGCATGCGGACTTGGCTAAAGAGCATAATGGCAAGGAGAGATGGGGTTATCGAGAAGTCAAATGTGGGCAGCTCATGGCGAAGGGCCGTCCTCTCAGTGACAAGAAAGATACCGGCGCAGGAGCAAGCGGGAGCTCGGTGTCGCTACAGAAGCGGAGCGCCGATGCTATGGGGAAATTGAAAGCTGCAAAGTTCCCCAAAGATCTAGACTGGTTTGAGCCCGAGTCTGTGAGAAGCTACACAAGCATGAGCGATCCCGGAGAGACTGCACAGGTTCATCCTTATCTCTTTACGACTTCTATCGCTAAGCTTGCCGAAGAGAAGGGCGCAAAGATTATTCTGGGTTCGGTTACTGGCATCGACTATTCCGGAGATGCTGTCCAGTCAGTATCATATACCGATAAGAAGACGGCCGAATCGCGCAGCATCTCAGCAACAGACGTTGTTGTTGCTGCCGGTCCTTGGACGAGGTCGGTCTTGCCAGAAGCCCCTATCACGGCAACTCGCGCACATAGTGTTGTTATCCGGCCAGTTGAGCCAGTCAGCGCATACACTCTTTTCACCAGCATTGATCTCCCGGCCAACTTCGATCCTACGAAGCCTTCTCGGCCTGATGAGGCAGCGCCAGAGATTTACGCTCGCCCAGACAACACGGTCTATGCATGTGGTGAAGGCGACCACGTCGTTCCACTTCCAGAAACCAGCGCAGATGTTGAAGTGGACCAAGTGCGATGCCAGGACATTATCAACCAAGTCGGCAGCATCTCTGATCGACTCCGTGATGGCGAGGTCTTAGCCCGACAGGCTTGTTACTTGCCTAATGTGGCTGCTGCACGCGGAGGTCCATTGATTGGCCATACTGGCACCAAGGGGTTATACCTTGCTGCTGGTCATACTTGCTGGGGCATACAGAACGCGCCGGGTACTGGCAAGCTGATCAGCGAATTCGTTTTCGATGGTGCAGCTAAGAGCGCGAAGATCAGTTCTCTGGATCCGAGGAATTTTCTATAGAATAGAAGGCTGTAGATAGCAATCTGCACAGCAAATGCATAAATTGCAGGTAGATTTATAGTTCTCTCTAGCAGGAGCTTATTGCAGGCTGCAGGACCCATTGTCGGGAGGTGGAGCTTGGGCCACGTAATTTGCGGAGCGGAGGCCGGCCGCTCCAGCAGATGCCAGATAGTAACAACGACGCGCATTTCAATGAACTGAACCGCATCGGTCTCAATTTGTCCCCTCCATGATCGTCCTCAGTCTCTGAGGTTTGAATTGAGTTCTGGATGCTTTCGATATAGAAAATGCATCTTTCTAAGATATCCGCAATCTTGACGCCGGTACTCAATGCCGCTGCGGTACTCTCCAGTCAAGCTCCGGCCGATGATCTCTCCGTTCTGAGCAGCGAGGTAGCCAGAGCCAACAACCAGTCTTTGCTATGGGGCCCATATAAACCAAACCTCTACTTTGGCGTTCGCCCTCGCATCCCGAACAGCCTGTTTGCAGGATTGATGTGGGCGAAGGTGGACAATTATGCCACGGCGCAACAGAGTATGTGTCCGGAACAAGCAGACCGGTCTCTTCCCTCCAACAATTGTATCCGCCCAACTTCTGACTGACGGTTTTCAAAAGACTTTAGACATACCTGCGAGCAAAATGAAGGCATGGCTGGCTATGGCTGGGATGAGTACGACATCCGGAAGGGTGGCCGCCAGACAATCCATGATGCCGGAAACTCCCTTGATCTGACGATCGATTTCGTGAAGGTCCCCGGTGGACAACATGGAGGCAGCTGGGCTGCTCGCGTGAAGGGTGTTCCGCGCGGTGATGCTGATCCTGATCAACCTACAAGTGTTCTTTTCTATGCGGGCTTGGAGGGACTTGGCAACCTGGGCGTTGAGGGCGAACCTGAGGATCCTCGCGGCTTTACGGGTGATGTTAAACTGGGTGGCTTTACGACGGATCTCGGCGATTTCTCGATCGATGTTACTTCTGGCCCTGAGAGCAACGAGTATCCGGAGCACGGTCACCCAACATATGACGAGAAGCCCCTGGACCGTACCTTGGTGTCGAGTCTGACCATGCACCCAGAGCAGCTCTGGCAGACTAAAGGTTCGGCTCCATTGCTGGATATTACAATCTATCCTTCAGGATAATGACGCTAACTTCAAGTGCAGTTATCATGTTTACGCAGATGAAGAAAGAGGTCGACGAAATGGTCGAAAAGTATGGATCAGAGAACCCTCCCCCTCCCTACCAGCTCTTCACCATCAAGAATGAGCCCGGTGATGGTAACATGCACCTTGTGCAGAAGGTTTTCAAGGGCTCTTTCGAGGTATTTCGCGCAAAATCACCCCACCTATGAAATGATACTTACCATTGCTAGTTCGATATTCTTTTCTCTTCTGCATCTTCTCCGCAGCCTATGACTTGTGAGATATTTTGCCCTCGACCTAGATACTTAACCTATACTAAAGAATGTGTCGATAGCTGAGCTTCTTACCGAGCAGATCTCAAGCGCCTCTCTTGAGTTCTCCGAACGGTTCGAAAGCGTTCACCCCCCGCAAGCACCATTTGATACTGCGGAATACACCGAATTTTCCAAGTCCATGCTCTCGAACCTTGTCGGTGGAATTGGATTCTTCCACGGAACAGATATCGTTGATCGTTCGGCCGCACCGGAGTATGACGAGGAGAATGAAGGCTTCTGGGAAGAGACTGCCGAGGCTAGGGGTCGGGCACAGCCCATCCTTGAGGGTCCGAAGGATCTCTTCACTTGCGTTCCCTCTCGCCCATTCTTCCCTAGAGGATTCCTCTGGGATGAAGGTTTCCACCTGATTCCAGTTATCGATTGGGATACAGACCTCGCGTAAGTTTCCGGAATCCAGAGTCTGGCACAGCATTACTTATAGATTGACTAACTCCAACAAGACTTGAGATCGTCAAGAGCTGGCTTAGTTTAATGGATGAGGATGGTTGGATTGCCAGAGAGCAAATTCTTGGATCCGAGGCTCGCAGCAAGGTTCCTCCCGAGTTCACGATCCAATACCCTCATTATGCCAATCCTCCGACGCTTTTCATCATTCTGGAGGCTTTCATCGATAAGCTGGATGCGAAGAAGAACGCCTCGATGCAGACATACGCTGATTCTGGGGTCACTGGCAACCTCCGCTCTATTTTCGTCGACCAACCTGAGTTGGGTGAAGCATTTATCCGCTCAATCTACCCGTTGCTCAAGAAGCATTACTACTGGTACAGAAGCACCCAGAAAGGTGACATCAAGTCCTATGACCGTGAGGCATACTCTACTAGGGAAGCCTACCGCTGGCGTGGACGCTCGATCCAGCATATCCTGACGTCTGGATTGGATGATTATCCTCGGCCTCAACCTCCCCACCCCGGTGAGCTGCACGTCGACCTTATGAGCTGGATGGGCATGATGACTCGTGCTCTTCGTCGTATTGCGGTGACCATTGGGGAGACAGAGGACGCTGAGGTGTTCAAGACCTACGAAACCGCCATCGAGAGAAACATCGATGATCTTCACTGGGATGACGACGCTCGTACTTACTGCGATGCGACTATCGATGAATATGAGGAGCATGTCCACGTTTGCCACAAGGGTTATATCTCCATCTTCCCCTTCCTCACTGGCATGCTGGGCCCGGATAGCCCCCGCTTGAAGGCCATTTTGGATTTGATAGGTGACCCGGAGGAGCTCTGGAGCGACTATGGTATTCGCAGCTTGAGCAAGAAGGACCAATTCTACGGCACCGCTGAGAACTACTGGAGAAGCCCCATCTGGGTTAACATCAACTACTTGGTGCTTAAGAACCTCTACGTAAGTAGCTATCTGCTCTAGACAAGACCCCTCGCAATAATGCTGACCTTTCATTTTAGGATATTGCGATCGTTTCCGGCCCTCACAAGGAACAGGCTCGTGAGCTGTATTCCAACCTGCGCAAGAACTTGGTTGAGAATGTCTTCCAGGAGTGGAAGAAGACCGGATTTGCCTGGGAGCAATATAACCCCGAAACCGGAAGCGGACAGCGGACCCAACACTTCACCGGCTGGACCAGTATGGTGGTGAAGATGATGTCCATGCCCGATCTGCCCGCCAGCGAGCAGAAGGGCCATGACGAGCTGTAGCCCCATGTAGGAGAAGTATGTATGGCATAGTTTAGATATCCTGGAGTATCATCAAAGTCTGTACAATGTTAAATCCCGAACGCCGAGAATATCATGCAAATCAAGGAATGGCGACTCTAATTTCAGCGTCGTCGATGATGGTCGGGAGAATCCCTTTCTCTCGGGTGAGTGCGATAACGGTCCTCTCGCTGCCTCCTATGATCATCACGTCTCCGGTCTCTACTTCTCGACCGTGATCGCGAGCGTCTTCTTCTGTGGTCGCGATCGCGATCATGATCACGATCACGCGACCTACTTCTAGATCTGTGGCGATGACTGCGATGACGTCGCTCGCGCTCCTCACCGTGCCTGCGATGCCGGCGCTCTCGTTCTCTGTCCCTGTCCCTATCCCTATCTCTGTCGCCTGGGCGGTCTCGCTTTCGGTCCCTCCCCGGGCTTCGACTACGGCCGCTGCGTCGGGACGAGCCATATCCAATGCCCTTTCCTTCTTTCTCATCGCCATCTTCTGTAGCATCCTGTATTGTCCTTTGCCCCTCTTTGTCCCCTAGAGGCACCAAGTTGGCATTGTCTGACGCCTTAGGTGGTATAGGAAGACCTAAAGCTCGTGCCATCGCTTCTTCCTCAGCTTCCTTGACGCGCTGTTTCTCCTCACGCTCCTTTCTGGCCTGATCTTCGTCATCACCGTCCCCCTTTGCATACCACATTAAATCCTTTCCCTGTTGCCAGCGTCCGACAGGGGCCATGACCGAGTGGCCGAGATAGTTCTCGCGGTGCGCGGAATCTTTGACATCGGACCATTTGAAATCACCGCGGCCGCCACTGGAGGTGACAGTTAGTTTAGGATATCATCTCACCAGGGTAGGTAGAAAGTTGGGGAACTGACCGGCTGCCCTCTTTCCGAACACCTGCGACGAGATCCATTTTGAGGGTTAACCCAACGGGAAGCAGTGGTTTAAACACGTCGGAAAAGAATCCAGGATGAATCGGGGAAGTGAAGCTGAAGCTCCCGGAGAACCACCGGTGGCACGTGCGCAGTCTTGTGCCTAAGGCAGCCAGGACGGGCTGAAAGTGACCTCATATCAGCCCGGCTGTGTTGAGGCAGTCCGATTTGTGATGGCATCTACCCGGAGGTGAGATTCCTGAGCAGGAACTTCTAGATCGCTTTACTCTTGTGGTATGTACCTTCGCCAGACTCACGAGTTCCGCCGCAGCTTTGGACAACAAACCCGGCCATCGTTCGACTCCATGTGATGTCACCGAGATTGTATTCCCTCCAGAACTGCCCCTCGACGCCTGTGTATGTCGGTCATCTTGCCGCCTTCACTTCCCCCGATCCGTACGCCTCGAACGTGAGTGGTTGATCGTCGGAAATATACTTCGGCGCACTTTGTCCTTGTATCCAACCCATATCCTCCCGTTAGCGACTGCCAGGCTGCCAACATGGCGTTCAGTAGCGATGCTGGTAAGCTGCCAAAAGCGCGGCCTCGAGAAGGTCTACAGCTTCGGCCTTTGAATGTCGAGAAAGGGTCCAAAAGAGTATGTAGCTACCCCTCTTCTACCGTCATGAAAGCTACTCCAGTGTGCAAATCGACTTACAAGCATGCTGACCTCCCACCAAGTACTCTTCGTATGTTTCTGCTGCCATGATCCGAAACGCTGTCTGTTAGCGATGCTGAACGAAACTGCAGCGCAGATGATACTTTCCCTCCTCAGACCGCCACTTGGAGGAACAACTTGGTACTTTATTGCTGCCTTTCTTGTGCTACCTGAGTGCCATGCGCTAATTTTGCTGAAGATGGCGCTTTCCCAGCGCCGAAACTTATTGTTCGTCGCTTACAGTCACCAAATCTATGTCTGGGAGCCATCAGGGTCGTTTCAGACGCTGGGAAACAAGCCCGAGATGATAATAACCCCCGTAATGAAGGTTCCCCATGCTAGCGGCTATATTGCACCAGCTTCGCCACACGCGATCAACAACCTCCTTGTGGATGATCTAGGTCGAGATGAAGTCCTATTACTTGTTACTGATTCCGGCAACGTTTGTGGGTATCGAGTCGAGGCCATCTTCTCTGCCTTGAAGCGAGCGGCAGAGAATAAGGAAGAGCGCCCCCTCGATGGATCCCAGGTGGATCCATTCTTTGTGGAATTTGTTCAAGCTAGTGCCTGGGGCCTGGCTATCCATAAATTCGCCCGCCTCATTGCAGTGAGCGCGAATACGGGCCTCATAACCGTTTTTGCCTTTGCACTCGTGAACCCCACTTCGGAAAGCAGTAGCTCGAGCTATCACCCAGAAGACGATGATGATATGATCGATTACGGCCAAACCTGGCTGGAGGTCAGGACCAAGGACCAGTTCAATCAGCTGCGACATCTGATGCCGGACAGACACCGCACACGAAATGTTAAGCTGACTTATACCGGTCATTACGCTAATATCCCTTCCGTTGGTTTCTTGAATTGCGATCTCGACCCTAACGGCAATTGGATGGTGAGCACAGACATCGATAATAGGCTCCTTGTATGGCGGGTATGGGATAGTCTTGGCCCTTTCAACGTGAACCACTTCAATGATGTCTCTTTCAAGTTCTTCCCGGAGACCCTACGTAACGAGTACGGTTTTATCCCCAGCTTGAGCACTAGGACTCGAACGACTGACCAGGTGATAGTGAACGTGGCTGGTCTGTGATTGCCCTCGACCCGCGGACCTTCCATCGTGTTAAGTCTACTGAAGAAGCTTGTGGCGGCCCACCCAATCGCCGGGTAAAGGGCGGCCGGACCGTTTACGACCTAACGAGAGCGAACAGTCGGATACCGAACGCTTCACAGATATACAACTTCTTCCCACCTGCAGTGAAGATCGAGTCAGAGGAACCTGTTTTGCCCGACATATTTGGAGCCGACTGTTGCATTAGCAGACGAAACGGCCCATCCCAGGCCGCTTTTGGTGATGGCTCATCAGCGGCACTTCGTCGCAATCCAAGCGATGGCGCGTCGGCAGAGTTTCTTGATGCCAACGGGTCGTCCACGATCACTGGAAATGTTCGTCCTTTTGATTTTGCTGATACGTTCAGCCACCGAGCCGTCAATGGGTCTGTATATGGCGACAACTTGAGCCGCGACGGCTCTGATGTGGATGTGGGAGCGCATAATGCAGCAGGTAATGGCCATTGCCAGCCACTAAACCGTACAGTTCAGAGAATTGACGCTCTTCATCTAGGCCCTGGCCCCCTGACCACACCAGAATTCCTTCAATTCGCACTTCTTGAGGCTCTTGGCGGCGAAGCACCCGGTACCGAATTTTATGAGGACGAAATAGATTATTACCTGGCTGGAGGCACTTACAGTTCCGATCATGAGCTGGATAATGCCGACAGTACTTCCTCCTATAATAGCGACATGTCAGCAGCGGGGCCTGTTTCATACCCACTACTTGACGGTGAGTTGGATTACCCTCAAAGCTCTACCCCCTGTAGACATTGTCATGTTGATAACATTTCGGATACGAATTCAGCAGGTTCCCGATTTCCCATCCTACACTTCTCACAAACAGACATCCGTTTAATACCCCATCCATTCGCAAATTACGCCACAGTGGTCTGCGGCGACCCTTTACGACAACCCCTTACCCACCCCATTGTCTCCATCCGAGCCTGCGATCGCTTCAACATGGTGAAATATGTCCCAGAACATGGCATCGTGATTGCCGCCTCCCAAAAAGGCCGCGCAGCCGTTATAGCCCTCACGGAATCTGAAGCAACCGGCCTATCATTCCGAGTCGATTGGATTGTACCGTTCGAGAGTCAAGAAAAATACGGCGACCGTCCTCTCGTCCCCATCTTGGGAATGAGCGTCAGTCCCATCCAAGGTTTCGAGATCCCGCCGGACGTACCTTATATCCCCCGCGACGTCAAGCCCGACGACCTCGCCTTCCAATTCAAGTACCTGAGTCATGACGAACCCAGCTCCTCTCTATCAAGCAGCGTCATGCTACAACAGAGTTCCTTCAATGAAGAGATCAACGATTCGGAAGTCGATCCCAGTGAAACTGCCGATGACGACAGCCCCCAACCACCCCCGCTCAGCTTGCCAGAATGCCACGCCCGCGCAAGCAGTGCCTACCAGCCCGAGGAAAGCTGGCGCGGCTGGAACCCATCGCGCCATTACCGGCTAATGCTCATGTACGCGGACCATACCATCATGAGTTATGAGTTCTGGTACAAGTGGAATACTACGGATGCCGGTCCGAATGGCCAGGATCTCGACGAGGAAGATGATATCCTCCTTGTATAGGCTCTTCCCCTTTGTGCCACAAAAAGCAAAATTATGATAGATTTAGGATAGTGGTGATGAAAAGTACTGGGGCGTGAGCGTGAGGGTGCGAGTCATTGATCGCCTCTTCCTCGCATTGCATATATGAAAAAGGGCGTTTTTGGAGCGTATTGTTGTTGTCACTGAAACTTTTTAAGCACAGCGCTATGACCATGGATTCCAAACCAAGAAGTTCGTTCCAAGGTGCTAGGGTCTCTTTCTAAGACTGGGTTACTCGATCGCTCTTATTTCTCTCTGTTATTTAGTTTCTCTTATTTCGGGATCTGAGGCCCCTCACCTTTTCTATTTCCGTGGTCTCAATGGACATACTTTTGACTCCGATATGTGTTGTTTATACGGATGTATGGTTTACTTTACCCTATTTTGTAATCGAAATGCAAGATTTCGATCGGGAAGAAAATGGAAAAGCGAGTATTAAATAGACGTTGCTTTCTTTTTGAAACAGAAAAACATATCATGATATACATGCCAAAGAAGATCAACACGGCTTAAATTGAATTTTGGATGTTGGATGCAGTGTGATGCAAAGAGAAAATAAAAGGAATATGTCCAAAACCAATGAACATTTTCGCTAATGCAAGATGCATGCATAGTCATAGTCGTCAAGGTCATAGTTAGAGATGAATGGCAAGCTTCGCAAAACGTACATGAGTCGTGTCGTGATACGGTATATCCATGAAGAAACAAGTATAGATACCAAAAAGGGGGGTGAGGTATGGTAGGAGGTTCCAATATATTTAGATCCGTGGAAGTGATGGGGCCATTGCTAGAAATCATCATCTAGCTCGTCACTGTCCCATTCGTCTTCCCGGTCATTCAGGACCAGGTCCAGAAACCTCTGGAGTCCCGGGCGTCTGACTTGGGGAGGCTCGCCATCTGGACGACGGCGGACCTCGGCCATTGCTCGTGCTTGAGCTTGTCTTTCAGCTGCGGCTGCTCGACCTGCGGCGTCGAGATCATTGGCGTTGTTCCCACGATGGCGATTACCTCCAGCTGCGCCGTTGTTGACTCTTGGAGGGACCGGAGCAGGAGGTGGAGGTCGTCTGCCGAGTTCCCAAGCAACGAGGTCCTCGTCATCGCTGCCATCGTCGAAGTCCAGCAGTTCGTCGGGTACACGATGCAAGGCTGCGGCTCCATCGGGATTGATCCCATCGCCACCTTCCAGATCCCACAGTCGATTGAAACATCCACTGTTGATGTCGTTGAAATGGCGGTAAGGGTTGTCTTCGCAGAGCCAACTAGAGCAGAGATAGCAGAAGTGGGTGTCGCATTTGAAACATATCATATGATTGCAACCCATTTGCTTCTGGCATGGAGCATCGCATGTCGGACATGCCGAGGTGTACATACGCAGATACTCCTCCGTTGCTTTCTCCTCGGCCGAGAGCTCTGCTTCGCGGCGAGGGAAGCACCGTACGAGTTCGCCATGCCAGCCCTTCTTGCAAACACAACAGAAGGCATAGTTGCAATCTTCGCAGATGGCGACGCGCTCGGACATTGGTGGTAGCTGAGCCTCCTCCCCTAAGGGATCGAACACGGGTCCCTCTTCATCTTCGTCATCTTCGTCATCGAGGTCATCTGTCATTGGATCAACAGGCTTGGGGTGTCTCTTGGATCGTGCGGCTCCTTGACACCACTGCCGTGGGCAATACACAGTCGACTTGTCCGCCTCGAGCTTCTTCTTCCGTTTCAGGAAAACGTAACGCTGCACTGTCTCTTGTTCTAACGGGATCTGAAGAAGCTCGCTGGGGCTCAGGGTTCGATCTTGCTTTTTGTGTTTCTTCGGACGGGCGTCGGTGGGAGAGGTACTGTTTGATTCTTTACCACAACCAGGAGCCAAACACTTGACACCTTCGACGTCGCCTTCCGTTATACAAGAGTTGTAGAAGTCTTGGAGACAAGGCACGCAGAAGATATGCCCACAAAGTACGAGTCGGTGGCAAATCGTGCCCTTCTTGGGTTCGAGACAGACTCCACACTCAAAGGTCTCCTCCTCGAACCTTTCCCGTTCGGCTTTGTTGTTGAAGTCTAGCAATGCGATCTTTAACTCACGGGGAAGTTGAACTTCGCCACCGGATATGTCGCCAACCCCAAAAGCTGACTCCCCAAGTTGCTGAAGATGGTCAATATATGTGTATACCACGAGGTCCTTGCCACATTCCTCCCAAAGACGTTTTCCGTCATCCAAAAGACCTGACAATATAGAAGGTGGCAACCACGGAGGGTTTGTTTCAAGCCTGAAAATGGGCGGTTCTTCGGAAGGGTAACCTTGGGGCAGCTCGATTTCGAGGCAGATGGGAGGAAGATGTGAGAGTGTATGACTATCGCGATTGAGGCTAGCGGAGTTATGGTCACCTGTCTTGAAAGGAAAGCCAGGATCGTTGGCATCAACCGACGTGGGAGGAGTTAGTACGGCGGGGAACTCTGTCTCGGATTGTTGCTGGAAGCAGACACGCAGGGGAGCAGATGGCTTAACCGGTAGGGTGAGGGATGCTTTGAATGGCGAGGACGGATCTATCTTGATCTCGGGGTAGATGGCAGCAATGGATGATAACTCCACCGAGCGCTCATCTTCTGGAAGCGAGTCCAACTCTGTCATGGTGGACGCAAGCCGCCGCAGTGTAAGGAGTGAATGAATAGCCTTGAGATTTCCCAGTTGATCGACGCAAATAGCCAGACGTGTTGGGTGGCAAGGAAGGCCTTGCGGCGAAGCGAGGCCGAAACGGTATGGCCGCAGTATACCCCGGGTAGTGTCACTGTTCCGATCTCTCTATTGTATTCATTCCTCTGGGGAGGCAATCGAAGTGAAAAGAGAGGTTAAGGGCGGTGAGGGAGAGGTGGTTAAGGGCAAAGAATTAAGAATAACTAGTCCATGGATCAGCATCTAGCCAGAGGGAATAGTTTTATCAATCAGGAAGTTCGGTGGCGGAGATCCGGAGGGAGGGTGCACCTTTCAGGTACGGCCGATGGTTGCGGACCAGGCAATAGTCATGGAGGCAGTGGAGCCGATAGACGAACACAGGAGGGGAGAAGGGTTGGGCGAGACTGAAGGAGACAGGAAGCAGCAGTGTCTATTCTAGTAGTGGTTTGTAGTACAGATATACAGGAGGTGAGGCAATCAGAACGAGGCTTTGGGGGGAAGTGCGTCATGATTTTATGACCCGAGATAGATAAGAGAGGATTAGCAGCAGCGCAGCAGCAGCAGTAGTTGAACAAGATGGAAGAAGGTGGTTGCAAACACTAAAGAGCTGGCTGGGACCGAACAGGAGAAGAAGGGAAAGACATGTTTGTGTGTGGGAAAAAAAGATGGGATGGGCATCAAGCACGGGATTTGCTGCCCAGTTTGGTCATCATTTTCCAATGCGAAAATGATGGAAAATAAATGAAAATGGAATGAAACGAAATGAAATGTTCTCGATTGTTCGTTATTTTTTTGGTGACTCGACAGCCTTGTCAGCCTGAGGCCAACCCCGATCTTCCCCTCCCCCTCATTCCTCTCGCCGCTTTTAGTTCTGCCATGTTCCCCAAAGGCGGTGTCGGGGCTGCGACTCTAAAAGCGGCGATGCCACCATCCGCAGGGACTCGTGACCTTCTCTCCTGGGAAGGATGATGATATCGCCTAGACTGGTCACAATCAGACGTCTGCCATCCTAATTTTAGAAAGAATTTCAACCCGATCAACCTGCAGGACCATCCTAGAATCTTAACATCTGTCTACCCCGAATAGATCTCACACCCGTTATGTCTGTGTGCCAGTCTTGATCAGGTTTCTGATTCGGTTTAGCCCGTTCTGCCAGCTGGTATTGTAATTCTGGGTAGCTTCTGGTTCCTTGTCCACCCACCATCTGCTAGCTCCCAGCAAGACTATATAAAGAGAAACATCACTCAATCATTGTTTTTGAACTTGAACCCCGAGTTCCACAAAATGGCTGATATACCATTGGCATCCTTGTCTTTGACTCATGTCCACTACGTAAGTCTTTGCCAATGCTCCTGAATAGTCAAAGTAGCCCGGATCTCAACGCCGGACCGTCGCTGACCAAGACTATCAAACGGAAATAGGACCCCAATGATCCAATTTCCTTTCTTTCTGCCTGGCTTGCCTTAGTGCCACAAGCGCTATGCGTGAGCTATGCTACCCTGATCTGGGCTTCAAGAGAAGCTGAGGTAGTCTTGATGTTTGCGGGTCAGATGGGTTGCGAAGCACTGAATTTTGTGCTCAAGCGCATCGTCAAAGAGGAGAGGCCAAAACGTAGGTATTTCTTTGCAGATGTTTTGCTTTCCTTCGACATGAAATGGATGGAGCTAACGACTCTCTAAAGAAATGCTGGGTAAAGGCTATGGCATGCCATCTTCTCATGCCCAGTTCATGGCCTATCTCGCCGTCTATGCATCACTCTTCCTCATCTACCGACACAGCCCGAGCTTATCGCAATCAGGAGCAACCCTTTACTTCTGGACGCGAGTATTGATTTCCTTGGTGCTGTGTCTCGGTGCTGGTGCAGTAGCCGTTAGCCGCATTTACCTGAATTACCACACCCCCAAGCAGGTCCTGGCCGGGTGTGGCGCAGGTATGATCTGTGCGTTCGCTTGGTTCTTCATCACCGGGCTACTCAGGTCGCAGGGATGGATTGATTGGGTTTTGAACCTGGAGGTTGTTCAATTCTTTCGTGTGAGAGATTTGGTTGTGAACGAAGATCTCGCCGAGGCCGGATGGCAACGCTGGGAGGCCAAGCAAAAACTGAAGCGGAAGGGGGCCGGAGGTCAGGCATCGTCGAAAACCGAATAGTGCGATTCGATGACATTGAAGCGCAAGCTCGTATACCCGCCGTCCTCTGTGATACCCATAGATTTCACTGCCTATGATTGATAAATGCATGCAAGGCCTGGGAAGTGAAAGTCCCTCGGCTTGGTTCGATCCTGGCTGGAGTTACAGATTTGCCTACTATGATAGGCTTCATTTATCTACGAGTATGGGGTAAACTTGGCGATTAGTCCTTCCTTAATTGCTTTGTTGAAGATGAAGGGTTTTAGTAATATAAATGTTGGTGGTACCGATTGGAACATGCAGCTTCGCCTGAGGATATATATTGCAACAAGACGGGGACTAGAACTGCCAGCAGTACTAGTACTGTCGGAGTAGTAGTAAGAGTACTAAGTGCTTGGGAATGTGACCTTGGATAAAGCTAGAAAGGGTTAGAGCAATAGATCAACGTCTGGATCTCCTATGATCATGAAATTGGCTTTTAATTGTTTTAGAAGATCTTCTTGAGATTTCCCCCTTGATCTCCTTGATCTCTACTATGGAAGGAAGATCCACTTCGAGGGGCGTTCCTCGCACGTGACCACCAGCTCCCGCGGATCGACGGCTTCCCCGAAACTCCTCGTGTGGTCATCGTCTATTCACAAAGACAGCGGAGAGAGCTGCCTCAGAACCGCCATAAAAGACACCATGTGTCCTTTTCTTGAGTAAATAACCATGTTGGTTGATCTCTGACTTTCTCTCTCCCACCACGCTTTGTCGATTGGATTTTAACTTTCTCTTTTAACTTCTTCCGGGCTCACCCCCTGTTCACTTCCAATTGATACCCTCGATTTTGTTTCTGAACATCCTTCATAATTTTTTTTATGATCCCTTCATCTCTCGAATTTTATTGTCTCATATTTACACAAACATGGATGATGCATCGGAGCCTGCGGAAAGTGCCATGCAGGAGCATCATTTCGTCAAAGCAGACGAAGTCGACCAGACTGGAACGGATATCAGTACCGTTTCTGATGACCAGTTGATGGAGGAGGTAGCTGAGGGATTACGTCAGGAGCAGTCACAGCAGAACGTATCTACTGCGCCTAATGAAGCACCAGTAGAGATTCACAGAGCACCAAAACGCCCGGAGCTGCGTCGGGATGCTGCTGCCCCACCACCCCCTCTACAGCCACCGCCTCCAGCACCGGTTCAGCAGAATGTGGAAAGACCATCTGATTCATTGAGTCTCGCTCAGCTAAAGCAGCTGGTTCAGGAGATGCCTAAAGTTGAGCAGCCTGCGTATGCTTTCGAGTATGCCGACTCCCAACCATTCGCCGAGGAAGTCGAGGAATGGTTCCAGTACAGCGAGTTCGACAGAGTCATGCTCATTGGCATGAAGTCATCATTTGAGCATAGATGGGATTATTTCTGCGAAGACCAGTCTATGGATAATGTCCCGCAGTCCTGGATTACCGCTTCTTATGAATTACGAAAGACCTTTATGAACCAGCTTATTAATAACTTAGGTGACCGTGCGGTTCTTGTCCGAATTGAGGCCTTGGAGGCCATATGCTATGCTTTGACTGGTGTCTGGGGCCTGACGGCCGGTCGAGTTGTGGATGAGCTCCCGGAGGGCCGTCCTCAGCCAGGTGCAGAGGCTCCCGAGAGCCGGTCACTTCAGATCAAATCGATTGAACAGAATGTTTCCCTGCTCCAAGAATGCTCGGGTTTCCAGCCACTGATGAACTGCCTGTGCTGTGTCTTTGAGAGGCATCGCAGTTCAACCGCACTGGACGCGGACAGTGCTGGGCAAGAAGGCGCCAACCCTGCATATGTTGCTGCTTTGGAGAGAGAAGCAAACCTGGTGTTGACGGCTTTCTATTTGTCTGTGGAGGTTGGCCGCACGCAAGATGCTCTTGATCCCCAGAATGCCCCTCTAAGAGAGACTCTTATGAGTCTGGAGCCAAATTTACTTGTGTTTCTGGTGGAGATCATTGCGCGGTTGCGTTGGGACGACTCTGCCAATGTTCCGCTGACCAGAGTCATTCTTCTGTTTTGGAAGTCTTTGCTTCTTTTCTTCGGAGGCAGTAACAAATTGAAGGAGGCCAAGGAAGCACTAGAGCCGTCCCTCGAAGCAAGGAAAAACACCTCCAATAGAAGGACACCTTTCCTCACTGCCTCACCTCTGGATTACCACACTTTTCGACAGGAGATCACGTCCAAGTATCCTGCATATAACCCGCCACCTCCCGTGGTCCCCCTAGAGCTAGAAAATAATTCGATTCTTCCACCGCTCCCGCAACATCCCAGCAGGATGAGCTCTTCTGCGGGCCCCTTCTCTGGGGTTGGCCCTTCCGTGGCGGGTGGTGGTAGTGGTTCAATCATCCATCACCCGGTTCACATCGCTACCCCAGCACCCTCTCCCCCACCGTCACCCATTGGACCAGGCGGAAAAGCGGGAAAGAAGCAAAACTACCAGACAAACCAAAACTTTCCTTTCATGTACCCTCCTCTAGACGATTCGAGTAACGACCTTGGAGGCAAGGGCACTACAGAGCTGCAAGATAATCTTGTGGGGAAGAAGTGGCAGGGTAGTGATGTTCCGGCATCCATCATCGAGGCTGGGAGGCTGTTCTCAACACATGTCAAGATGACAAGGGCAATGCGACAACTGTGGGAAGAGCGAGAGCGTTTTATGAAATACGACCGCGGCTGGTATCCTGATGAAAGCCAGCCTCTTTTGAACGAGAACGCCGTTGGTGGACTGGCAGATGAGCTGCAAGATTTGAATGTCTCCGAGAAGAGACCGAGTACTGACAGCTCACCGGAGGAGGAAACGGACAATGCGGACATCCAGCGACGCCTGGATGCCGTTGAATCGTTCTATGTGAGTTTGCGTGGCGCCCTAGGTGACGGAACATTTACTTACGGCTCGCAGAGACAAGCACTAGTGCATCTACAGTCTATAACGATTGTCTTTCTGAAGATAATTCTGACGAACGTCAGCGCCATGGTGAGCCAGGCCAACGGACAAGCTGCGCAGGCCATGGGGTATGTGATACACCTGTAATTGCCATTGTGTAGCGTTTACTGATGCCTCATTCCCAGTGATGGTTATGGATCGGTGATCAATGGGTTCCCAGCCAATCATGCCAACGGGCACATTGATCTCAATTCCGAGGCTGCCATCGACGAGCTCGACAATATCCGGCTCCGGGAAATCACCGGCAAAGCGATTTCTGGCTCTCTGCTACTGCTTGTCAAGTGGTTCAAGAGATCTCGTAAGCTACCCCGGCCTGAATGTGTTGGAAGGAAGTACTGATAAGCCCTAGATATTCTGAAATTCGAGTATATAACGCAGTTGCTACTCGACTCCAACTACCTGCCTTTGATTTTGAAGATGTTTGCCCACCAAGATGTGGACCAGGCAGTAGCGCAGAAGAACGATCGCGAGGAATTGGGGTAGGTGCTCTTTCGTGATATAGCCGCTTAGATACTGACGAAACAAGATTTTTCCGATTCTGCCATCTACACTCGAACCAGCCGCCGGAATCGACAACCGACCTGGACGAAGACTCCTCGCCTAGTGACGACGAGGCTGTCCCTCCGCCCATCACCCGACATCGCCAGGACACAGGCAATTCAGTACGCGGCGTTTCGCCCGAAGTACATGTTCCTGAATTTATGGAAGGGCCTCATCGTCCCGAAGTTGACGAGCTAGGATATCCTACAGCACCCCCACCTAAAGAGCCGATTACCGTGTTCTCATTCCGCAACTTCTTTTCGGCGATCAATTACCTCCACATCATGCAGAAGATCACTCGCGACAAAGCCCATCGATGCCTTCTCCTGGTGCAATACAAGTCGAGCACTATCCTTCGCAAGGGGCTTAAGATTCCCGACCCCCACCTACGGTTCTATACCCTCAAGCTCTTCAAATCGCAGGTGCCATACTGTGGACGCAAATGGCGCCAGAGTAACATGCGGGTGATCACGGCGATCTATCTGTACTGCCGACCGGAGCTCCGCGACGACTGGCTATCTGGCGGAGACATTGACTCGGAGGTGGAAGAAGCGCTGCCACTGGAACAGGCACTGCGCGGACTGACGCACTGGTGGCACCTGCGCCGGTACAAGGACGTGATGGGAGGCGAAGAAGGCGCATCCATGATGGAAGAAGAGCGAGATTTCTTCGTGCGGGAGCTCGAGGCAATGGGATGGGGCATGGCAGGCGAGGAATCCTTCGGAGGCAGCGAGGACGCTGAAATGGGCGGGCCTTTGATGAACGGGACGGGGACCGAATGGGACGGAGCTCCACTGCAAATGGAAGGATGGTAATCCTACCACTACAAGCTACGAAGTTAGGAGACTTGGTACATACGATAGATGTTAACGCTATGTAATGAATGAACAATACCCCAATGGAAAACACTCTCTTTATACAATGCCCTGTATTCCTCCCTACCTGATATCGGAAAACCATCTTAGCATTCGAAATGTTTTGAATGGATGGACGGACCATCCTTATCGATAAGCAACCCAGTGGACCCCACGTGACCAATCACTGCGGCAACTTTTTTTCTGCGGCAGAAATCATCACCTTGACGGCCAAGCAGCACCTCCCTCTTCCCTTTTCTCCCCAGCAAAACCAGGTTGAATCGTAGCGGGGATACATCAATCCACCGCGAGAAGTCTTTGGCAAGATGTCGTCCGACGAGATTGTTTGGCAGGTTATCAACCAGCAATTCTGCGCCTATAAGCTCAAGTAAGTTTCTATCTCGATCTCTATCCGCGCATAAAAAAAATTTCCGCCTACCACATACATACAGCGCAACAAGAACCGACAAAGAAGAGAGAGAATATAATCCACAAGTATATAAATAAAAAGCTAACCATAATTTGTTTTTGAAAAGAACCACTAAGAACCAAAACTTCTGCCGAAATGAATACAACGTTAGCGGACTCTGCAACCGGCAATCGTGCCCGCTCGCCAACTCGCGGTATGCCACGATCCGGTCGGACCCCGAAACAGGCGCGATGTACCTGTACATGAAGACGGTGGAACGGGCGCACATGCCCAGCAAATGGTGGGAGCGGATACGACTGTCGTCGAACTACGCGAAGGCGCTGGAGCAGTTGGACGAGCGGCTGATCTACTGGCCGAAGTTCCTGGTGCACAAGTGCAAGCAGCGTCTGACGCGGCTGACGCAGGTTGCGATTCGGATGAAGAAGTTGGCTAAGGAAGATGAGAGGCTGGGTGAGAAGGTGGTGACGAAGTTGGCGCCGAAGATTCGGCGGAGAGAGGAGGCCAGGGAACGCAAGGCAGAGAGTGCGGCGAAGATTGAGAGGGCAATTGAGAGGGAGCTGATTGAGCGGTTGAGGAGTGGTGCTTACGGAGATCGGCCGTTGAATGTTGAGGAGGGCATTTGGAAGAAGGTGTTGCGTGGGTTGGAGAGGAGCGGAGAGGGTGAGAGGGATGAGGATCTGGATGATGGGGAGGAGATTGAGTTTGAGGATGAGGAGGAGGAAGAGGAGGGTGTTGGTCAGGTTGAGTATGTTAGTGATATTGATGAGGATGAAGAGGATTTGGAGGATATCGAGGATTGGATTGGTGAGGGGTCTGGCGACTCGAGTGACGATTATGATGATGAGAGTGATGAGGATGAGGACAGTGATGAGGATGAGGATGACAGCAACCACTCTGATGAGGAGGCGAAGAAGCCTGCGCCTGGCTTCAAGCGGAAGCGTCCTGCTCCCCAGATTAAGCCGAGGAAGAAGGGCCCCCGTGTTGAGATCGAGTATGAGACTGAGGGTGCTGGCAAGGAGAGCATCCTGGCTTGAAGGGGATGAGACATTGAACATAAAAGCACGGGTTTCTGTTGATGTTGCTGCTGCTGCTTTCGTGTACTGTATGGCGTTGTCTGGTTTAGATTTGTTTTGTGTCTGTTATTATTATTGCTCTGCTGCGATCGGGCATGTGCATACCCCGCCATTGCATATATGAATTTATTATTCACCAATGTTCTGGTCTGCGATATAAGACTATGTACATCGCAACTACATGGAGGTTATAAACTAGGTTACGAATGTTGAGACAAGATCCACCAGTTGGCTGTGTCAGATGGGGAGGAACAAAAAACCGACTGGAGCAGCTCACGTGCAGCGGCGGGATGAAACGGAGTGGATCGCCAACAAGAGCCGTGAGGTCAATCAATCAATCAATGTCAAACCTCCCCTAAGGGGTTGCACCAATACCTCCTGATCACCCTTCTACACGCTGGTCGGTTCAAGATACCGTGTTCAATAGCACCTTAATTCCTCACCGCTGCAGCTTAATTTCTCGGCTCTTGTTTCGCCCCGCGGACCAGCATCAGCCTCTCCTCGTGTCCTGACGCCGACCCCACCTAAGCAACTCACCTCCTTTTGAGCAACCCCATCTTCCCTTCCACGCCGGACTAGCCAAGGGGACCTGCATAAAACAAACAACAAGAAGAAGACGAAGAAGAAGGAGAATCACCAACCATCATGTTCTCATCCCTGACCTCATCCTCCGCCATCTCGAACCTGGGCACGCGGCTCACCTCCCTCCGCCGAGCCATCACCCTAGGCGACGAAGCCGACGACCCCGACAACGAAGACTGCTCTCACATTTCCAACGTGCTGCGCGCCTACTACACGGAGAAAGGACGGCCCTTCCCGGGCTGGCTTCCCCCGGACCCGAAAGCGCCAACGCCAGCGCCGGCACGGGTCATCGCGACGACGCAAGTGCAAGCCGGAGCAGCGGCCGGTGGCGGCCCAGCAGCATCGGCGTATGGACGCAGCGGAGGCGGCGGATTGGGAGACCTGTGGGGAGATTCGGGTTCAGCGACGGCGCCGGCCTCGCAGACGGCCAGTCTGCGTCGAGGTCGGTTGGCACCCGGCGGCGGTAGTGGTGGAAGTATGGGGGCGCCTCTAGCCGCCACGGCCAGCGCACCGTCGGGGATGATTGCATCACCGCATAGTCCGTCACCAGGTGCAGGTGTGCCGACCGGGTCAGCGAGACCGCTGCCTAGCCAGCGAGCCGGGTCGTATCAGACGATCTCGGGACCAGTCACAGGAGGAGGGCTAGAGCGAGCGGCGTCGGCTCAGGAGAGACTGCGAGCCAGATTACATGGGGGCCGGTCTCCCAGTCCCGGGCAGAATCCGGGCAGTTCGACTAGTCGGCCGGGTTCGCCATATGTTGGAGGGGGAGCGGATCCTAGCGCACGAAAACCGGTAGGCATGCCGGGAAGACGATAAATGATCGGGCAGGAAATTTTTTTTCCTTCGTTTTAGTTTCTTACGTTTAGGCTAATTTACTGTACTCCATCACCTACCTTGGGCTGGGGGTGGTGTGCGTGTGTGGGGGGGAAAACGAAGGGGCAAGGAGAAGGAATTAGTGGCTGCAGGGGCTTATTGCAAGATGGGGACTGCTGGTTAGTGTCTAGTCTTGTGGTAACTCGGATGGTGTCCGCGGGAGGGCAAAAAGGCGGCAAAGTGGGATGAAGTTGAAGAAGGAGAAGAGGAGATAATGAGAGGAAGAAGAGAAGCTAATCTACCTTTGTGGGTTGGAAATTTCCATGGTTTCGTCGTCATGAGACGGGGGACTCTGTGTGTTCCTCTCTGTTTCTCTGGTTGAGCCTTCGTGTACCTACCTACCTTTATCCTCTCGAGATGAGAGATCCTAATATACAAACCTAGATCTTGTATTATCGGCAAGCTTTTCCCCTTGGTTTGTAAACCATGTTTCCATCCTCCCGTGCCGTCTTGGCTGTCCATCGAATTGCTTGTTGCTTGATGGCATTGCTTGAGTGAGGTAAGAAAAGGCTGGGCGTAAACGTTCTTCCCTTGGCCAGGAAGGCCTTTTTTCCGGGGGGCATAGAAGTGGGGAACGCATCCAGGCCATGCTTTTGACTTTTTCTTCCTTTTACCTCTTTGCCCTTTCGCTTCAGCCCGGTGCGCGTGTTGTCAGTGTGTCACGCCCAGCAAGAAGTTAAACTAGTGTCGGAGAGGGGGGGGGGGGCAGCAGGAGGGTTCAGCGAATGAGGGACTCGGGCTTGTGGAGAGTGAACGGGGAACGGGGAAGGGAAGCTTTGGGGAGGGCAAAGGAAGAAATCGGAGGAAGATAGCGAGACCAGTCAAGAGATTATGGGGAATTCTACGCTAAGGAGATGCAGTATGGAGTAGCGGAAGAGTCACGGGGCCCCGAAAAGAGAAAGCCAGAACAGAAAAGAAAACAAAATGGCGCAACTAAAACTAAACTACCCCACGAGGCTAACCGGAATAAGCGTATCATGGTATTTTTCAATGAACCATGACTGGTCAGAGTATCGCCGAGAATCCACCGGCTTAGGTAATGGGAGCTGCCCACGGGGAAATGTCTCCTCCGCTTCTGTTCTGGGGAAGAATCAGCATCGCGACATTCCTTTCCATTCCACTCATTCCACTCCATTTCTCTCGGTTCGATGCGTAATGGTCAGACATCTTTTCGGAGGCTTGATTGCTGCCCATCATGCGGTTCCCCACTTCTGCATCTTTTCCTTTTCTTGTCTCCCTCCCCCGGCTGGCCCTCGCGTGGTCGGCTTCCTTGACTGGTTCCACGGCCCGATACTAACGAGTCAAACCCGGTCCTCATGATGGGTCCTTCTCTTTTTTTCTGAATTTTTCCTTTTTTATCCTCTCCTCTTACGCCGATGACGCTTTTGGGGAATGATGAGGTAGTACTCAGTCTCAGTCGTAGTTGTAGCTGGACGAGGAGGAGGCCCATGGGCCGATATGTGTGCCCTTTAAATACCACCCCCCTTCTGGCATTCCCCAGATACTTCTACCTCTTTTCTCTTCTTCTTTCTGCGTGTGTCTCTATCCCCACCTTATCTCTCTTCCTATACAGAAGATCCTTGCCCCGGTCGTGGGAGGCATCTTCTCTGTCTCTCTATATCTCACCCTCTCTCACACCCGCAAAGAGAGTGAACAAAACCTATACTCCTTCCCCCCCTCCTCCCACCGATTGTACCTCCCTTGTACATATCATAAAAATATCCCTTTAATATCACAAGCGGCTGTCACACCGCACTTTCCATTTCCAATCATGGGTGTCGTACACGACCTGGACACCTCCCATGATGACCACAAGGAGGGAACCGCCTTGGAGATGGACGATGTCCTCAAGGACCCCAAGGCCATCGAGGAATTCAACGAAGCTGCCATGGATGCAGAGTTGTTGCAACTCGAAGAGCAGCTGCAGGAGAGGAAGCCCGGTTGGTTCGTGGGCTTCTCCAATCCATCTGTGTATACCTACGTCCTAGTGGCCTTTGCCTCCATGGGTGGTCTGCTCTCCGGTCTGGATCAGTCCCTCATCAGTGGTGCCAACATCTACCTGCCCGATGCATTGAACCTTACCGACAACCAAAGTAGTCTTGTGGATGCTGGTATGCCTCTGGGTGCCGTGGCCGGTGCCCTGATCCTCTCCCCCGCCAACGAGTACCTCGGTCGTCGCATGGCCATCATCGTCTCCTGCATCCTGTATACTATCGGTGCCGCCTTGGAGGCCGGTGCCATCAGCTTCGGTATGATCTTTGCTGGACGTTTCGTGCTTGGTATGGGTGTGGGTCTGGAAGGTGGTACAGTCCCTGTGTATGTCGCCGAGTCTGGTATGTACTTTTACCCCTTACTTCCTTTTACATCATCATCAACGTCCAATGTATCGACTAACGTCACTTCAGTGCCCCGCAAGATGCGTGGTAACCTCGTCTCACTATACCAGTTGAACATCGCTCTCGGTGAAGTCCTGGGCTATGCCGTGGCCGCCATCTTCCTCGATGTCAAGGGTAACTGGCGTTACATCCTGGGATCTTCCCTGGTGTTCTCGACCATTCTGCTAGTGGGTATGCTTTTCCTGCCGGAGAGTCCGCGTTACCTCATGCACAAGGGCCGGGCCGTGGAAGCCTACGGCGTATGGAAGCGAATCCGCGGCTTCAACGACTATGACGCCAAGGACGAGTTCCTGGGCATGCGCCAGGCGGTGGATGCCGAGCGCGAAGAACAAGCCGCTACCAAGAAGTACGCCTGGATGGACTTCATCACAGTGCCGCGCGCCCGTCGCGCCATGGTCTACGCCAACATCATGGTCTTCCTGGGCCAATTCACCGGTGTCAACGCCATCATGTACTACATGAGCACACTGATGGATGCCATCGGCTTCGACGAGCGTGACAGCGTCTTCATGTCTTTGGTTGGTGGTGGCTCCCTCCTGATCGGCACCATCCCGGCGGTGCTGTACATGGAACGGTTCGGCCGCCGCTACTGGGCCAATGCGATGCTCCCCGGGTTTTTCATCGGCTTAGTGCTGGTGGGCATCGGCTACCAGATCAACTACCAGACCCACCCCAAAGCCGCCCAGGGCGTCTACCTCACCGGCATCATCCTCTACCAGGCCTTCTTCGGCTCCTACGCGTGTCTCACCTGGGTCGTGCCCGCCGAAGTCTTCCCCACTTATTTGCGCAGTTACGGCATGACCACCGCCGACGCCAACCTCTTCCTCTGCTCCTTCATCGTCACCTACAACTTCACCCGCATGATGAAGGCCATGACCCGGATCGGTCTGACTCTGGGTTTCTATGGTGGAATTGCCTTCATTGGCTGGTTCTACCAGATCATTTTCATGCCTGAGACCAAGAACAAGTCCCTCGAGGAAATCGATGAGCTTTTCTCCCGTCCCACTTCTGCTATTGTCAAGGAGAATCTGAAGAGTACGGGCGAGGTCATTGATGATTTGTTCCACTTGCGCTTCAAGAAGGTGTTTTCGCCGCCGCCGAAGGAGGACTGATTGACTGATTGATTGATTCATGGGTTGGGAGTATTTTGACCCATGTATCGTTTTTGGTCAATGTGGATGATGTATATGTTTATGAATATAGGATGATCTGAAGATGAAACAAGAAGAAAAACAGAAAAAAGAAACGAAAAATTGGGTATCTCCCCGCCTTTTTTGATTTACTTACGGGTTTATGAGGACTCTATATGCTCTATTTAATGTCTGATGTAACTACCTACTTACTACCATTTGCTTTTTCAACGTCAATAATACCCATACCCATTCTGCCACATACATCTACATCTACCTGCAGTATTTACCTACTACATACTATATGCATATTCTGTGTTCATTGCTAATACTAAATGTAATTATTTTTGCAGCTACGAGCTTAAAGGGGAGACATAACGAATCAACATCCAGCCTCCCAACTTAATTCAAGGTCTTGAACTCAATTTGGCACGTGGCTTGAAACCAAACCAACTCGGCACTTATACGAACTATAAGATACTTAAGTTATCCACCCTGCTTGATTCCCAGTCAGGAATTATTACTGTAATATAAAATAATCAAAAAGCATATAATTCACAACGCTAAGTCTATATACCGTGCACGCAATGGATAACAAGCAAGACGAGCGAGTAAGTAACAAACCAGTTTTTGGTTCGGTGATATACAAGGTGTATAGCATATGCTTGATGGAGAAAAAGCAAAGAGACGAAATATCATGATGAGTGAAGGGCAAGAAGGATACCACCAATAGCGGTTTCACCCTCCTCAAGCAAGATAGGTACGACATGCATAAGATGAAGAACAGCTACCCCCGCACCTTCCGATAACTGGGCGGACTCCACGACCGCAGGATCAATTTACCTGCCCAGATCGGAATGAGGGAGACGGCGCAGACGGCACAGACGCGCCACAGCCAGTCTACCGTGATGACGTAGTGCAGGTCAAAGTAGCTGCCCAGGAAGGGAACGCTAGCGGCGTAGACGAGAGCCGTGCCGATGATGCAGAAGATCATGATCGGGTGCCAGGTGGTGATGGCGATGGCGACCATGAGGAGCTCGTTGATGACAAGGGAGGTGAAGGAGACGCTGATGAGACGGGGGCCGGTGATGGTGTCGAGGAGGATTTGAGAAAGGCCCTGGATTACGGCGCCTTGGTAGACGGAGACCAGGACCCAGGTGAAGAAGGAGCGGTAGCTGAGGCTGCGGCCGGTTTTGAGCTCCTTGTAAAGTTCGGGGTAGAGGTTTGCGAGTTCTTCGTCGACGTCACGGTCGAAGACGAGCGAGAAGACGGGGGCGTTGGTGTAGACGGTGGCGTAGCCGACCATCAGCCAGTTGATGAAGAGACCCTTGGGGTCAAAGTGGCTGGCGATGCTGTACATGGTCTGGCAGGCGCTGATGATGAGACCACGGTGCATGATGAATTGGGCGAGTTTGGCGGATCTTTTGTAGGAGTTGCGGCCGTGCCAGACGAGGAGTTTGGTGAGATGGTGGAATTGTGTGATGCTAAAGTCGGCTGCCAGGGAGGCTTGACGACCCTCCTTACCGACAATGCCGATTCCGACATCAGCGGCTTGGATCATGGAGACGTCGTTTCCACCGTCGCCGATACAGCAGACACGCTTTTTGGTGTGCTGGCGGATGAGATCCGCTACTTCGGCCTTTTGAGTTGGCGAGCACCGACAGGCAACAACCGCAGGGAGCAGGACGGCGACGGAGATGAACGCTGTCCGGAACTGACCTAGCATAAGGGAAAGAGACTCGCCGTCAATGAGGAGACAGCAGTCGGTCTTGTTGCGAAGGAAATCCAAGGTTTCCTGAGCGGTAGACTTGTCTTTGACTTTGGCAACCGTATGGATGTACTGCCCACGGGCGACCAGCTTTGCGGAAATGGCTACACAGCGTGCTGTCTCGACCTTGTCACCCGTCAACATCCAAATTTTGACACCAGCGTTGCGAAGCAGCTCCAGAGAGGGCTTGACATCCCGCTGGAGGCGGTCTTCCACACCGGTGACGCCGAGAAGTTCAAGGTCTCGCTCCAGGTACTCGCTGATCACCTTGGCCATGCCGACATCGCGTCCTTGCAGAGCGAGAGAGGCTTGCTTGTACTTGGTGGTGAACTCTTCGTATTGCTGCGGCGATAGCCGCCGTCGGCCTACGACTAGAGTTCGTAAGCCCTCGCGAGCCATGTTAGCGGTCTCCTCATCGAGCCAATCGTTCGCCGCAACAATTGTTGTCATGACAGTATCTGCACCCTTTTGGTAGAACCATATTTCACTGTCATTCTTGGACGAGTCCAGTATATCGTCATCCGTCTCAAACTGCACGATAATACCCATCCGCTTACTGTCTGAAGTGAAGGGGAAAATCTCAAGAATGCGGACCCGAACGACAACCTTCCCTGTGTGTGTAGACTCAAGAACTATAGACTGTCTGTCGCGATAAGCCAATTTGAGCCCGACGTCTTCGGTGTATTTGACAATCGCAATTTCATCTGGGGAGGAAGCCTGGTAATTGGTAACTCTGACACCGTCCTCTTCATCCGTCGTAGGGGTGACATTGTGACAAAGGGCAAGGGCCAGAATGATGTCTCTGACACGGGAGCCAATCTCCCTTCTCGTGCGCGGAGCCGTCCCAAGTCCAGCTTGGGCTCCAAATGCGGTTGAAGGAGTAGTCAGCGATTCACCAACGAAACTTTGTCGGATATAGGACGCCACTTCTTCCATAGCATCGTTGGCATACGAGACCGTCCCAACATGGATCTTCTTCAGTTCCATCTCTGCTTAGATTAGCTAACGAACAGAGTCATTGGTCTATCGGAGAAACTCACCGTTTTGGGTCAGAGTCCCTGTCTTGTCGGAAAGGAGATACTCAATTCTACCCAGATCTTCAGGAATAGTACTGGTCCTGACTACTGTACCCGGTATATCCTTGTCTCGTTCGATGAACCGCCCGTATACCGATTTCGCCATGTCCAAGTTGACCCGCAGACTCATGGGGATGATCGTAGAGAAGAGAATCAAGTAGATCATGATTGCAACATACCACACCTTGTCATTTGTCGGTTGGAAGCCTTCTAGAGCAACCAAAACGATGGACAAGGCCAGGGTCAGAGCGCAAAGGATCTTGGTTAGGTTGTTGATCTCGTACTCCAGCAAGCCAACTTTCGAGCGAGACGGTGAGGTTGAAAGAGCAGCCCGCGTCTGGGATCCTGTATAGATGATGGTAGCGTATGTGACGGTGTTGGAGGCAAGAACAGTGTTGGCCCATGCGGTGTTGTCGATCGTTAACGGAGCAGAGGTGGCCTGGGTGTCCGAGGTTTCATAGTCTCCGCCAGTTTCCCTTTTGTCGACATGAGGATCATAAAACCCGGAAGGTGGGCCCAGATCGATAGTACCGACAAATTCATTGACTCGTCTGTCGGGTGCACTTGCAGTGACCTTCAACCTTGGAAGGTCGCTAAGAGGCAGGGTTTGCGACAATACAGAGGGCAACCGTAGCTTCCAGTCAGTTTCACCATCCAACTGATCAGTCCGTATGAATGTGTCACTGGCCGACGAGACATTAGCTTCGTTTGTCGCAGTGCTCGAGCTAGGTTCCGGGGTGGTAGGTGATAGTAAGCTTTCTTCTTGCGAAGGGACCTCCACCGGTCTTTCCGCCAAGGAGCTTTGACGAGCTGTCACAATGTCGTTTGAGATGCTCTTTAAAATCACAACATCTGCAGGCAACCGTTGATTCTTGCGAACCTTCAGAACGTCACCAACTCTCAGATCCCGTGACTTCTTGACGACCTCTAGCACCCCGTTAGGCCCATCGAAACTTAGAACAGTGAATTCCTCAGCATTTGCCTCAGCATCTCTGCGACGGCGGCCAATGTCATCCAGCGCCTCCTTCCCAAGTGATATACTAACAACAAAGGCCAAAGGCGCAATGTAAGATGACATATAACCTATTCGGAGAACCGGAATGATCTGTGAAAGGGCGACGAGGAGAAAGTAGATGTTGAAGAAGAAGGAAAATTCGTTATACAGAGTGCGGGGCAAGAAGCTCCAGGGGGTGTACTTTGCGTTCGATACGACATTCGCGGGATACTTGGTTCGTTGCGTCTGGCCGACGAGGACATCGCGCGGCGGCTTCGTCTCGGTCTGTTCTGAATCGGATCCTGTTGTACGGCTAGAGGAGCCAAAGAGAAAGCTGGCCGCCTTGATCCCCGGGATCCTAAACCGCGAGCCCCTTTGCGACACCCGTTCAAGATCCACTAACGAGCGAGCGGAGCTACGCCGGCGTTCATTGAGGAGAGGAGCATCGTCGTCGGTGAAGTTGCGGGAGCTCGCGTGCGACCTGCGGAGTCCCTCCTCCTCCCCTTCCTCCAGCAGGCCCGCCGTGTCCTCCGATGGTCCATGTGCTCCGGAAGCGTTTCGTCGCCATACTCGATTTCCCATGCCAACCCGTAAATTCCGCAAAGCTATGCCGGGACCGCGACTCCGTTGGCGATTCGATTCATCTCGAGAGCGGCGAGAAGATCCATATAAGTGGGTGCTGCTCGGATCAAGTTCCTCCAAATCGAGGTCGTCGTCGGAACCAGAGTCGCCCGCGATACTGGCACGACCGTGTGGATGGAGGTAGTCGGACGAAGAAGGCATGGTAAAGACAGTCGGAAAGGAGTCAAAGAGGTTGTATCATGTACAAGGAGCGATACGGAGGCTCCTGTGTTGACAAGAAAGTGTCATGTCACGCCGAGCGGTAACCAATGTGTCTCCGAGGCACCATTGCTCGGTATAGCTGGCTGGGAGGCGGGCGTATGCAGTCGGAACTTGTATGCGCGTGAATGGGAGATACCTATGGATGGCGATGAGGGTAGGTGGGCAAAGCGAGTTGGTGTAAAGTCAGCTCAGTGTACATCCCCCAAAGGTTCGAGTCCACCACGTCAGTCTGAACCATTCGAGGAACAAGAGAATAACGGGGATAATCTTGGTGGCCTAAAGCGGTTGCGATGGCAGGCGGAGACAGAGCGGGATCACATGATGTAAAGAGCCACCAAAGGAGAGGGCGGTTGTGGCGCAGTGACCAACTGGTCAATTAGACCGTATAATTAGTTTAAGTTATCTGAAACGGCGATGTCATCAGCGGAGTCAATGGCAACATAATCATACACTGTAGATAGAATAGATAATGGTTATTGATGGCATTGGTTTCCTATTCACCCAGCATCATGCACGGGCTTTCATCCTGTGTCCCAAGGAGTTCTCATCAGGAATGTCCGAACTACTTGTATGCCTACTCAAATTGGTAAAAGAGTTGTAGAACATGCAGCAACAGTCTCCCTTATCCTCTCTATTCAACCCATTGAGCTCCATCTCGGATCGGGGGCGATTCACCACGTGACCCAGCGCAGGAAGAGGTAAGGTGGCACTTCCGCCCCCGGGACAACCAATCTTCCAGCCCCGGGATGACGGGCGCGTCCCAAAGCCGGGCAGGTCATTATTATTATTATTATTAACTAGCCAGTCAGCCAGCACAGCCGGTGTGCAGCAGCATCATAAGCCCGCAGCCCAGGCACTGCAGCACCTTGTCTGGCTTTTTCCAAGAAAGAAAAGACAACTTTCCGGAGATGCAGTCATGATTTTATACTCCACTTACTTCTTGTAATGCTTTGTTATTGGACCCGGTCTTCTGTGTCCTTCTTATTCTATTTTATGTTTCAGTAAATCACCGATTCTAGCATCTACGGTTTATCTCCCCGTCGGGTTTCCGGGTGAGTGCATCTGCAAACGTGTCCTATATGCCGCCTGGGTCTGACGATTGCTTCCCAGTGAAAACCCCCAGCTTTTGGCAAGTATGGCGCAGAGTGACGTGGCAGCCGTATGGAATCCGGCGCTCAGATCAGACGACAATGCTACCCCCGTTCCGACTGGCCCGGCAAGTTTGGAGATCGATACGTCGATAGAGGCCACCACCATCCCCCTCGGCTCGCCTATGGAGACACCTCATGAATATTCAATCAGCGACATCGCTTTCCCGGATTCCGACACTGCTGCCCCGCCGCAAGAAGCAGCTAGCCCGGATATGATTGACACCGAGCCTTTGCCAAACCCCGATCAAATACCAGCTCGCGATGAAGTGCTTGAAGCTCCCTCGGCTGATGTCGAGGCGACACCGGAGATAAGCTACGACCACGAGACCCCGAATCTGGATGCACCGCAGACGGAACATGCCCATGACAATGAGGCTATGCCTCTGGATGATCCTGAGGACCAGGTAACGGAAGCCCAGCCTGCTCAGCCTCAAGCCGAGGATTCTATTTCGACTGAAGCTACCGCCGCGCAAGATATGGATGTGGAGGAACAAAGTAGTACACCTCACGCCGGCGACCAGGATGGGACCGAACCTGCAGATACCAATGGCGAGGCCCACAGCAGTCATGACATCTGGGGAAGTCCTGCCAAGGAGAACTCTGCGGAGGATGATTTCTTCAACCAGTTGAAAACACAGACTAAGCCCATCTATGTACCTCCGGAGAATGAATCTCGCTTCGAAGAGGGCGTCCCGTTGCTGGATGATAGCGCCGAATCACCAGTTGAGCCGACTGCCACACAGGAAGGTCAGATCGATAACCTTTTTACCGACGACAATGACGAAGATGATGGCTTTTTCAAGGCTGTCCAGAGTTCTCCGCCTCCGGACAAATCTCAACCAGCGTCGCATATCACGCGCAAGAGCACCTTTCAAGTCATGGACTCCCTCGGTTTTTCCCTGGACTCTCCGATGAGCGATGCGGATCCTGCTGCGCAAGAGTTTGATAATGCTCTCGCTGCCGCGACAACTAATAACAGTGTTGGCATATCGGCCTTTGAAGAGGACCCGGCTGCGCAGGAATTCGATAATGTTTTAGCTGCCGCGGCAACGGACAACAGTGCTGATAAGCCATCTTCTGAGGAGGATCCTGCTGCGCAAGAGCTTGATAACGTTCTCGCTGCTGCGACAACCAATAACAGTGTTGGCATATCGGCTTTTGAAGAGGACCCGGCTGCGCAGGAGTTCGATAATGTTCTAGCTGCTGCGGCAACGGATAACACCGTTAGAAAGTCATCTTCTGAAGAGGATCTGGCTGCACGGTGGCAGGCTGAGCTTGCTGAAGAAGAGGCAGAAGTTGCTCCCTCCGAAGACGACTTGGCTGCGCGGTGGCAGATGGAACTCGATGATGACGACGACCTACTTCTAGAGGATGATATTGGAGGAGCTACGGCTGAACACGCACCGACCAGCCAAAATATCAACGGGGCCACTGCCGGCGCTGCTGTCCCGGGATTGAGTAGTCCTTTCGGGACTCCACAGTCTTCCGTCAGACCCGGTGCACCAGCAACTGCTTATACGCCGCATCAGCCGTCTACGTCGGACTTGCTTCAAGGGGTCCCTGTGCCTGGTGCAGCGCCTCCGGCAAACATGGCCGCCTCTGCAGACTACTTTACGCAACCGCCGCGACCAAATGTTACTGCAAACAAAGCAGAAAGCTTCGCCGAACGGGCAAAAGAAGGCTACAGGTCACCATATGATCTCCCGGAGGATCTTACACGACCTCGACGGCCTGTGGCTAGTCATAAGCCAGTGGTTACACAGCCCGGTAGTACTCCACCTCCCCCGCGAAGCAATAGCATTCCAATTCCTCCGCCGTCAACTTCCATGCCGCCACCTCCTTTGGGGGCACAGCCGGATGGAGCGCAGTCGACCGCCAAGGTGGCCGCTCCGAAGAACTTCTATGAAGAGCTCCCTCTACCCCCTCCTCGGCCACAGTCTCGGCCAGCTAGCTCGGGGCGGTATACTCCTGGTGCTAACGCAATGCCCCCCGCGTCATCTCATCCGCCTCCCCCGCCGGCCAATCCATATGCTAGCCTTTCCACTGCTCCCCCGGCAGCGGCTGAGGCTTATTCTCAGCCTCAAGTTCAGCAGCCCGAGGGGCTAGATCCGTATGCAAGCCTGTCCGCACCTGGTGCCTCAAGCGGCCCAGCTCCTCCTAGTGCTACTTCGAGGTACTCACCGAAGCCACCTACTCTGCAAGCCGGAATTAAGCCTCCGCCATCGCCTAGATATTCCCCGGCGCCTCCCCCGGCGACCGCTCCCCCGCCACGCAATCGCTATGCTTCTCAACCAACTGCTCCACCCTCGCAGGGAGTTGCACTTCCATTCCAGCCTCGCACGTCAAGCCCTCTGGCTTACCATGAAAAGGTCTCTTATCGTCCTCAAGAGCCTTCAGAACAACAACCTTCCGCTATGGAACAGCCAGCTATCATTCCTCCAATTGAGGTGCAATCGCAGCCGACTGCCCCTGCTGAGTATTCTCCCATTCAGCCGCCTGAAGTCCCGCATGTTCCGGAAGCTGTCAACATGGGGTCCAGCGTGCATCAAATGTCGCAGCAGCCGATGTCGCCTCCTAGGAATCAGTATGCTCCTCCGGGTTATGTTGACGAATTTTCCAAACGCATCGCCCCTATTGCCAACGTTCCACCGGCGCCTGTGCTCCCAGCAGATGATCCGACATTCGTTCCTCCGCGCAGGTCAATGACACAATCCCCAAGTCAGCAAACGCTTGGGCCGAGGTTGTCCGTGCCATCCGTGGATCCCCTACAGCGGCCTGCATCTGTTCACGGGGCGGGGTCTCCCACCAAGGCTGTGAACCCTTACGCACCAGCTCAGATGTCTGCGCATAACCGCGTCGCCTCTCAGTCTTTGGAATTTATCCCTCCTACCGATGATCAACAGTTCGATCCCCTTGAGCGCTGGAAGGGAGCTCCTATTGTCAAATTTGGATTCGGTGGCTCAGTTCTTTCCTGCTTCCCTAAGCACATTCCTCGATACTCTGCCGGCCAAGCTACTCCGAAGATCAAGTCTACTCCTGGAGAGGTTAAGACGCATCAACTCAGTGACTGGATTCCTGTGCCCGATACCATTGCGCGCCATCCGGGGCCACTAAAATCCAAGTCCAAGAAGAAGGATCTGCTTGCTTGGCTTTCTAGCAAGATCGCTGCGTTTGAAAATGAGGGTATTCCCCAGGCTGTCTACATGCATGCGGACTCTCAGAAGCGAAGCGAAGAAAAGATACTGTTGTGGAAGGTCGTTCGAGTTTTGGTTGAACATGACGGTGTTCTGGAAGGGTCGCCTGAAATCCAGAAGTCCCTACGCCAAATCATCTTCCCGCATTTGCAGGATGTTGACTCCGCACAGCCCTATGGTAATGGCTTGCCATCCTTCAGCACGGCTCAGTCGTTGGATGCTCCTTCTCGTCCCGATGCCGCTGATCCTCAAGCGGTCGAGAGTATTCGCAACAACCTTCTGGTAGGTGAGCGTGAAAAAGCCGTTTGGGGCGCGGTTGACCATCGTCTTTGGGGGCATGCTATGATAATAGCGTCAACAATGGACAAATCTGTGTGGAAACAGGTTGTCCAGGAATTCGTAAGACGCGAAGTGAGATCTGCCTCGGGCAACACAGAATCACTTGCAGCGCTTTATGAGATTTTTGCCGGCAATGTCGAAGAGAGCGTTGACGAGCTTGTGCCCCCCTCTGCCCGAGCTGGATTGCAGATGGTCAGCAAAGTTGATGGACACGGAACATCTAAGAATGCGCTCGATGGCCTCGACAGCTGGAGAGATACCCTGGGTCTGGTGTTGAGCAACCGCAGCTCTGAAGACTATCAGGCGCTATTAGCTCTTGGCAGGCTCTTACAGTCTTATGGCAGAACAGAGGCTGCGCATATTTGCTTCATCTTTTCCAGAGCTGCTGTGTTCGGCGGGGTAGATGACCCGCAGGCAAGCGTAGTCCTCCTTGGTGCTGATCATCAGCACTTGTCTCTTGCTGCTCTGCAGGATGAGGATTCTATTCTTCTGACCGAAGCTTATGAGTACGCTACCTCTGTTCTTTCGGCTTCTCCCAAGCCGCCGCTTCCCCATCTGCTGGCATTCAAGTTGGTGTACGCGTGGTCTTTGGCGGATCAAGGCCGCAAATCGGAAGCTCAGCAGTATTGTGATGCGATTGCAGCTACCCTGAAGGCAACCACCAAGCCATCGCCCTATCAACATCAGCACCTGTATTTCGGTGTTGACGAGCTTTCGGCACGTCTCAGACAAACAACAAGCGACGGAGGCTCATCCTGGATATCCAGACCCAGCATGGAGAAGGTGTCTGGCTCAATGTGGGCCAAGTTCAACAGTTTTGTTGCCGGTGAGGACAACGAAGCTGGATCTGCCGGTTCAGCAAAGGCTGGCGATGGAGACATCGGCCCCTTTGCCAAGATCGCGGGAACTCCTACTGTTAGTCGCTCACCCTCAGTGTCGGATATCTACGGGTCGTACTCTGCACAGCCGAGCTACAGCAGTGGCCCGTCACGTTACCAGCCAAATAACCAGTATGCTCCAACATCTTCACCTGAGCAGTTGCGTGGCAGATCGTCCCTCGACTCTCAAAGGTCTTCTTCCTATGGGTTTGGTTTTGGCCAACGACGGGGCTCGCAAGAACCTTCAACCCCGGTTGAGAGCAATATGTATCAAGGAGGAATGCTATACAACTCCCCACCCGCTGTTGGCTATCAGTCGACTCCTCCTCAAACGTCTTACATGCCTCTTGCACCAGTCAAAGAAGACCTGGCTCCTCAAGCTCATGCCGAAGCCTCGGCTGGTCCTGTAGAACAGTCTTACGGCAGCGGATCTCCGTATCAGCCCGCAGGTTATGGTTCTTTTGATCAGCCTTTCATGAACCAGGTTCCTTCAGACGGGGCTGGCTACATGCCTCCCGGTGTGAGCAGTGGTTATGAGCCTCCTGCCATCGAAAGCCACCCAGAACCTGTAGCGGCACCATCGGAAGAAGTCAACGAAGAAGAGCCAGCGAAGAAGAAATCCTTTATGGACGATGACGACGATGATGATATAGCCGCGCGTGCCGCAGCCATCCAGAAGGCTGAAAGGGCACGCAAGGACCGCGAAGCGGATGAAGCTTTCAGAAAGGCAGCAGAAGCGGATGGTGAGTACTCGTCAACTTGTCCCAAGAATATGGAAATCATACTAACATGATTGATTGTAGCCCAAAAACCTGCACCGGCTAAGAAGTCTTGGTTCGGAGGCTGGTTCGGAGGTGCTGCTGGTGGCAAGAAGGAAGACCTGAACCCCAACAAGCCTATCCGAGCCAAGCTTGGCGAGGAGAACTCATTCTACTACGACAAGGATCTGAAGAAATGGGTAAACAAGAAGGACCCCAACAGTGCTACCGCCGCACGCGCCACGCCGCCGCCGCCGCGTGCTTCGGGACCCCCTAGCAGAACGGCCAGCGGTAGCAGTGCAGCACCACCACCTCCGGCAAGTGCATCCCCAATGATGCCACCCCCGAGTAGCCGGCCGCCTTCTACCACAGGAATGCCTCCTCCGGGTAGTCCAGCTCCATCATCCCTGGGTGTGCCCCCGCCTTCAATCCAGCGGTCAGTCTCTACTGGTGCCGCTGTCTCCACGCCCCCAAGCGGATTGGCAGCTCCCCCGAGGCCAGCAACTTCCTTGAGCAATGCCAGCTCCATCGATGACTTGCTGGGAGCACCAACGGCTCGCAAAGGCGCCGCAGCCAAAGGAAAGAAGAAGGGGCGCTATGTTGACGTAATGGCAAAATAATCCATCCATCCATCTCACCTTGCCATGCCCAAGAACACTGCGGCCATTACTTCCGGACCCAGTGTTGGGTTTAATCTTTATCACCTCGCTATTCCGATAATGTCTAACGAATCTCCTCCTCGATTCACCATTTGCATTTGACACTTTATGAAGCGCGTCCTGGCTTTTGCCTGGTTTAGACCCCCAAAAGTCTTGCATGCTGTCTTCTCCGAGAGCAAGACGGCTTCTTTCGGGCGTTGTTTGCATGAACCAACCCTCTTCTTATTGTTACTTGTATGTTGTATTTGTGCATATATGTTTTATTCGCTTATTATTCTTATGTTTTTCTTTTCTTTTCCTTTGTTCTCTCTGACGATGCGGATTATGGAGATGGACGAACTTGATGTCGGAGGTATCATGATGCCTCGTGGCAAGTGTACTATATGGCTCTTGTGCATGATTAATTAATACGATGCTTAACTAATTTATATATTTGTGGTAGTCATAGTAGATAAGCACCTCAACCCCTAGGTAACTTTTTATATCCGTATTTCATATATGCATCCCAGAACAAGTAGTGTTCCTATACCAGCTCATCATCGTAAACCCATCATCATTCTATGATATGCTATGTGCGCTGTGCCCTCAACTAAACCGCATAAGAAGTGATATAATACTGCACAACAACCAGTCAGCCCCACCTCGCCCTTCTCCCACACAGCAAACTATAAGAAAAGTGTGACTCACCGTCAGACATGAATCCTGCTCATTCCAACTCCCAGGTAAGAAGACATACAGCACCAAAGCCGTCTCATGAATAAACGCTATCCCCAAGCCATCATTAGCCCTAAAATCCTAGAGAAAGAAATTGGAAAAGAAAGAGAGAAAGGAACTTACAAGCAACAACCCTCGGATTCAACCTGCCGACACTCAAAATCCGACTCCAATCCTTCCCATCAATCCTGACCTTCGCCCACCCAGCCTCATCATCCGCCGGCACCTCCCTCATCCTCTCACTCGGCAACTGATTCAACTCTCTCCCATCGCCCAGCTGCCCCGGATCCAGACTCGGATTCAGTAGATCCGTCCAGACGCTCGATATCCGGAATGCGTCCGTCCCGACGGCTACTTTGAGGGAGCCGTGCATGTTAGCGGAGAGTTCAAGCTTGGGTGATGATAGTGATGGTGTTGTTGAAGTAGATCCCCCTACTGCTGCTGTTGATGTTTTATTGGAAGAAGTCGTAGCCAATTTCGTAAAACGCTCCGAGATGCTCTTCAACTGGATTAAGCTTGGAAGAAGGATATTTACATCTGGATCCCGACAGCGTGGCTGGTGGAGTCCTTCGACTGCGGACTCGTGGAGTACTTTAATGGGGATTTCCTGGGTGATTACTGTTTCGCGTTCCCGGGGCCCAGTGCCCGATGGTCTGGCAGTGGCAGTGGCATTGTCGATGGTGGATGAGGAGTGGTCTGTTGTTGTCGTTGCTTCTGGGATGTCCAGGGCATTGGATGTCGTGGTCCAGGAGGTAGCGCGAATAGTTAGTGCTAGGAGAGGTACGTTGCCCTTTTTGGTGAGTCTGAGGTTGGCTAGTTTGGCGGATACGGCGGAGCGCAGGGCGCGGTGGAGTGCGCCGATGGGGACTTCGAGGTTGATTGCTCCGGTGTTGGATTCACAGATGTAAGACTCTTCTTCGAAGATGGTATCCTGGGGGTGGAGTGTTAGTTTGGAGTAGGCTTGGGGGATGGGGGAGACGTACGATGGGGAGTTGAGCCCATACTTGCGTGCCTTGGTCGGGGATGATGGTGAAGCGGATGAAGTCTTTTTCAAGACGCATCCAACATACCTTTCCCAGGGAGGAGAGGGAGGCGGTTAGTTCTGGGGGGGATGTGGAGTTAGTATGGGGGTGCGTCTATTGTAAGTATGGTGATGGCGGCGGTTGTTGAAACACGGCTGATTTGGCTGGGGAGCTTGGGTGAAAGGGATAGGGGATGGGAAGGCCACTTACTGGAGAAGATAGACGCGTTGGCTATTTGAGTTCGAAAACGCATCTTGAATCCAGGGAACTACTTGCATGGACAGAGATTTGATGCTACACTAGTTCAGTCTGATTGAAGCCGAAGACGGTCGAGACTCGAGCAGAGGTGCTTATCGATGATAAGTTCGGGGATCGGCCGCGACGGTGGAGATTCCCGCCAATCCGCGAACCAAACATCGCGAAAAAGGGGATCGCCATTGCGGCGGGAACAAACAAACTATTCTGTACGTCGATGGTTGATATTTATCTATATTGCATTCCAGAACTGAGATCGCACAATGGGATTTATATAGGTGATATGTCGGAAGATTGCTTGCTATCAGCATATTCAATAGGTATCACCAAGGCATACGAAAGGGAGCTAGCTAGCTGTAAGCTTTTCACAAGCTGTGTACTATCCATAAAGCAAGCAGGACAACAACTGCATAGAAGATTCCATGTTATTTCGATGAAACATCAAGCAAACACAGTCTGGCTACTGGCTGTGAGCAAGTCATCTCTCACGGACATATCTCCGCATACTTCGGGGTGGCGCTCAGCGCCTCATCGACTTCATCTCAGCCTGAGATTCAACTTCCAGTGAACCAAGCTTGTTATTTTTGGGTTCATAACTACAGAGTACGTAGAGTCTAGACTTGATCCGTGTGCTAGAATCGCAAGGTACCTTGTTCTTCCACTACTCCTTGCGGATGTCGAGTTAGTGAAATGGCCAGTGGGATGCTCTTGTCCTGTGCGCCCCCTGAAGTAACAGTAGCAATCCATGTTTCCATGGGATGTCTCCCACGTGGTTCGTAGCATTCCTCGATTGCTTCATCTTCCTTACATGTCTCATCCTTACTGACACAATGATAGACTACTGTATGGTTAGGTTTTCCAATCTCAAGGGATCACGGACGGGTGTCCGTCCCTTGCTCCCTTTGGAGAGGGGAAGTCCAGGCACCAAAGGGTGTTAGTATCCCTGTTAATGGGATTGTATTTTGGGTTCATCTACTGTTCATACTTCCGGGGGTCTGTTAGTTTGTCGCACGATTGACCTATGTATATCTTGGTCATGCCTTTCTTTCGGATCCTTGCCTGGTCCTTGATTGCTATCGAGGATCACGAAGGTCAAGGTTGCCTTGTCGCCTGGTACTTATCTGTCTACGACGACATCCATAGTAGTAGTAATGTACACGTCAATGGACGAGTAGAAGTGGCTGGCCACCGCGATTCAACCTCGGATATAGAGCAAGAAGGTAAGACCACTTCAACGGCTGCAAGACACAAGTGGGTGTGTTTGGGTACGTGGGTAGGCGGATGTGCACGGAAGGGAGGACACAGACACAGACATAGTCCAAGGTAGCTCACGAATTCCAATAACAAGCCAGATACGATATGCAAGGGAGGGTCGATCACTGATCTGCTATCCGTATGATAAACTCTGCGCTCGAGCAATCAGAAGCAAGAATTAAAAGAGATTATTGACAAGCGGTCGAAGTCAGTTCATCGTGCACGACCACTTGGGGCCGCACTCCCATGGATTGTCAACCCAATTGATTACCAACGGGAACCAGCGGATAAAAAAGAGGCACGGCCATTTATTCTGATGACCGGACACAGAACCAAAGTCAGAGAGCGGATCTTTTGGGGGAGGGACCCGCATCAACTCCGAGGGGAATGTGTCTTCTTTGCTGCATGGGACTGGAGCCTCGTGTGTGAGACATTAAGGAGGGGGTGGGAGATTTTCCCTTCTGTACTGTAAGTATGTCGCACAGGAAAAGTGCATTTTGAAATGCTGGCACCCTCCTAGAATGGGCACCTGAGATCCAATGCTGCATCGATCGAGATTTCTCTGAATATTCTCTGCTTTCGTTTTGTGAGGGGGAAGGATTATTCCTCCGTTGGTCTCGACAAAAACAAGGCGCGAATAAGAAGGAGAGAAGAAGGGAAGTAGTACAGTTGGCAGTTGGTGAGGCTAATTAGTAGCCGACTTCCACAGGGCCAGCACAGTCATGATGCTAACCGACTAAGTAATATGTAATAATAATAATAATAATAATAATGAAGAGAATAATGAAGAAAAGAACCAAAATAAAAGGGCTTCCAACGGGAATCCACAGCTAATTGGCATTTGCTGGGTATACTTAACTTAGTAACTCGTCTTCCCCCTTAATCGATTGGCGGCGGCTCCACCCTTTTTCTGGCATCGCCAAACCCGCGCGTCTCCGTCCACGCCATCACCAACTCACCTCTGCATATCCCCGTCTTCGAATCATCGTCGCCACTGGTCTCGTCACTCTTTTCTTCTGGGCCCAAACTGAGCTGGTCTCTCCGATCCTAATCATCCCACCCTCGTTCTTTTATCTATCTATCTATCGGGCTCTTCCTGCAGCCACCCAACTTTCCCTCGCCCTGGGCTCCCCTCAGCCGTTTTGAGGCCCTGCAGTGTGATCTATCATCATCCGCCGAAACTCTGCTCCTCTAGACTTCTTATTCCCTCACTTTTCTTTTTCTCGCCCTAGTTCCCTTCCTCACTCTTTTGTCAGACCTTTCCCCCGGTGTCCTCTCTGCCACGGTGCTCCGACATACACCTACTGATTCATTCACTGCACCTCCGCAACTGTCCATCCGGTGATCGCGATTGTACCAGCTCATCCCCAAATCCCCCTCACCCTCCCGACCTTCTGGCTGTCATCTTTATATAACTTTGGCGGGATCGCGTCAGCATGCTCGCTCTTCAGCTACACTCACTCTCTTTTACACTTGATACTACAGCTCGACCCCCATCATTGAGAACCCGTTATTGATTATTCCGCGACTGACCTGACCCGGTTATCTGGGAGCCGTCGTTCTCCCGGAGCTTGCCGTTCTATCCCGACATGGCCAGCAGTCGCGTCAACCCCCTTCACCCACCCACTCGTCTGTCCACGGCGCGGTCCCAATCGCCGGGCCGTCCGGCGGTACCGAACTATCAGAATCTCGACCCGTTACTCGGCAACCTGTCCCCCGAATCAACTCTCCAAGCGCTGTCCGCAACCGATGCCGTGCCCCGGAATGAGCAGGCCGCCCACGATATCCTCTCCAAAAGTATCTCGCAAGTCTCCCCGGCAGAGCGCGCCCTCGGTATCCGCGCAGCCATTGCAGCCCAGAAGCTCAATCTATGGTATAAAGAAGTCCAGTCTTGGGAATGGCCGAATCGGAGTGACATTCAACTAGGGAAGGGCTTCGTACCCCCTCCCGGCGCTGCCGCTGAGGAGTACTGCGGAAGCCTTCCCAAAGCCGTAGTAGATCAGCATGAAAAGCGGATTGAGGAGATTCGCGATGGCATGGATGTCTTGGATGTGGATGAGCTTAAAGAGCACGTTCTCAATGCCCACATTCCAGTCCGGTCTCGGCCTTCGTCAGCCAATAGCACCTTATCGGTGCCTCCACCACTCAGCTATGTTCAACTCAGTGACTTCACGGCCGTCATCACTGCCACCATTCTCCGCGCTCTTCCGCTTCTTTCGCGCTTGAACAGTCTCTTGTCTACGTGGGACGTCCGATTGTTGGTTCTGCGCCAGATACCTGAACTGCTCAGGCGACTGCGTCTGGCGCGTTCCGAACTGGATTCTGCCTTGGACTTGATAAAGTCACCCACTCTTCCTGACGAAGATGGTCCCTTGTACTCTCGCCCTAACTATCATGCCAAAAGGGCCACCTTAGAACTGACTGTTGTGTCTGCTGGTCGACAATTGGACCGCGTCCTCGATGCGCTTGAAGGACGCGAGGACTCGCTTCCCGAGAGCTGGATTGATGATCTGGAGGCTATCGAGTCAGAGTTCGGAACATGGGTTATGGAAGCCGAACGACGTACTGTCGAAAACGAATGGCGACGAACAATTGCCACTGCTGAAAAGGATGCCCAATATCATACCCCGGAGACAGCGCGGGCACAGGCACCACCCGAGATCAGAGACACCGACAAACTGGCCCTCAACACGTCCGTGCCTGTGTCACAGGCTGGCCACCTATTCCCCATGGAGACTATTGCCGAGGAAGAAGTCAGCAGTCCCGTCGAACCGTCTGCCCCAAGTGACGCTCAGGATGATAAGAACTTAACGGCATCCGAACCGGCCGTCATGCCGGCTGCTCACAGTGTGAACGAAAACCTTGCATCTTCCGGTACATCCGATGCGACGGATTCTCTGATCAAGTCTGTTAAAAGCACTGTCTCCATCACCCCTCCACAGGAACCCTTGGCATCTAGCTCCACGGTCAACATCATTGCACCTTCTCCCGATGGGCTAGAAGAGACAGGTACCCGGACCGATGAACGTCGGGCGCTTCCACCTGTCACTTCGGAGGCTACCCAGTCCTTGGAGGAACCGGAGACTAGCAACGAGACGAGCGCGTGCAATGACTCGACTCCTGATCACCCTGATTCCGAGCATCATTCCTCCTCGCTTGTTCCTCAACAGACAATCACAACCATGCCATCTGTCGGCCTATGCGAAACCTGTCCGAGCCTACTTGAAGAAGAGACCCCACGGGCTTCTTTAGACATCCAGGCTCGCGACGCAGGGTTAACCGACCCGTTCAAGATGGCTACAGATGCGCCTGCATTGTTTGAGGATGGGCGCGCAGATGTAATGCCATCGTTGGAATCTGATGCAGTTCGTCATTCTTCGCCCGAAGTAAATCTGCAGGCTCCTGCTAGCCCTGATGCACAGTCATCGGACGCAGGTAGTGTGATTGTACGGCGACGAACAAGTTCAGCCCAGTCGCCTCTCAGCCAACAGGAAAAGCTTCCCGCAGATAACGAAGTGGTATCCAGAGACACCCACAGCACTAGTCCCGTGGTTGAAAGCCGCGAGCAACGGCAGCTCACTCTGGACAAGAGTGAAGTAGCCAGCCCAGTCAGTGTGGCGGCCCAAACCACTTCCAATGATAGTCCTGCTGCGCAGTCAGGCAACCGAAGAGACTCTTGTCAATTGGTACCTGCGAATGCTGTTCTTGAGTCTCCTGCCCGCTCGGCAAACTCTAAAAATGATAAGCAGCCCCCAAGTCACTCTATGAACAACGTGCACCAAGAGTCCCATGGTGGCAATACACCCAAAAAGCCTCTGGAGAGTCCGATCAAACTATCGAGGTCTCGACCAGGGCGCTTATCTTTTGAAAAGGAGAAAAACAAATCTCGAGGCCGGCGCACGTCTACTGATTCGTCTTGTTCTGATTATCCATCACTCGTCTCCAGCCCTGAGATTCACGAGCCCCGTACATCCTCTTCCAATGGAACGCCTCTGCTGCTTGAGACTCCTCCACCATTTCAGGATGGCTATCAGTCATCCGATCCAGTACCACCTGGGAGCGACCACACGTTGCGAGAAGATCGTTTACTCCGCCTGGATAACCAAAAATCATCCCCACGTGCCAATTTCGCCCATAATCGAAACCTCAGTCTTCCCTTGCAGCGTTTCATCAACGAAAGGTTGGAGATGAATTACGATGACGAAAGCGGTAGTGATATGGATGGCGTCGCTTCCAACAGGAAGTCCACGGATGTGTATGCGGATTTGCGGCTGGGCCAGAAAAAGGCACTGTTGCCTGCACACATCAGCAAGTTCGCCATTCCCTCCAACAGCGCACAGCGCGCTGCAACCCAGCCTTTGGATGCACCAAGTCAAGGAAGCCCTAGACCGGTCACCAATGGCAACACCGCTAAAGTTCTGTCCAAGGCCTGGGAGCACAAGAAGGGCTCTGTTCCGAAAAATACAAACCGAAGTGGTCTGCAGTCGGAGCCGCCTGTACACTCAAGCACCAACCGCTTGAGGAGACAGTTAACTTCGCATCCTAGTCTTGAGAGTATCGGGGCGTATAGATCCAACACCCGATCTGGCGATGACACGTCTTCGGTTACAGCTATTTCCAGGGCTGGATCTCGACCATCCACCCCAGGCTCACAGCTGAGGAAACCCAAAGATCACCTGGACGAGAAAATCAGTTCTATCTTGTCAACCCTTCCTGCTCGAATCCATCTGATGTCTGCTGATGGCCAAGACTTTGATGCGGGTTCTGCGGCGACGTCAATCCCCTTGAAGGCTAGGGAACGGTTTCGTTCCATATCGCCCCAGGGAACACCGTCCCGTAGCAGCACACCTACCCCCTCCTTGACCCTGACAGCTGCGCCCTCGCGCAGGAGATATTCGCATGCACACGCCCCAGAGGAGAGCTCCGTGAAGCTCTACCACCTCCATCGAGGTGGAAAGGTTGCCCCGACCAAACTTTTTGTTCGGTCAGTGGGTGAGAATGGAGAACGCGTTATGGTTCGAGTTGGCGGTGGATGGGCAGACCTGGCTGAATATTTGAGGGAGTATGCCATCCACCATGGACGCCGGCATGTTTCAGATACCCCTCGTGTTGAAGTCCAGGGCCTGTCCACGCGTACCTCTCCCACGTACTCCGTTAGTGGGCGTCGCACTCCCTCCCGGCCGCGGTCTGTCATCGGCAATCGGCCATCTTCATCATTGGCTGTGCGCAAAACCAGACGCACCTCGAACGTGTCGGATGTAACCGAGTTCCGGGCGGCGCAGGCAGCTGGCGACTCGCTCACTGCCTCGTACTCGCCTATGTCGACTGTGTCATCCCGCAGAAGACTGTCAGCTTCATCCAATGCCTCAATGGGCGCTGCCTCTTCAGCCAGCGAGTTCCGTCACGGATCGTATTCTCCTTCCACCACTGCTGCAGGTAGCAACTCTCATTCGATTCCACTCGGCCTTGCAGGGCCGAAGCCGCGGTCGAGAAATGTCTCGATCAGCCCAGAGAGTGAGGCGTGGGTTGAAGATGTTCTTGGCCAAGCTCGGAGGAGCTCGTCCTTAAGGCCTTACAACTATGGCCTGTCATCTCAGGACCCGGAGCCTGCTTCAGCCAAGGCTCCAACCATCCCCAAGTCGAGAAGTATCAGCGACCTGGGAATGGCCGGTTCTAGCAGACGCGTCGCACTACGCGGACTTGCAAAACGATAAACCTACAAACAATCACCCTAATCTTAATCCTTCCATACGCTCACCTGATCTACACTCTTTCTCCCACACACACTCTCTCTCCGCCCCTCCTCTCGCCTGCATTGTCTACTAGTACTGGCGTTTTGCCGTTTTCCTGGGTTTCTCGGTTTGGACACGGGGTACTAAAAGTGTTAGACAGCTGCATTGTCCGTTTCCTTCTTTTTCGGTTGCATTATCGGGCGAAGGTTTCTTTCTCTTTCTCTTCTTTCACATTCTTCCTTTTCATCCAAGACATGCATCATTCTGTCTTGGCTATCTTCATCTTTTCCCACCATTGCATCAGCGGGTTTCATTCTTGTTTTACCACATTTTTTTCTTTCTCGTTACTCTCTCTCCTCTATCTTGGAAGAGATGTTTTCTCCACCTTCGGTCCTGGTTGACCGGCCACATTTCCGTTCTATTTTCGTGACTCCTGTCTGTATCTGTCTGTGTCCGTTTGTTCGTGTTCACTTATTATTATATTTAGCCCTTGATTTGTATGTAGATACCCTTAGGTAGGCTTGGGTCTTTTGTTGTTGTTGATGTCGTCCGTCCGTCCTCTTGCTGGATAGAAAGAAGGACTGACTGGCTGGCTTGCTTGATAACTTACTTAGTACATAGTGAGGGATTATTTGAATCTGTTGATATTACTTTTGTCCATGTTCCGTTTTGTGTAGTTCAGTAGATTCTTAATGTCAGAGATACTCGTAAGGAAATGGATGCATTGCCCAGATAAGCAGTAGTAGTAGTAGTAATCGCACTACGCGAAAGATAATAGAAAAACGCCACCATACCGTACCAAACCAAACCAAATCAAACGAATCCCGAACGAGCAAATATCCAGATAGACGTCCATCAATCATTTCATTACATGGTACAAATGAGGAAGAGTTGAGAAAAACAAAACGTAACAAACGAGTCATAATTCGTGATTTGGCAATAGGCGCCAATGGAGAATCAAAGAAGGAGAGGAACAAAGTAGGTGTAGGTTAGGGCTCTCTACGATGACGACTCTCCTTTCGCAGGCTCTTCCTGCTGCTTCTGCTGCTGCTGTTTCGGAGGCGATTTACGTGCCCATGGAATGTCCTTGTGAAAAAGTTCCCTCAGTTCCGGGGAGACCACCTTTGTTTCTCCTTCACTGTCAGGTGCTGAACTGGGACCGGCACTGACGCCACTGCTGAAGGCAGTATTTTGGGGTCGTTGGGGTGATTTGCCTTTATTGTTTGTGCTAGCGGAGGAGTCTTGTGTGGGCTTCCGTTGATGGGCGGCAGGTGCAGGGAAGTTGTTTTTCTTGTCGATGGCCTGGACGGCTCGTTCGAAGCGGTGGAATAGTGATTCGGCGCGTGTGAGGATCGGAACGAGTTCCATTGTATTGGAGAGTTCGTTGACTGCGTGAGGGCGGTGTTAGGGATGCTTGTATAAGTACTATGGAAGTGGGTGGTTTGACTTACTGTACTTCAAAACTTCGTCAAACTGCTTCAGGTGATCCATTATGACATCCCGGTGCTTTTCGAGGATTGCAAGTGCGATGAAAAGGTGGAAGCTGCTGGAAAGGTAATCGGTCCATAATGTTTCCCAGAGACGTAAGACGTCTGGCCATTCAAATTCGCGCTTGTACCAGACCAAGAGCATCCGGAAGAAGAAGAAAAAGTTTGTGCTGTCAGCGGATTGGAGATGGAGATAGAGCTGAGGATCCATGAGTTGAACAAGGTGGTCTAGAGTGAGAAGTTGCACACGCATGCCAGATTGATCGCGGAGGAAGTTCCGTTCCTTTTGCACACATATCAGCATATGAAGAAGTAGGTTTAGCTGCCATCGAGCTTACCATTCTATCCATGAAGCCAACAAATGCCCAGAATGCAACTGCATCATCCTGCATGACAGCATAGATCGGGGCCAGAAGATCACTCATGCCTTGCACATAGCCCAGATCGGGGTTGTATTCGTTGTACGTGAGCAACATATCTTTCATCTGTTCGAGGTGCACGTTCGTGCCTGTATCCGCAAAGGGCGAATCCGGGTCTGGGTGGGGGATATCTTCCCCTGCAAACAGGGGTATCGTACGATCTGTGCGGTGAACATCCTTCTCTGCGCGCATTTGTAAGTAAAGGCGCACAGTACTTAGGCTGCAGACAAACTCACCTATTCTGTTTCTTTGCTCTTTCCACCAGTCATACTCTTCCGCCGAAGACGTGCCTTCAATCATCCGTTCCCACCAGGCGCCCTTAAGCCGGATGTACTCATCCCGCTTCGAGTTCATCAATGCTTGCCGTTCCTCATGGCTACTATCCCACGGATATACCCCTAGAAGGAAGAGCCATGCCTCTTTCCTGACGCCATCATTCGGATCCAATCCGCCATGGAATATCCTTTCCTTGACTTCGTCAACGGTTACATGTAGCCGTCCAGTACTCGGGTCGAAGAAACCCTCCCACTCTTTCAAAGTGAGTATCTTCCGACGGTCCTGGATAGACATGGTACCTGTCTCAAGATCAAGGATTTCGAAATCCCCAACAGAACTATTCTCCATGTTAAGAACATCTTGTGCAGTAAATATACGTTGGTTTCTTTCGCGTTCACTTTGCTCTGATATGCTCATGGCCCACCGTGCTAGGTATAACCTGGCGCTATCAAACTCGTCCTGTAAAGTCTGAATCTCAGGTGTCTTCATAAGACGGCGGACTTGTGGGGGTATCCGAGGGTTGTCAGCTAACTCGTTAGCCGTGCGCCTTGTGAAGGTTGTGATTTTGCTCAGCTGCTCAAGGACCTTCCACCTTGTCTCCTTGAGTGCTTTCACAAAGGGGTCCATCCCAGCATCTTGTTGGCCGCTTCCGCTGGCCTGAGCAACGGCAGCCGGTTGATCTTGAGCCTTGACAGTTGAGCCATCTGCAGTTAGAGGCCGTCCAAATGATATGCGATCCTCATCCGATGGGTTGATCAGATATACACTATTGTCCACGGCCGAGCGCTGGACCTCAGCATATTTCCGAAGCCATCGCAGAACTTCATCCCCGCCCCAGAAGACATTTCCATCCTCACCGAAGGGATCAAAACTCTCCCTGGTTCGCTTCTTCTTCTGCAGTATCGTCGACTCGCACTCCGTGTCATGGAAGAACAGCGCGGGGAAGCTGTCGCCTGCGCGAGTGTTGATCACAAGACTCCCAAACCACCACCCCAGACTTGGAGGTCGCACAAGGAGTGAATAAATTTCAGACAGAGGAACTGCGAACGCGTAGAGCCCGATCGGGTCCTTATAGGTTGTCGTCGTCGGAAGAGCGGGCACCAGGTATTTCTGTCGCGGAGGGGAAGAACCGTCGGATAGGTCGACTTTAACATAGGTACTGTAGGCATCACCCAAGGAAGATTCGGGTACCCATGCTAGAAGGTAGGAAGAGATGTCCGAGGAGGAGTTTCCGGAAGTAGTATCTCTAAGAGGGGGGAGGGGCTTTTGTTGGACGAGGGCAATAAATCCGGGGATGTTATCTTTCGAGGAAGGAGTTGGATGCACGTAGACCTGCAATGCTCGGAATCGAATGGATCAGCGAGGAAATCCTTCTGCCAGCTTGGAAAAAAGCCTACCTTGCTCTTAGAAAACAGAAGCTTGACGCCTCTGCGTGAGGTAGAATGAGAAATGGTGTTGTATTCATCCTCCTCATCGTCACTGACGTCGTAGTACGACGCCGTCGGCGAGGGCGGCGAGGGAGGAGGGGTGTATTGGATTCCGTCGCCTGCCATAGCGAATGGAGGAAGCGAAGAAGTGACTTTTTTTTTCAAGGGGCTAAAGTGATTAGGTCCTGCTCATAATGCGGACTGGGTCTGAAACTGGATTTCCTTGAAGCTGCGCTGGAATGCCCGGAAAGTCAGCGCCGGTCGGCAAAGTGATGATTGCGGAGAGAAAGCAAGTCACGACCGCCGGTCACGACGTAATCGTGGGGTCCACCGCTTCCATGTGATCGCCTTCACTTTATCAAATCACCCCAGAGGAAGTATTCAACTTACTTTGCAAGTGGTTTTTATAGCACAGAATATCGAACAGTCTGCCTGAAATACGGTGCTTGTTTGGTTATGTAGGTCAACACTACCTTGTTACTGAGCACCTCCATCGTTGCCACCGATAAAATAGATGACTGAATCGCCCAGGCAGCAGCGAAACTATCATCTTGATAATCCGCTATCAAATCAATCAATAGCAAAAGAATTCGTTGTCCACGCGGTATTCCTTCACTTGCTCCTACTATCCTGCCAAAGCTGGTGTCGAATACTGTAGATCTGGTCATCGCCAGCAATGTGCACAATACCAAGAGCGACGCGCTGAAGTAGACGGGTCCCTCCAAGCCATATGACGTACTATTTGAGCTTGAAATCGCAGTAATCACTCAACAGTTCGCAGGCTGGGGGACTCCAGCAGCCCTAATCAACGCAAAGACAATGGAATAATCATGTATTATTCTCAGGAGAAAATTCCACCGACATATGAAAAGCGTTATCTTCTTATGTTGAGCAACGGGCGTGGCAATAGAGGGAGGTAACCTACCAGCCATGATCAGCAAATGCTTTCTTTTAGTAGCAATTCCATTAAGAATAAAAGTACTACCCATAGGTGCTCAGTTTTCCGCCCAGAAAAATCCAATTTTTTGACATCGGCCTTCCATGTGGCATTTCCGTTAATAAGAAGTTCTATAGAGTCCTCAGATTGGGCATTCATCAATACTACTGGTACTACGGAGTCGTCGGGCTTGATTAGTCCTGATACTCTGCACACAAAAGTACTACCTTGGCTTAATTTTGCCAAAACTTCAGAAGTTTTGTTGACCTCGCTCCCTTGCCAAGTCACGTCAAGCAGAGAATGACCAAACTAGTCCGGACAATCCTACGTGTCTGGCTGACAGGAACCCAGCCTTGCTTCTGGACCGGTTTCATCTGACTTGCCGGCCTTCAGTCATTCGTCGGTACAAAGGACCTAGCCTATACTATCTTCTCTATTAATGCACGGGATTTTATACCCTCTTCAGGAAATGATTCGCTATCCAATGGATAATGGTTCCATGTACTCCATGAGGACAGGGTTGATTGCCTTTGGACACTGGCATCCATAAATACCAGACTGCTGCTTCATGCAGTTTATGGACAAGCTGCGTCGAGACTATCTCAACTCTCAGCAATGACAGAACTTATGCGCACTTTGCCAGCCTCCTGGTATTGCAGCCAGCCTCTCTATCAGCTTGAAAGAAGGGCGGTATTCTTGAAAGTACGATCGACTTAGCCTCGAAGGTATTCGAGCACTAATGTTCTCAGTCATGGTATCTTGTCGGTCCTGTCACCAGATTCTGTGATATAGGCGCCAAGGTTGAATATGAGATAGCTCAGCAGCCTATATATGTGGTTCGGTGCTCGGGGGAGGTTTTGTTCCCTGGACAGGACGAGATTCAGGTAATCTGCGCGAAAAGTGTAGGTGAGCTCGGCATTTTCATATGCATCAGACTGGAAATGCCTTCAAAACCACGAGAAATATGTCTATCAAGTCCCTTGTTGCTGAAAATAATTTAGGAGCGACCCCTAAAGCACCACGTCACGCCAACAGGCCTCGTTTTCGCTACTCTCTCGGACGAGGCGCCCAGCTTCCAGGAGTATTTCCCGGACTTGGAGCCACTACTCCAGAGGGTGAACTTCACCAAGCTCCCCTACAGACACAGCATCAAATACGAGGGGCGATTCAACTGGAAGACTATGTATTTGACACTCTACCTCGTGTTCGGAAAGTGATCATGTCCCCCCTGACCTAGTTTCCGCGACAGGGTCGATGGCTACCAGGAATGCCTGCATTGCCAATACACTCACCCGTCATTCTCCGTATACTACCCGCCAACCTCGTACGCGGTGCACAATCATCAGAACTTTTCGCAGCATATCGCAGATCCGGAAAAGCCTGATGATGGTCTATTCCTCTACTTCTTCCCCAATTGCACTCTAAACGTCTATGGTGGGGGAATGTCCTCGTTCCGAGTATGTCCAACAGAAGATTCGAACGTGACGAGGATGGAGTTTGACTACTATCATATGGAGTCTGGCGAGAAGTTTGACGAATACTTCAAATTTGTGCGGCAGGTGGCCATGGAAGACTATGAACTATGTGAGAAGGCTCAAAACAACCTCACCAAAGGCATCTATAGCGAAGGCATCCTCAACCCAGAAAAGGAGAGCGGTGTTTCATGTAAGTTGTGTGACATCAACTCGTATATGCCCAGGTTACTCTAAGCTAATTAGAGGGCAGATTATCAAGGCCGGGTTTTCGAGCTCGTGTGTCAGCAGCACACAGCAGAGAGACGGGAAAGGGAATTGGAAGATGCAAAAGACGATAGTCAGAAGAGGGGTCTGCAACGTATCACAACAGCTGCATAAGACAAAGCTGTGTAAGCCGTGGTTTCGGGACTCGGTAGATGCTCAATATTATCAGTGGCGTTAATTTCAGTGTTTTTCACGGCTTGGCTCCTGTGATAGTCCCTGTAAATGATTCCTATCATGATGTGGCATCAGATAAACCCTTGGCCAGGATCGGCCCAACACATACCTTAGGAATCGTCACCTCATGCGCAGGTTACTGGAAAAGAGCACCATATCTGGAAGGTCAATACTGGTCTGGAGTAGATATACTTACCTTGGTGCATGGTCACCTGAAGGCTTCTCCTCCTCTCACTGGACGGGGAAACGGAAGTCATGCAAACTTGTGGAGGTGACAGGGTCAGTGCTCTGTTCCTGATACTGCTCGATTGAATCCTCAGGCCTCTTTCGTGCGATAATAAGCGCATAAAAACAACGAGTTCCCTGTAGAAAAGCGTGGCGAACAACACATTTTCAACATGGCTTTAGAAGAACTGAGTCCGGCTCTGTCTCACGCCTTATCAGCCTTGGTCTTGATTGCATTGCTGGCGGGGCTAGCCTTTCTACTTCAATCTTTATCACGACCACTATTCCGAGGCTATGAGTCCCTGCGTGTAGATAAGCCGAAGAAAACCGAGCTGAATCCCGTCTCCGAGGGTAGCGAGAACACTGTCCACAAGGAATCAGACTTTCCACAAAACTGGTGGACTGGCTCAGATGTCTTTGAGTTAGAAAGACGGGCAATCTTCAGTAAAGTACTGTGCGCCTCGATTACTTCACTTCTGCAAGCCTGGAGTCGGACGTGTTGCTCACCTAAAATCAATTAGAGATGGCTATACCTTGCACACCGTAGTCGGTTCACCAAACCCGGCGACTACCATTCATTTGAAGTAGCCGGTATCCCGATCTTCTTGGTGCTAGGGAAAGATGATATCGTGCGAGCGTTCCATAACGTCTGCCGTCATAGAGCATACACGGTCACGAGGAAGGAGTGCGGCTCCTCTATGATCCTCGGATGTCGGTATCATGGCTGGAGCTATAACACCAAGGGACAGCTCATTAAGGCGCCTCACTTTGACAATGTTCCGGGCTTTGACAAATCTCAGAATAGTTTATTTTCGATCCATACCACTACAGACCCTGCTGGGTTTATATTCGTAAATTTGGACGCATCTCCGACGCTGTTGCCAATGCAAACAACGTCTCTCGATTACTTTGCAACCAGACACGGCATCGGACGACAGTCTACATGGCTGGGAGGTCAAACAGTGGAAGGCCAGTTCAACTGGAAGATTGGCTGTGAGTTCCTTCCTCCTTTCCCTTCTTACAATGTATCTAATGTGTAATTGAAATCTCGGAATAAGTGAGGTTACAGAAATTCATCGACCACACAGAACTGGAGACCGAGTTCCCACAGCCAAAGTATAAAGCGCTATTATTGAGCTTGTTCAACCAACCACGAATGCGCTCGGACGAAACAAGAATCTTTCCCTTTACTACGTTTCATACCGTCCACGGAGGGGTACTCTGGTACTCCTTGAGCTTCATTCCCATATCTGAGAGTAGCACCTCGGTTCGGATTGACTTATACTCCCATAAAGACATGAGCAGTCCGGCGCCTTCAGCAGCAGCAGAAAGACTCTTCAGCAGATTGACTAAGCGCATTCAAGATTTGAAAGCCCAGTTTCAGTCACATTCTGGGACTTCAACGTACGTTCTCAAAAGCAAAATTTAGATAGAGAACTAAAACAACCACTTCTCTAGGCTCCCCACCTATATCACCTCAGCATCAGACCCAGCTGATACAGGTAAGCTCCAACCCAAGAATCCCCTTTATCCACACATCAGTCTTACCAACAACGCATCAGATGCGCAAAGCGAAATCCTCGAGGCCGTAAAGTCTCACGCCAAATTAGAAAAACAACTAGGAACCGAAGTCTTCCCCGCTACGAGAAGGCCAAGAACCAATGCACGATTCGAGCAGGCCGAACAAAGTCAGTCGGCTCCCTCCCATCTCATACCTTTCTGTCGTACTAAATTGTATCTGTAGTTTGCAAAGACCTAGATTGCCAAGACACGTGGAACAGCAAGAGTCTCGCCTGGTGAGAATGCATAAGCACAAGTATGAGCAGGACGAAGTAGTATTGTTGCTGTTGTGGCCCTGGTGGCCTCATAACTCAGTTGAAACGAGTTGGTTAACTGTTGCTTTAATGATGTTTAATGCAAATACTCTTATGTATTGATTCAAGGGGTACTCTAGGGCCACTGGGGACAGATGTCCTGTCTTCCAATTTGTCTAACACGGCGGTTTCAGACTGGGCGGGGGCAGTTCATTTATTCCTATCAGAACGAACACAACAAATAGTTGAATGATCTTACGCAAACACAGATAGAATTGGGTAGTAGCATATGTAAGGATTATCTTCCTTACAGCATAAGCAACGCGAGTAAAACATAAGGCTGGCTGCTTACTATTAATGACAGAATAGAGAGAGAGAAAGAGAGAGAGAGAGAGAGAGCTCCGTACATTCCTGGCTCGAACCGAATGTTGGTGTGGATCCGACCATCGTCCCAAGGGTCCAGTGGCAGCGGCAGCGTGTAAACCTTCCCTTTTCTCCCTTGAAACCCACCCCACACTTCACCTCACCGATACTAGTGTTGATCAGGGCCCATCTACAACTTAACTCCACGGGCGCTTTAAAACATTTAATTCCAGGCCAGACAGGACACATCTCCTTCTGAGAATTCTTTATCATCATTAACTCACTACCAAACTCCCCTTAACGCAGGAACACACTTTTAGCCCCCAGGTCTCATTTAATTAACTCGCCACGCGGTTCTGGGCCGATCGATTTAAACCCCGACACGATTTAGACTAGACAAGTGCTGAAGATCGCCAACAACTCCGATCAGACGACGATTACTATCGGTCCAAGTACGGAGAAGACCTTGTTATTTTCCGGCCACGTGGCTGCGAGCTGACACCGGAGCAGGCAATACGAACTTGTGGCACACGCGTTGGCTTGACTACTAGCATCTACCATGGCTTTTCCTCCGATAGCTAGGGCGACCTTGCAAGCTGCGCTGATCAATGCTGGTTCCAATGTTCTGGCTCAGACTATTGGAGCTTACAGGGATGAGGTATGTTGATTTGTTCCTCGGTAAAAGTAAATTGCCTAGCAAATGATGTCGGGTCAGAGATAAAATGATTCGTTCGCTCTTGTGTGGAGTGATAGCTACTATTCGATTACCACTTCACTAACCATGGATATGGTTCATTGGCAATCCGTGTGGGTGGCCCCCCATGGTTGCCGATATTATGATGCCTATAGAGACCCTTTGAATTAGACACTCAAGCCTTATTTCAGTTCACTACTTGTGCCTTCGTTCTTTCACCCTTGACCTTCCTGTGGCTTGAAGGCCTCGAGGCAAAGCTCCCGGGCTATGATGAGAGCTCTGTCCCCAAGCCAAAAGCGGAGAAGAAGGTGGCACAGAAGCCCAGGCTAAATGTCACCAATACTGTGGCGAAGATTATCATCGATCAGATCATCGGCGGTGCCTGGAACACGGCAGTCTTTATCACGACGATGGGGCTTCTGCGCGGCCAGAGCTGGGACGCCATTACGCTGCAGATCCAGAAGGTTTGTTTTCCAGGCTTGTATTAATATGACCTGTACTGGATTGCTGACCTATCATTGTCAGGATTTCTGGCCCATCCTGATCGCCGGATTCAAACTGTGGCCAATTGTCTCTATCCTGAACTTCACCGTTGTCCCAACAGACAAACGGCTACTCGTTGGCAGTCTGTTCGGTGTGCTCTGGGCTGTTTATCTGAGCCTGATGTCGGGTTGATGTTGTATCATGTCAACTAAGGGGTTTGCTTAAATTGCCAGGCTGATTGGTCTATGTTGGAAGCTAAGTTGGGCGCTGGGGACCTGGGGCCTGCGGCTGGTGTTTCTGTTGGTTTCGCAAATATTTGGACAAGAATTCTCAAGATTTGCAACTTATGCTTCCTAGAGCAGTAGCACATATAACTTGAGACATTTATTACTTGGCCCTACCGTGTTGGGTAAGCTCGCCAGGGGGAGCAACAGAGCACCGGCAAGCGCACACAAGCAGAAGGAGCCTGATCAAACCAAAGATAAAAAGGGGCCAGACTTGAAATAACGGCAGTCCGCTAGATAAGTAGTTCGCTGGACCATGCTCCGCATGATTGTCAGGCAACGTTGAGATTGATGAATGGTTTGTTGAGCGACCCGTTTTGTTTCCATTTGGCCCCCATTTTCCGTCCCCGAGTAACCGAGAGCTGCAATAGTGAAGCCTAGCTGGACCGTAGGCCCACCTTCATTTCGGGGCCAAAACACATGGACGACATACGATGCCTGAAGCCCATTCTTCCCGCATTTCTGCTGTTTATTGGACGACGGGCGTTATCATTTGGAGATGGATAGTGAATGGCGAGAACCAGGAAAGTACGGTCCAGTGCGGGTGTACCTGAACCGTAACCCGATACGGCATGGCAAGGCAACTTGAACCCACCTTGGAGTAAGATGATCTAGGCTATCATCGCGTAGGCAACTTTCCTTGTGTCAATTCAGGAGGTTTGGAGAAGATACGCTGTTAGGAAGCTTCTAACAGGAGTCCGTCAAATCGTGGTCAGGTGATATGTTTGGGGGCTCATTGTTGACAGGCAATTCTCTGCCTTGCGAGACACGCCGAATCTCAGAATCGATTCAATCTAGATGAGGTTCGAATTGGCTGCACGCCCCCGTCACACCAACGCCAATTTAAACCATGATGCTCTCCAGAACCAAGTGTTTATTTGTCGAGCAGTTATGTAGTAATGAAAATAGTAATCCATGCGAGGAAACAAATGAGGCGTTGGAGTCCGTCTTAGCTAAGTGATCGGCTGTCTCAAACACATTTGCATTGATCCTGGGACTGGAGGAACCGAAGAACAAGCGACCGTTCGTATGGATGGATCGATCCCTCGATTCTTACTAAGAAAGCATCCATCGTTTTGACTGACTATTCCGTAGATTTACGGAGTTTAAACACGGATTTACCCGCAGATCACTTTCATCATTGCATGCAGGTATGAGTGTGCTCCGACGTCCGAAGGCCGGCGGCATGACTGAATCCATGATGCTGCACCCACCTACCTGGGTTTTGCACGAGGCAGACAGGGATGGATAGAGACGGCGTACGCAATCTGCTGAAAATTGTCATCCCAGTCCGGGTTTAGTGTTCTCCCTATCTTATTCGTGAGACACTGCCCTGCACTGGACCAAAGTAGGTTAAGGTGGGTTAATGGGGTGTAATTAATAGATCAAGGCTGTGGCTGCAGCAGAATTCGGTAACGGTCATACGAGCTGAAGAGACAATGGGGACTGCGGGAGGATTGGCGATCAGAAGGCTGGTGGATGGCGCAGCCACAACGAACTGGGGGTCTATCGCAGATTCCACATCTCCAGTACCGAGAGTTGTCCTTTGAACATGGAGGGAAAATAGGGATAGGAATCTCCGTAAGGCGAACAAGAAAGTGAGATTATTGTCATCCCGATGATGAATAGATTGAGGGGGATGTTTGGCCCCTCGGATCCGGAAGACGGGCGGAGACTCTGACAAGAAACAACTCGCTTTCCTCCCCGGGATAAGTTGCACGGACAACTACAGTAGTCTCTCTCACTAAAGGTGTACTATCTCCTTGTAGTTTTGGCCCCCGCGGTTTAGTCGCGGCTTGACAAGAAGTCAGTCACTGCTAGGAGTCGATCCATTCTTCGTGGCACCGTCTCCCTAGCCTATCGCTGTGCATTGCTGTGCCCATCCACCTCTGCTTACTCCATAAAATATTAGCTGGCGTCATGTCCCCAACTGCCCGGACGCGCATTCCCTCCCGATTTAGGGATAAGAAAAGCATCTCCCCCCGGCACGTGGGGACTGCGACGACCGGGATTTCGAGTCAGATTTCATTCCAGTCTTACTTGGGTAGGACTTCAATGGCATTTCTATCTGCTACAAACCCTCATATGCTCCTAGCTGTGCATCTCGAAACTCTTTGTCGGTCGCGCGTCATCTGCTCCCTCGAAACTCTTTTTCTTTGTTCGCCCGCTCGGCGTTGACTGTCAGTATACTGAACCCAACACTGCGCTTTCCGTGGTCCCTTTGAGCTGATCCGTCGCGAACAGTCGGGTGCCACCTTTCGCAATCCTTGTCACCCTTTCTGAAAGGGTTCACGCAAAACTTGGGACCAATCTTTATTTGATTGTGAGCGCCTCAACGGCTTTTTCGCATTCGTCTCCGGCCCCTCCATTTCGGACTCCGCTCGTTCGGATTTTGGGAGGACCTACTTAGTTCGGCCAGTCGTACTTCTAAATATACGGAACAATCCCTGGAATAACATTGTCGGTCCAAACAAAGAATACCAACAAGGGCGCCTTCAAGACCATGTTGTACATGTCCCTAAACGAACGGGTGCACTGTGCCATATGACAACGGACTTTGTGTATAGGTAGCAGCCAATTGTTACGATCGAACCATCCAGGTGCCCCAGGGGATAAACTGTTGGCTCAGTTCGGAAGCCAGTCCTACGTTAAACAGGCTCTCAAGAGTTGGTATAAGGCTAATCAAAGGCCCCCTCAGTCCCAAAGATGGAGGTGATGGACATGCCTAAGCGCAATTCACCCGTTTCACAACCCACCGCTGTCGCAATGGCATCAACATCTCCTCATCCAGAGAAAAAAGCGTCAGATGCCCCATACATCGTGGATGACGACTTCCCTGGAGATGACGACGACGACGATGATGTTTCGATATCGCCTATCTCTGAGAGAGCACCTCCATGGTCTGGAACTCGCTGGGCTCGTTTTTTCCCCGAATTGTCCTCTCACTTCTCCTTGGCGTCCCCCACTAACAGTACAAATCCGCCCTTTCCGCAACCTCTCACGAAGGGTCCGCCTCATATTGACGGTCCTTCACAGCAACCAGAGAGAAGAAGCAAAGGGCCTTCATCTCTGTCATCTGAAGATGTGGCAGATAACAGGTCATCAAGCTACACCAGCAGGTCTTCCTTGACGAGTCAGGGATCTGAAGCTACATCACCAGTTCATAAACTGGTGGATAGTCTTCACATAAAGTCACCCACGAAAGCTGGCGTGTTTGACGAGTCAAAATTTGCGCATCAAATTCCTCCTCCGTTCCCGAGCCGCTCTTCGATTGCTCAGTCCAAAGACAAGCCTCTCCCTCAGGAGCCTCCCATTGAGTTGACTCCACTCTCAATCCGCCATAAAACACCTCAAATTCCTGATAGACCCGGATACCTTAGCCGGTTGGACCCTCCGCCACGCTCAAAAAAGCATGCAAGTCATCATCATCCGACGTTGTCGCAGGCGTGCACCGATCTGGAGAGGACTCTAGCCGGACTCGCTGAGCAACAGCACAGTCCCGCGCAACTCTCCCCTCGCAGTCCTCTTCAAATTCTAGACGGGCCTTTGCAGATTAGTAGAGGCAATATGGACATGGTTGCTACGCGACCAGCCCCTCGACCCCCTGCTAGCGTGCATGATAATCGTCAGATCCACAAAGCCAAGTCCCGCGAAGATATGAAACAGACAAAGAAACTACTTAAGAACAAGCCGTCCTTTTCCTTCACAGTACCAGCTTTCGGTCGGAAACTGAGTCGTGTCCATCATCGATCCACTAGTAACACCAGCTCCAAGTCGGAACCTGAATCCTACAGGGCCAGCGTCTTACATCAGCCAGCTGTCGCAGAACTTGGAGACAGCGAGGTCGCTGAGTTACAGGGGTCTTCAGTCATTGGTTTTCGTGAGAGACCCTCCTCCGCTGGCGGAGAGAAGGAACTTCGGATGAGGCTTCCCCGCCTTCAGACAAAGGAAATGGGGGCCCCCGGTCGGAAAAGAGACAACATCCACAGCACTCATGAAGGCCCTGAGCAGCTTAGAAGACCAAACGGCAGAGCAAGGGGTGCTTCTGTCGGAGAAAAGTACTTCGTATCGTACAGTAAGCTCGATGGTATGCCGGTACATTCCACTCGTCAACATCAACCAACTTCGCAAACTTCATGTATGGTCTATGAGCTGGAGGGTGGTTCCACACAACCGCCCGCTGAGCTGCAAGGCGATACCACCAGTCCGATCGATGTGGTGCCTGTCAGGATATCTGTCGGTGTATCATCTGTCGGGGCAATGCCTGGCACTTTGCCCGACCGCGTTATACTGACGGTCTTGGAGCACATCACCTCCCTTGACGACCTTTTCAATGTTGCGGTATCCCGCAAAGATTTCTATCGGGTTTTTAAGATGCACGAGTTGAAGCTCATACGGATAGCCGTGTTCGCCATGTCTGCGCCAGCATGGGAGTTGCGCGAAATGAGCCCACCATGGGATACCGAATGGCATTTTGTGCTGGATCCTGACGCCCCTGTGCCTGAATACACGCCAAGCTGCTACCTCAAGCGCTATGCTGAGGATATATACACACTGGCTCATCTCAAATCGCTTATACTAGCTCGTTGCGGGACTTTTCTGCGTCCCGAAACGATCCGTGGGCTCTCCGGCACCGACGATATCCGTGCTGCCGAGGTCGATGATGCCTTTTGGCGGGTTTGGACTTTCTGTCGCCTTTTTGGTTCTGGGAAAGGTAGAGAGGGAGACATTGCGGGACAGTTGGATTGGCTGAGGGGTGGCGAGGTGGCCAGGAATCGACGTGTTTCCGAATTCACGTCTATAGCCGATCCATATGACGCAAATAGCGTTTTGTTCGAACCTCCTACCGGATTTGGGGACGGCAATAATGGAGGCCTATCAAAGGAGCAGCTTCTTGATATGACAGAGATATGGACCTGCTTAGGTGTGCTTCTTCAGCCAATGCACGGTAAGTGTACTGAAGCACGAGCAACTGGAGTATTCGATGGGCATAATGTAGAGGCAAATGATTCTGCCAAGGAAGCAGCAGTTCTAGGTAAGCGAATCCCACCCTTATGAAGTTGTCGTCTCACTGTTTCCAATCACTAACCCGTTTGAGCAGAGGAGTGGGCCTACTACATTCTCACACTTGGACTCTCAGCAGTCTTGGTGCTCGGCTCCATTCATCCCTATGACAACACTACTGCTGTTTTCCAGAGAGCTCATTCCATGGGCTTGACAAACTGGGAAGCATCTGACACTGGTGCGAGCCGTTCATCATTCCTGAGAGAGGCCGTGTCGAAAGCTTGTCAGCCACGGGGAAGTAGCACGTCTCAGGCGTCGATGCGCTCGTCTGGCTTTAGCTCCCAGCCTTCAGGGTCGCATGATGTATCACAGACGTCTAACGTTCGCGGCGAGAGAGAGCCTTCGCCTGACTTCCATCGCCGACGGCAAGCCGCCTATTCTGCCCAGTTGAGGATTCAGAGACAACAGCAGCCAAGTCCGCCTAATCCTATGCTCGCTGAAGAACGGCCCATATCTCATTATGCAACCATCATGAGCCGCCTAGAAGGCCTTCCGCCCGCGCCTCAGCCGCCAATGTCTGTATCGAGGATAGAAATACCGCCTACTACCCACTCTTACATGACGAATGTGTCCTATATGCAACCCCTCCAATCAGTCACACCAGTGTACTACCCACCACAGGTTCGCGACCCTGTTGACCACGCCATCGACATAATGGTTCGAGAGCTTGGCTTTGGGGAGGAGGACGCCAAGTGGGCACTTAAGATAACAGACAGTGGTGAAGGTATCAATGTAAATGCGGCGATATCCCTACTCACGAGAGAACGCAAGACCCATGAGCAGAGCAGTAGGGGATTTTCCTTGAGGAAACGCAAAAGCTTTCTCTCCTCGGTCATCAACAGTCCGGAGTCGAGACATTCGGGCTGGAAATGGGCTTGAGCAGCACGACATTCTTATGGATTGTTGTTGCTAAATTTCAACATCAATGACAGCTAGTCTAGTCCTTGTTGTACTTTTTTCTCTTTTTCTCATGACTACTTTGCATTACTGGCTGCCTACTTCTTCCGAGGATCTCCTTTGACTACAGGGCGTTTGTTTGGGTTGATACCACTGTGTACCACAATTTTCTGTAGCTTTCATAATTTACTACAAGCGTATATAGTCATCTTTCACCGATCATACTTTGATCGTCCAGCTATGTTATTATTCCAGACTCCTCTATTTACGGGACTGGGCTTACAAGGATGCCCACGACAAGGGAAATGCAACCGAATATCCGCAGATCTACTGAATAACTCCCTCCCCTTCTTAGGGATGTCACAATTTGAAATCCAGCATCATTCTCGTAACAATTCAGGAGCCCCTTCATGAGGCTGTTTAACCGTGCTGACAGTGCTGGGATGGCGCGCCTCTAGGAATCAAGGCGGTCTTCGTCAGCCAATTTGCAAGGAGCCCAGTGAAGGACGGGAAGCTAGCAGGAGCCCTAGATGAAGGCAAAATGGCCATCTACTCTGTGTCGAGAGCATTTGAAATTGTTCATCAGCTGGTACGTCACGCCTGTCCACGTACTGTGAGAGGGCGGACCGTGGAGGGAATGCTGTCCTTATAGGCCAGCGGACATCCCGAACCTTCTTCGACCCAGCCTGTCTTCCCGCTCAAACCCACTGCAAACCGAATAGCAAGCTCGGCTTTGAAAGCCATCTGCTGCGGCAGGCGTTCTTCCCTGGCGCCATGGAGAGAGTGGCCAGAGTATTGAACAGAAGGGCGAAAGTTTAATGGTTAATCATATCTATTTCCGATGTGACAAATCGGGTCTGAAACAAACTTCCAGACTATTGTCTCGGGAACTGCTTCGATGCTCATCCCACCCAGTTCCGTGGTGGTTCTTCGGGTGTTCTATTCCAGTTTTCTAGCTTGCAGGAAGCTTCATTACTTTATGCAAGCTGTCATGGACACGGTGAGGTTGAATGGATCCCGCTTGCACGCACGTCTGGACGTGCTTCAGCTGACAGCCAAACACCTAGCATGTTCTTTATTCATTGGGGACCCCAACCTTGACATGTCCTTAGAAGCAGGTCGACTAGCATGGATATTGCTGGAACTATCTCGTGGTCCAGCCAATTATTGGAAACGTCCCTGACGCGGCTGTGATGTATCAACTCGGGAGGAGAGAAGGGCCCCCCGACGATCGCAAACGAGGCTTCCCTTTGCTTTTTTTTGAGTCTTCGCCGAGAGGCACGACTCAGCCCGGGAGATCTGACAAATGATGTGCCAATGGCATTGCTTAGAAGGTGAAAAATCATCAACAAGTCAATAAGGGAAAAAGGAACGATTTGATATGATATATCTATGGCTCGACTTTTGGGACAGAGATAATGCGGTGAGGGCGCAGAGGCGCGGACAGGTTTGACCCTCGAACTTGTTCGACGCAAGGGGGGTCCGTTTGTTTATTGCAGGGAGGAAAACGAGGGGAACATAGGCAAATGCACTCGCTGGCTGCATCAAGGCGGTCCGTCAGTTTGTGGAATCAAGATAATGCTCTCGATGCTGGTGATGCAAAAAGATGAACGGCAAAGCCTGCCAACCAACCCTGTCGTCCATCCCTCCCTCGGCACTTCGATCGATCAATCGCCCAATATATCACTTTTCGCTGAACTCAAGCGCCTCTCCTTCGCAAGCTTTGTTCCAGACTAACATGCGAGGGATGACAAGCGTTAGCGCTAGAGGAGAAACTTCCCCAGTGCCTCCTAGAAACCATCAAGAATGGGGCACCGCCGTTTACTTCTAGACAAGACCACCGGCTGACCTGCATATGTATGTATCTGTGCCAGCATGTCCAACAGCTCATTAAAAGTGACGCCTCATCCTGACTTTTAATGGTCTGTTCTCGTTCCGACATTTTGTTTGAAACGGACTGCCGCACATCTTCGACGTCGTCTTTTCCTCTCATTCTCCTGTCCTTGTGCATCCTCTTCATATCCCCCCAAGATGACTACGGAATCCGTTTCCGACGCTAATCCGTCGGTTCAGAGGTAAGTTCACGCATTCCTTTGCTGTCATGGCTGCAGCCTGTATGGGTGATCAATCAACCACTAACCAACATCGATTGGTCAGAGATTTCGGCGACATTCAAGGGCTGCAGACGGAGGCAAAGCGACAATTCGATACCGATATCATCCTGAGAAACTCGATACAAGGTGCTCCAAACAGATTCGAGGCTAAGGGCCGTGTTCTAAGAGCCTCAGACGTGCTGCTCTCTTTAGTCGGCAGATCTACGAGCGGTATGCTGCCCCCGGCTACCTACATATGAATGCAGCCTGTGGTTGTTTTGCATCGGCTAAAATTGGGATTAATCTGGCTGGTAGAAACGGATGATGCATATCCCGGTATTGCAAGTCCTCAGGAGGCTTTGCGTTATTTTCCTCCGTTCCGAGACGATGATGGGACCATATTTGGTGCAGTGGATATCAATTGTCCCGACTGCGATGCGGTTTTCTCTTCGTCGTACGACCGAACCTGATATTGCCCCTTCGATTGGTACACAATTTGACAAGCCATGCAGGAGCGAGCTGAAACATCACTATCTAACAAAATACTGTCCTGGCACTGCGATTGCCGTCTATGTGATGACGCGGGACCGGTATCTGATCCTTGTTCGTCTCGTTTAGATAGAAAAGCTGACTTCATCTACCGTAATAGTCTAATCACAAAAGGATACCGCGTTGAGAAACGCTTTATTCCGCTCAACTCACGCCCCATCTGCTTTTTCTGTGGTAACTGTGAAAGGCCATTTACATTTGGCGATGGTGAGGAAGAAGGGCTTGATCGGCAACGAAGTATGTTTTGCCACTGTCATGTTCGCTAGCGGAGTCTAACCAAGTCTCAGATACGCCATTTTTGGTTGACTGCAAGCACTGTGGTGAACCATGCAATGTCTCGTCAGTGTCCCCTATGGTTGAGATCTTATGTGTACCGTGGACTGGTTCTGACGTGAAGATTGCAGATACCAGCCGATCTTGAACGATCCGCGGGACGACATCGTTGTTAGAGGCACGGCCAGAGACATGGCTAGTGCTAATCACAGTCGGAGTTCTAGCTTTACGCAAAAAGGTTCCATGAGCTCCAAAGTTCCATCAACGAACGGCACTGGGGACCAGTCCTTTTCCAGAAAGGCCCGAAAGATACGTGAATCATGGTCGTTTAGAAGTACGTTGTCTCCAAACCAGTCACTGGATGTTTTCAGTACTAATACTCCCAAGAGTTCTCACAAGGGGAAGAGGATGAGCTGGTCGCTATCGGATTCTCGGGGCTATATGACCTGGAACGAGGTATGTCGCCTGGTCTTTGATTTTCTCAACATTCTAATGAGAATGGCAGTACATGCCCCCCACGGCATCTATCAGCAAATCGAAGGCAACAATGAGGCGGGCACAACGCAGTCAACAATGAGCTACGTTACCAATGGTATATACGAAGCCGACTGAGTAGCCATAAGCTCAGCTAATCTTGTGACTATAGGGGTTAATCATAATGGATCCATAGTGGAGTCAAAACGGACGCTCTGTGAACAGGAAAGCGGTCATCCCAGAAGTGACTTGACGGACACCAAGAACGAGCTCCGGAATGGCCAGGCTGAGAATGAACGCCCGCAAGCGCAACAAAGAGCCTCATGGAGGCAATCATTCTTGCAGAGGCTCTTCGGTCGCAAGGTTCCCAAAGGTCAGTATGCTGAAGCCAATATATCGAATTAGCACTCACTACTGTAGGTGTCTCGCGTGCACGATCCACCTCAGATCGCGGTAAGAAGTTGATTAAGAGGGCGAACACCATACGGTTCTCGTTCGTCACCAAGTACACGCGAAGCGAAAGGAGAGCAGCAACGACCCGGAAGAGTGACGTGGTTTTGACGAGTGGCAGGACGCAGGTAACGGAGCCTACGCAGGAATCTGTCGCGGATACCGAATACATGGCCTTGCTACGGGAAACGCAGAATGTCTTCATCCACACCCAGCATATCTCAGGCGGCGCGGTTGTCCACGATGCATCTGGGCGTCAAAGGATCTTGAAAATTGATGAAATTGCACAGCTTTTCCTACAGATTAAAGACGAACTCTCGGCTGCAAGCATGTGGTCGCGTATCCTTCACACCCAGATGCGAGCCGAGACTGCTCTGGAGCAGGGGAATTTAGACGTTGCAGATCTCAAATTTCGCACTGCCCTGAGAATGCTCGATGAGTATCCAGCATTGGACATTGACCAGAACTGCCGAGCGGTAATTTTTCATTCCCTGGGACGAACATATCGCCATCTAGAAAGGACACAAGAGGCGACTGTCTGTTATCTGAAGGCTCTGGGGTTATTCAAACGGACGTTTGGGCGCGACTATCCCAATAACTTCGCCATTCTGCATGACCTAGGAGCACTTAGTTCAAAGGATGTATATGCTACAATAGCATCAGCTTTATACGAGCGCTCGTTTGCAGGTCGCTTGAAGACACTGGGGCACAACGCCCCAGAGACCCTAAAGAGCATGCAGGACCTTGCCGCGCTGAAGGTCGCTTTAGGTGATTTGGGATCGGCCCTCCTCCTCCTGGAGAAAGCAGTCCCAGCACTCGATACGGTTTTTGGGCTGCAACACGAAAGAACGTTAAGTGCAAAAAACCAATTATCTCTCCTGTACCACAAACTCAAATTCCCTAACGAGGCGCGAATGATCTGCGGCCGAACCATCCCTCAATACAAGGCAGTCTTCGGTATTACCAGTCCTATCATGAGAGAATCACTCGTTCGGTATCTTGAATGCTCTGAGAACTTTGACTTTCCCAGTGAAATAGAAGATATCCTCAACCAATATCAACATATTCGGGAACCAGACGCGCTGCGAGTTATCTTTTATCTAGGAAGAGAATATAGCAAAGCGGGCCTACATCGGGATGCCGCGAATATCCTCGAAACCTTAGTTGAAGACTTCCTCGCCACCAAGGGACCGGAAGCGATTGAGACGTGGGATGCTCTGAGTTCCCTCTGTTTCGCATGCGAACAGCTCGACTCTATCGACAAGGCCATACTTGCCTACAAACAGTTAGCCCTTATGGCACGACGAGCCCCGGAATTCCGCTACCTGCAGGCGAAAGTTGATCCCGCCGAGGAGAGAATATCGGCCCTCAACGGACGAAGAAATATGCTCGCAGCCGAGAGACAAGAATGGGCGTTGCATGAGCCTGGGCCATGTGAGAAGTGCGGCACCCCTACCACCACCTTGTGCAACAGTAAGTTTTCCTTCCCTCGCCTTTCCCACGCGCAATCCTAACCTAACATGCAATGATCAGCCTGCAAGATCTTCCGCTTCTGCAGTGATACATGCCACAAGGCCGGATCAGCCTCCCATGCTCCCCAATGCATCCCATCCGTCACCCGTCTCGAATCCAAGTCCATCCGGATGAAGCACAAATGTCCCGTTGCAGCACGCGATCTCGCCATCACCAGAATCCGCCAAATCGACACCACCCGACCAGTCAATATAACAGCCAGTACCGCTTACCACCTCGATTATCGCAAATTCACCACCTTCCGGCTGAAACTCAACCCCAACGTCAACACAGTCATCGTCTTCGCCCGCGAATCCGACATCCGCTACACCATGATCGACAACCCTCCGCGCACCTACCCACCCAGCAAAGTCCAATGGACCACTCCAGAGCATCAAGAATCCATCTGCTACGCCCCCGCATCCCCCAATTCCGACACTACAGAAGAAGCAAGATACCTTCTCGTCGCCCCAGGGAAGAAAATGCTCCGCACCTTGGTCGATAAGCGTGTACGAGTCCGTGGCGGCGGCGGCGAAAAGGAACGCTTCCGAGCCCTTGATATCCCCGACGAAGACCTGGTCGAATACGCCCAGGGACTTGTCCTGGGTGATTATCCGTATGAGCCGTTCATGTATATTTTTGAATGGGTGTGGAAAGATTAAATTCGAAAAGCCATCGCATTGAAGTATATGATATCGGTAATTGAACTAACCTCTCGGGATTCCCTTCGTTCTGTTTCTTGTGTGTGTCTGATTTCCTTGTTTGCTATTACTAACTACTACCACATATGATGTTTCTTGTGTTTTCATGTGTTGTTACTAGTTACTGTGTGTGATTCTCCATGAGTTCAGTGTGTGTGATTTATCATGTCCGAGATTTATATATAATGCTGAGATCACCCTTGCTTTGAATCGTTTCATTGCTTCGTTTTCTTATTTTTCTTATCCTAAGTCGATACCACTAACCTCGGCTCCTTGGATTGTCCGCGTTTGGCTTCAGTCGAAGCTCTGGATATTATTTCCCTTGATATCAGATAACTGTACAATCTGTACGTGTATCTCTTTTGTATCGTTGAGCTTTCCAGTTTGTTGTATGTTATGTACATTGAGCACTAGGAAAGTGAGACGTATGTATGTTCAGATGGGTGCAATGCAATGCAAGAGAGAATTAATCGAACGCGAAATTTAGCTGTGATTGAGTTTCAAATTTCTAACAAGGAAGGGTACATCATAAGCTAAACCGCAAACTGATATCCTATTTATACAGCTGCCAATGGAAGGCGAAAGAAAGAAAGAAAGAAAGCGTGACTGGAACACAACACGACCATTCTATCGGGTAGTAGAGGTCAGAGAAACACCCAAGGCTATCAATATCTATCCGTAGTCCAAATCAAAAGAAGTCTCGTCTTCGTACCAGCATATACAATGCGCGCACATAACGACGCCAAACACCATGCATGTCTGTATGCATTGGGAAATGAATGAAAGAATCAATGAATGAAAATGCACTATGAAAGACGTGCTCAAATAGTAAGGTCCTCAAGCTCAGGAAGGTAATTAGCGAAAGGCGTGCTCTTGTCTATGGAACGGAACTGTAAGTGATAAATCGTGAGGTCGTAAAGATTATTCTTGTTTTGGCTCGGTTTATATGTTAGGATCGATTGATTGATTGCTAGGAGTAAGAAGGGCGCATACGGGCCCCCTCTCACGCGCCAGCTTCGTCATCGTCTGACTTGTAAGTGTCGTCGCTATCGCTTTCCCAGTCCTCGGCTTCGAGGGAGCGGCCACGGATGCCGAAACTCAGGATGAACCCGACAAAGGAAACGGCGGCGAAAACGCCGAATGGCATGGCTTCTCCTTTGTGCTTCAGTCTGGATGCGAGAGAGAATAGGCTGCCGGATAGAAATGGGCCGACTGCACGGCCTGCGGCCGAAAGAGTTTGAGCGAGTCCGTTGAGGGATCCTAAAACGGCATGATCCGGGGCGGAGTTGGTAATCTAGGTTGGCCATGGTTAGCTTGATGATCTTTCTTCTGTCATTGACAGAGATATCCAACTACTTACCAGTAGAAGTGCGCTTGTCAGCCCGCCAACTGAAGCGACTGTTTTGACGAGCAACGCAAAGCACAACTCGATCGCCAAAAGCGCGGTCTTCCCGCTTATTCCATTACCGCCATCGCTCTTGTACCCGACAAAAGGCATTAGCAGGAATGAAATGACAAAGCCAAAAAGGCCCGCTCGGTAAGACCAGCGATTTCCCATCTTGTCTCTCAATTTGCCGAAAATGCAGATTTGAAAAACAATTGTGACAAAGCCAGAGAACCCTTGAGCAAGACCGATCTCCGAGGGAGTCAGGCCACGCCCAAGTGGGGGACGGGCTTGCGAGAAGATAGGAAACAGGGAGTTGAAGGCAACGTTGCAGAGAGCGAAGATGAGATAGGTCAAAAGGAGCAGCACAGTATCCCGATTGAATATTTCACTCCGTGTCAATGACTCGTGGTGTGTCTGGCGAGTCTCCGATACCTCTGACGCCGAGTCTAGTTCGCTATCATGATCCTGACTTTCGTACGAGCTTGTACGAAGATGGCGATAACTGCCGGTATGTGGCGGTTTTACCCGACTCGCGCTCTTTGCAGAACTAGTCCACTCCCACAACCACGCAAACAGAGCACGAACTCTTTGCTTGAAATCTGGCAAGGTCTCTGCATCCTCCAAGCTCTCTTCGAGGAAGAATATCGACAGGACGAAGTCCACAACTAAGACTCCACCGGCGAGCAGGTTCGGCATGAGGTACGGGAAGGGGTTGGGTTGGCTCTTGTCGAAGGGATTCCGCTCGAAGACCAACAAGCCACCCAGGAGAGGTCCGGTTATGCCACCAATACCATAAAGAACAGGCAGATAGGTAAAGGCCTTCGACTGGTTGCTCCGATCAGTGATCTCACCCAGGCATGTAGAGACCAGACCTTGGTTGCCATTGACGGCACCCATCATCGCCTGAACAACGATTGCCTGGTAAAGCGTTCTGCAAAATCCAAAAGCGCAAAAGCAAGCCGCCGTGAGGATTGTACCCAGCAGAATAACCGGTTTCCGCCCTATGCGATCAGATAGCCAGCCCCAGAAGTAATTTGTGATCAACTGTGCTACTGCGAACGCAGTAGCAATCGCTCCGACGTATACACCGACCATATCGGGTTCGACTTCAGGGAAGGATGACGCCATATCGGGTAGGTAGGGACTGACGGAATTGAAAGCAGTCTGCTCGCAGAGGGATATCATCGCAAGCACCGCCATCTGTTTCTTCGGCAGGGGCGATCCGTGCCCCGATCCATGTTGAGAATCGCTTGGTTGGTGATGCGAGTCGTCGCCTGATGATCCAGATTGACCGGAGTTCGGTCTTCCGCGAGATTTCGGCGGCGGGGTGTCGAAGGTCTGATAGTGCAGCGTAGAGGAATGTCGCCGGTTCAGCGGATTGTGCTCTTCTGTCCTCATCTCGGCAAAAGAGAGATAGTACGTGAACCTCTATAGCAAGCTTCAAGTACTCCCCAGAGAACAGCGCGATAGAGGCGGTGGCTGAGCCTCACTAACAATCAGAGCAATGACAAATGGCTTCAATTGCCACTACCTCGTTCGCGATGCGGGGGGCGTTGGAGCCCCCAGAAAACAAGACTCGGGGGTGGATCTGGGGCAACAGCAGCGAACTATAGTCGCAAGTAACGTCAATGACGCGCACTTAACGTCTAAGACTGGAGAGAAATATCCAAAACAAAGTAAAAGCTGTCCACGATCGAGAGAATGTCGAGTCAAGGAAGAGGTGCCTGGATTGTCAAGTGCGGAGGAGCACCGGCAAACCCATGCCGATGATGTAAGCGTTCTGGCTGCAGTGGAAGATCCACGGCTGAGTCATGCGGTGGCTATCAACTGAGTTGATATGACAGGTATGATTGTGAACTGTTCCTGGGAGCAATTGTATGATGTATATAACGGTCATCGCACAGGAACTTACTCCCACATTCTGACACGGGCTGTACGTGTCCTGAGGGAGGAATCATTTGCAAGCGCTGCACTCTCTGTTCTCGTGGCATTCCGCGGGAGATGATCAGCTACGGATCTTGTAATCCGCCTGTCATAAAGCCTCTCTAGAAAGGGTGGCAAAGATGTACAGTGAGCTTTACCTCAGAGAAAGAGTGGCTTCTCTGCGATCCTAAGATGTATTTCAATTAGAAATTTCGAAACTGTTGATATAATTTCCGATCTTATAGCATAGTAACGCACAGATCAATATATCAGCTGGCCTGCTGGCCCAATGGTAAGGCGCTTGACTACGGATCAAGAGATTGCAGGTTCGAGTCCTGCGTAGGTCATTCTTTTTTGGAACTTCATTTTTGGTTCTTTCTTATCTTCATTTAGTTTATATCTATCTTATTTCTATTCATTCAAACCATTTACACCCCTCCGCATCCAAGCTCTGGCCTACTGTCCCGTTGCCGATGATCTGCACGTTCATCTCGTGTAGCCTTCTGCTGGAACCATTATCATGGCTTCTGATAGGTACGTTCTTCAAAGCGACACTACACTGTGACCCGACTAAAGATTATGAGTAGCTTGGACTAGCCTATGTGTGGAATTCATGGTTCTTCATCGTAGTCATATTCATTACTCGCCGGAAGTATATTAATGTAAGCTGCGCGCCAATCACTTCATCAACAAATTGACAGCCCAAGGGACACTGAGTCCTCTCAGGTCACCATAATGCTGACCAACTCCCAAGAAGACAATGGGAATACCTGTAGCATGCACCATGCTGACCAGCGTCCCCACCATGTCACCAACTGTATCACATTTGCTGATGATGAAGCCGTCAAGGTTCCGCCCAGTACCGAAGGCCTGGTTGAAATTGCGAGCCTGCATCACACTGTCCGTACCAACCAAGGCTTCGCCAACCATGAAGATCTTGTCTGGATTAGCAAATTTAGCAAACTTCTCCAGCGAGGACATGAGGCGCTGGTCGTTGTGTCGGCGGCCGGCAGTATCGATAAGGACGACATCGAAGTGGTTGGCAGCTCCGTATTCGACAGCATCCTTCGCCACGTTTGCTGCATCCTTTCCGTAACCCTTCTCGTACAGCTCAACCTCGCCAACGTTCTCGCGGGCACTGAGTTCCCTGAGGTTCCGTGCATGAACACGTAGCTGTTCCACAGCTCCAGATCGGAAAGTATCGCATGCGGCGATGAGAACACGGTATTTGTTCTGCAGTAGAAAATAGCAAATCTTTCCCAAGTTCGTCGACTTTCCAACGCCGTTGACACCAACGATCGAAATAACATAAGGACGAGGAGATTGCTGCTTGCTAGTGGGAGACGTAACCGCATCGATTTCACGGAGCAGATCAAGAGAGGAGGTAGGCGTCAGTATTTTCCGAAGAGATGACTCCATGGCCGAGCGCAAAGCAGCATCCACACTTTGGAAATTGCCTGTTTTTTTCCCCACGAGCTCCCGCTGGACACCCTCACACAGCCGGACCGCGGCCTCGCGTGCAACGTTCTTCCTCAACAAATGATCTTCCATGGTCTTCAAGGGCTTCTCCAAATCTGCTTCGGTAAGGGTCTTCCCGCCCACGATATTACGTAGAAGACCTCCAATGGCATTGAAACCTGAACCGACGAAACCAGCAGAGGACACATCCTTTGCTTTGTCGCTTTCTGCATTTTCCAAAATCGAGTGAACTTCGTCTCCCAAATCTTTCAGTACGAACTGGCCCTTGCCAGTTCTGCGTCCCCAAGAATCTTGCGACACGCCTTCCACAGCTGGAGCAGCGGCTTCTTCACCGTCAGCATGGGCTGAGTAGTCGAGGATCTGACCATCATCTTCATCGGCAAATCCATCGGCATCCCACTTGCGCATCTTTTTTCCGCTCTTGGGTGTCTTTCCTTTGCGGTTTTCGTCGCCTGAGGAAGCATTGGCGCTGGCGTTAGCGGCCTTGCGTGCACGACGTGAAACTCGGCCAGCTGGCCCCCCCTTGGCAGTTATGATGTGGTTCGCAACAGGGGTGGATGACCGCGATGTATCCGGGGTGTGCGGTGGCGTACTCTCATCAGAGGTCGCCCCGGCTAGCGCAGCTTGATGCTGCGCTTTAGGAATGTTAGTATCGTTACATTTTATAAGGCCCATTTAGATGCATACCTTTGAGAAGACCAGGCACAGGTGGCGGAGGGGGGCCGCCATTGTCAGACGATACCAGCGGGTCTTTCTTATCGACCGCATGAGCCACGAATGCCTCCGAAGAGATAGGCCCCGACTTATCCTCAAGCTCCCGAACTTGCTGGTCAAAGTATTTGTCAAAGGGGTACTGTGCTATCCTTGCGCGAGTACTTCGTAATTGATCCTTGTACAAATCGATGTACAGGGTGGAAATGTTGTCCAGGAGTTTGTCGATCCAACCAAGCTGTAAGAGAGACTGATAGACGGCCTAGAGCGATTTGCGGTCAGAGACAGAAGAGCTGAGACGCGGTCGGAGACAACAGCATACCACAAAGATCAAGTCGAATTCCTTCACTCTTTTCCACTTTAGAGTGTACTTCTCTTTCTTGAACGAAGGGGCAGCATTGTTCGTTGCCTGAAGCTGGACCTTCTCCTCGATGAAGACATCATTGATAAGGCTGTTAACAATATGCGCCCCGACGGGCGCGTACGATTTCGACCACAGGACTACCCCTGAGGCAGTCAAGATCTCGAATGCTTCCAACATGCTGCTGATAAGTAGATATGCTGTATTGGCGAAACTGGGGTACGGAGGCGAGTGAACAATGATGTTGGAGTGAACGGCGAGATCCGCGCAGTGGGGAATTTGCGGGCGGCAAGCTGATCTGTCGGTGATCCGAAGGGAAGGACTTCAGCCACGTAGAAACACACCTCAACCTTCTCCCATTCTGCGCTCTAGTCACCACCGATTTGCCGTCTCGGCAACCCCTCGAGCTTTGAAGGACAATCTTTGACTATTGAACTTCTCTCAACTACTTTGATACAACCCAGGAACCATGTACCGCCAGTCGTTCGCTCCACCCCCAGCGCAGTCCCCTCCCCTTCACCATCCTGTGCCTCAGCATGTCTCGACCGTCCCCATGATGCGCTCGCCGCCGCCTCCGGCATCACAACAGCCTCAGACTTCTGGCTATGGCAACCCATACCAGCCCGCCCCTGCGCAGGGTGGCAGCGGAACCTATGCTCCTGGCTTCGGGGGGTTCATCAATGATCCCACCGCGCAGATGGGATTCCAGGTCGGAAAGACCGCCATGGCAGCTGGACAGGAATATATGGAGCAGAACGTAAGCAGCAGCTTCAAGGATGTCTCTAAGATGAAAGATGCTAACCAGGCATGAAGTTCAATCGCTATGTCTCTATACCAGCTCTAAAGCACTATTTCAACGTCTCGAATTCTTACGTCCTGAACAAATTGTCCCTCGTTCTCTTCCCTTGGCGGCACAAACCCTGGTCCCGTCAACAGGCGCGTCTTACAACAGCTTCAACTGGTCCCAATGGCCAGATATCCCAGCAGCAGTACTCTTCCATGTTCCTCCCTCCGCGCGATGATCTCAACTCTCCAGACATGTATATCCCCGTCATGGCACTTGTCACATACATCCTTCTCTCAGCGATGTTGGCCGGATTCCGCGGTAACTTCCATCCGGAGCTGCTTGGTTCAATTACTACTACTGCTATCGCTGTCATACTGTTCGAGATAATGTGCTTGAAGCTGGCCATGTACATCCTCAGCATCAACAACGAGTCACAGCTGCTGGATTTGGTAGCATATTCGGGATACAAGTTTGTCGGCATCATCGTCACTTTGTTGACATCTGAGATCCTCACTCCGGGCCGAGGAACCGGCGGCTGGGTTGGCTGGGTCGTCTTCATTTACACCTTCCTTGCTAATGCCTTCTTTCTGGTACGTTCATGGCCATGTGCTTTTTTGATGACTGTACTAATGGTGCCTCATAGCTCCGTTCTCTGAAATACGTTCTGCTCCCGGACTCCACAAGTGATGCATCCATGCGCACTGGTTCTATGCACACGGTTGCTCGCTCGCAGCGTAACCGTCGCACCCAGTTCCTGTTCATCTACTCGTACGTTATCCAGTTCGTGTTCATGTGGGTTTTGAGTCGGGAGGGGCCGATGTCTATGGCTTCTAGTGGTGGAGCAACTGGTTCAGCATAGGGTCATGTCGGTACCGGGTTGCACATAATGATATAGACGGACCTCATGAAAGGGAATAGGGATATTAGTTCATATTCATGTACGCTTTGTGGAGAGCAGTATAATTGATTTAGATTACAATTTTCTTAGATCAGGGATGTAATTGGTCACGTCGTGCTCCTGCATTATGCTAGGACATGAAGTCATACCGGATGGACGATAGCTACTGGTGAGACACGGTCACACCAGAACGGTGCGGGGCTATGCGGTGTTCCAGCAAGTCTACTTTTGTTTACAAGCACTACAAATTTCTAGAAACAGTCACAGATGATTGATCACAGAACATATATTAAATTTCAATATATCTCTAGCTAATGCCTTTATAGCGGCGCAATCGGAAGTCCTATAATCCCACGTTAGCATTTAGTCAAACAGGTAATGAGTGACAAAATTGCAGGATGAGATGCTCCTCAGAGATCTTGGTGATGAAGGAAATTTCATTGCCAAAGGCATCAACTACTATCTAGGCGTGATAAAGTTTTTTAATCACTGGAGGGGGTGTGCAATCAAGGAAATGCAATCGCAACGTACCGAAAGAGCGCGCTGTTGGCAAGGGGAGTCGAGTGGCATGAAAGCGCAAACCTGCTTGATCTTCGACATGTTAGCGATGAGACTCCATGAGGAAGTATAGTGTCAAGATAACAAGGTAGAAATGAGAATATCAGAATATGTAAGAAATTGAATATCATGCGTCAGTGCTGTATAGAAACCCCGGCGAGGGCTTCACAGACACTGGGTCAATCGCAAATTACCGCATCATGTGAGGGGGGTATATATTAAACAAGGTAAAAGGAAGGAGTAAAGAGCTTACCAGTTAACGTGTGGAGAGTCAAGCTCCCTGGTGGAGTTAAGTTAGTAAACAAGATGGCGGAGTAGTTCTGGACAGAACGACATTTTGTTCTGATGCAAGATGGCGAAAGGTCGACAGAGTCTGGACCTTTACAGTTCTGCAAGATAGCAAGAGGAACAAGCAAAGCAGATCGGGTTGAAAACTTGAAGCTTAAAAGCAACTCCATCGGAGCGGATAATATCCGACCTCCGATGGAGCGCGCTAAGGCCGGGAGGCAGCCCTAGGCCGCACGCAAACGCCCCTGGGTGGGCTGCTACTGGCTGCTAAGCGAGACTCTTGTGGGCGAAGGGCCGCAGCACCGAAATTCGCTATCCAGCAGACCAGAGCGACTTGTGCGTTTCGGACGACTTCGACAACCCGACATTTCGACAACAAATTATCAACACCGTCCTCCCGGAGTCTGTCGACCGTGAGTTGCTGTCCGCCCTTACCGTGATCCCCGCAAGACTTCAACTAAGACGTCCCTTTTTGCTATTTTTCTAGGAAGCCTTCGCCATGGCCGATATCGATGTTCAGGTTGCTCAATGGAAGCTGGTTGAGGTTGGCCGCGTTGTGCTGATCCGCAGCGGTCCTTACACCGGCAAGCTCGCTGCCATTGTTGAGATTGTCGACCACAAGCGTGTACGTTTTTGCGCATATACCGGAGTTGCTACGAGCGCGAAGGAATGGGATTTCTATTAGGAGGAAATGCGATATTGACAAAGAGTTCCACCGATTAGGTCTTGGTCGACGGTCCCTCCACCGAGGAGCAGAAGATCGTTCCCCGCCACGTCCTTCCTCTCTCCCACGCCACCCTCACTCACTTCGTCATCCCCCGTTTGCCCCGTGCTGCCGGTACTGGCCCCGTGAAGAAGCTTTGGCAGAAGGAGGAGATCGATGGCAAGTGGGCCAAGTCCAACTTCGCCCAGAAGACCGAGCGCGCTGAGCGCAGGAAGAACCTGTCCGACTTCGAGCGCTTCAAGGTCCTCCGCCTCCGGAAGCAGGTACGTTTGCGAATCGCGATGATGTGACATGCACGGAAGATTGGGTTATATGGAGAAATCATATGAAAGTGGTCGGGACTATTGGTCGATTACTGGAAAAGAGCCGGGGACACTATGTGCATGGAGATTGCAGGAATAGGTGCTGACATTTTGGATTCAACAGGCTCGCTACGAGGTCCAGAAGGCTCACGCTAAGCTCAGGGCGGCTGCTCCTAAGTCATAGACGGTTCATGAGGCTCGGTGCATAGAGTGACAGGGTTGCCTTGGGACGGGGTTATTTGCTGAGGTTTAATTTATTTTCAGCAAAATGGGCTGTACGCATTATTGACAGCATAAAAATGATTCAAGAACCTTTGATATCCTGGCATAGGTTATCCTCGTACGTCATGAAAGATGGAGGGCGGCACGGAACGCCTTGCAATTAGTATATGGCAAATGGTATCTCGGGGTATTAATGATCTTGACATGACCTGCTCATCACTTAGACAAAAACCAATCCACAAACCCAAACATTTCCCCGTAAATCAAAACAGTAGTATTTATACATGGCAATGAATTGCTGCAGATAAAATAAATTAATGTAGAGGGAACGCTTGCGCCAGTAGAAGTGGTGGTTGTACGATCTGTAGATGCATCGCTTCTGTGTGTCCGGGGTGAGGGTCCCAATAAGCTCGCTAACGATTTTCGGCAGGATGACATTCACACAGCTTTGCGACTTCCCAACTACAACAAGGCAAAAAAATCCCCCTCATCCACCACAGCCCTTTGTTCCGCGTCTAGGTAAGTTGAAATGGAATTCCTTGCCGCGAAGTTCAATTTTACGGTCGATTTTGGCGATTTCCCGCAGATTTGTGGGTGTACCACGGTCTGAGAGGGACATCTTCGAACCTCCCACATCCAGCAACCAGTCACGTCCCACAGTGCGATTTGCTGACCATCAACTCTACAGCCCTTCTAGGCTCACTCGATTTACAAAATGGCCGACCCCCGTGTTGAAGAGCTCCCCGACGAGGAGGTTCCCAAGACCAACGTTGAGGATGCCGGCAGCTCCTCCGAGTCTGAGGCTGGCGATGAGCCCACCATCCCCGGTGGTGCCGCTGTCACCATCCACTCTCGCAACGAGAAGAAGGCTCGCAAGGCCATTGGCAAGCTCGGCCTGAAGCACGTTCCCGGCATCACTCGTGTCACTCTCCGTCGTCCCAAGAACGTATGAATACGGCCCTGTCCCTCCTTCCCGTGCGACGCTTAACAAACCCTGCATTCGTGCAGTTATTGTGGGCGACGAAGGATTTTCAGACTGCAGAGGCTAATCTATCGCATATAGATCCTTTTCGTCATCAACCAGCCCGATGTCTACCGTTCCCCCTCCAGCAACACCTGGATGTATGTGTCTCCATGGACTATGACGAATTGATGAATCATATCAAGCTTACATTGTTGCGACAGCATCTTCGGTGAGGCCAAGATCGAGGACCTGAACGCCACCGCCCAGGCTACCGCTGCCCAGCAGCTTGCTGAGGCTGCTGCCAACGAGCACGCTGGTCACGACCACGAGCACGACCACGGCAAGGGCAAGGCCCCCGAGGCTGAGGCCAAGAAGGAGGAGGAAGAGGATGATGGCGAGGAGGTCGATGAGTCTGGTCTTGAGGCTAAGGACATCGAACTGGTTATGGCCCAGGCTAATGTGTCCCGCAAGAAGGCCGTCAAGGCTCTCCGGGAGAACGACAACGATATCGTCAACTCCATCATGGCTCTCAGCATATGAACACCGCCGGAATGAACGCATGAATCGGTGGCTGGCGTCTCTTGGCCCTGCTGGCAGGATGGATTTTGGGTGCGAGGTCAGATTGATATCCCCTAGGATGCATGTACTGTCAGGCCCCATAGTGTAAATCATTTAGCCAAAAGCAGAATTGAATGATGTGAAGCACTATTTGGAACCGCCATTTGGTAGGAATATTTTAAAATAAAAGTACACAAATTCTTCCGCATTGGGAGAGTTAATCAAATTAGAAAAACAAAAACCTCGGACTATAATTGAAGGTAGTATAAACATGTAAGCTCTCCGGACTATCTATATCCACGCCCGCCCCTGCGAACTCCCTTGTGTAGTGCCAGTTCGGGAACACGGGAAAGCCGTGGTCACGTGATGGCATCCCCATTCCAAATCTTGCCGAGTTCAACCCTCACCCTCCCGGAACCTCCAGCTTCGCACGTTGAACTCCCCTCTCTCCCCCAACCTTCTCCGTTCCACATCTCAAAATGGCCACTGTATGTGGGGTTCCTGTTTTTGTCATAACATTGTCTCGGATGGCGAGAGATATGTGTCAGCTAACTGCTTGGTGTACAGCGTAGCGCCGCTCTCAAGGTCGACTGGGCCAAGTTGACCAGCTCCCTCGGACTCCGCGGCCAGACCGCTGCTTCCCTCCAGGCCTTCAAGAAGCGTAACGACGATGCGCGCCGCAAGGTTCAGATCCTGTCTGAGCAGGCCCAGACTGTCGACTTCGAGCACTACCGCAAGGTCCTGAAGAACCAGGCCATCGTCAACGAGATCGAGAACCACTTCAAGAACTTCAAGCCCGCCACCTACGATGTCAGCCGCCAGCTGAAGGCCATCGATGCTTTCGAGGCCCAGGCCGTCAAGGGCGCTGAGGAGACCAAGGGCAAGGTTGAGTCCGAGCTCCGCAGTCTCCAGAAGACCCTCGAGAACATTGAGACCGCCCGTCCCTTCGAGGACCTCACTGTTGTATGTTATGGTGTCCCAGGATTGGACTACGCAGGATCTTGGTACAGATTTATTAATGTCTCTTTTTCTTTTCCTTTTAGGATGAGGTTGCCGCCGCTCAGCCCGAGATCGACGAGAAGACCGCCTCCCTTGTCTCCAAGGGCAGATGGATGCCGGCTGGTTACAAGGTGCGTAATACAATACCTGCATTAATGCCTAACTCTGCGACGAGTAAAACTAATGGATGTTGGAATTATAGGAGCGCTTCGGCGACATGTCCGTTGTTTAAACGGTTACATCTTTTGTACCTATTTTACGTCTCTCCGTCCTTCGACCAGTATAATCACACGAAGTTACCCTTTGTTGTCAAGCATGTTGGCCAGTTAGGATACCCTTGCTCTCTGGCAGTGTGATGTCGGTTGTAGGGTCATGTATAGAAACAATGTTGAATTTAGATGGTTCCCTCACCAACCGGACCGTTTTTGTATATCGGCCCTCGACCGCTATGTTACGCTCCATATAAAGCAGTCGACTATATTTACCATTGAAGGTACCCAGTACGCGCATTTGACTCTTTGGGGCAAATAAATTGTAGCAGTTCGCAAGGAAATTGCGAATAGTGGGCGACCACTGCAGCGTGTTATCGACACTACTCCCTGTCAACTCCGAGAACAGCAAGATGATAAAATCAGGCATCTCTCTGGTTTGCTCCCCATATTTTCCCCAGTCTCAAGGACGAGTTCCTTCCGATCGAATTGCTGTTCGGTCTTGATTGCCGCATTGAGCAAATAGTTTGTTTGTCATGGTCGTAGTTTGCAAGGCTCTGGGATTAGACTCGAGACTTAGCCGATCCCGAACAGCCTAAACTCTCTGCGCGAACACGACACAGGGGATCCTGCACTTCATGGCTGGCTCTGGATTGCACATCCACGTCGTGATGGATCAATTATGAGCCACAAAGCCAAATCATCAAAGTCAGAGGCTTAAGTTTACTGACTGCGAACCTATTTGTTATCGGTTCAATCAAATTACGATCTCCACTCTGACAGATTCGCGCCCCTATTTTTGCTTCGCCAGGAACTCAGCTGGGAAACTGGATGGTCTAGACCATAATTTGATGACCACTAAACACCGATGGTCCTGTCAAACTACAAGTACTTAAGTTCAGGATGGTAAGCTTATCGCCAATGAATGTTGAAGCTCAGGCCATCCTCTCGAAGTGCCGTCCCTCAAGACTCTATATTATATATCCCTCCAGTATACGGATAATTACTAGTTGAAAGGCCATTAGTATTCAGTTCACAATGCCTAACGTCTCGCAGCCGGCCCTTGCCGGATTATCAGCACTCGAAAGACTACCGGTGGAAATCATCCAAGAAATCTTCCTCCACTGTCTCGAAGTTAATCTCCCGCGAGCCTCCATACACATCTCCCGGGCTCTTTCCAACACAGTCCTGTACACATGGGTCACTCGCTATGTCTTCAGCAGCACCAACGAAAGCTCAAGACAAGACTTCTTCACGCCTGATTTTCTTCCCTGGCCTCTTGATGTTTTTGCACTCTCTCCCAATGAAAGGAGAGACCTGCAAAACGTCATCCTCAGTTGTCGCTGGTGTACACTACCTTTGATCCGCAAATGCCAGAGGGAATACATAGAGCATACGATCCGCCGCAAATGTCTGCAGCTAGACTTATCACCTGGAGACCGCCAGGTCCTCATCAATATTGGCGAGCAATTCGACAAAGATTTACCTCTTATGCCTGATGAAACACCCCATGCTCATCGCGGAAAAGGCGACCTGATCCTCAAAGCCAAAATCCCAAAGTCAGATGTGGACTGCAAAGTTGCAGTGTGGTTCAATGCTGGCGCGGTCCAGATCCGTCCATCCAGCGAGATATACCAGGAGACTGACATCTTCCGCCTACCATGCTTCGCGGCCAATCTACCAGTTCGGGTCCCGGACAAGCTACTTTTTCCTCCATGGACTGAATCTAAGCTGGACTTCCTCGAGTTGCTCTCGATGGACGGCTATCTTGACGAGGATCCCGAGCATCCGCGGGCGAAGCGGATCCTTCGACAGACGATTCGAGACCGTGACCTCGCAACGTTTAAGCGATTGCTGAGCATGCGTATTCGTGTGCCGTGGTACAAGTACCCCATTCGGTGGCCGGTTCTTCCAAATCACTTCTACGTGGCTTTGAAGTATGCGGATGAGGTGAAGGACCCTTTCGTCAGGTTGCTGGTGAGTCAGCGATGGGAGGATATCCCATCCGACGACTTTCAGCTCAAGGATCAATTGATGGCTAAACTTGGGACAGGCATCTCGGGATAAGTTGCCAGGATGACCTCAGTCCGCAGGACCCACACGATATACCCAACTACGGGGTACACCCAATTTACTTCGACTCTTATAGTTTGGTGAAAATTTCATTGCTCGAAATGGAAACACAGGATATCAGGCAGGACACAAAGGACGAGAAGGAAACGCAAGGAACCACAAAAACTCCGAACTGATATCCACATTCATATCCATATCCGTCATAACTTCATGGCGATTAAGTCAAGGTCTTGGTCGAGGTCGGGCATGTCTCGTATCGATCAATGTCAGACTCTTGACCTTCGCGTTCTTCTCCTCCTCCCACCACAGGATCCGCAGGTCAGACACGAGATAATCACGTCGAAGAGGGTAACGACACCGTCGATGATGGCCTTGCAGACAGCACCGATTGTGTTGACGATGCCCATCAGGCAAGCGCCGATGGCGTGGAAGATACTAGTGATCTATATATACATGTGTTAGCCAATCACCAGTTCATTTGTTCATAATATAAAGCAAGAGAAGACGATAAAAGAAGAAGAAAGACATACGCAAGAAACCACAGCACCCATATTGACGACTCAACTTATATTTTTCCGTAGTTGTAGCGGTAGTAGTTTCGAAGCGAAGTAGTTTGTATGAATGAACAGAATTATTTCGATCCCTTCGGCACGGTAGAGTTATAGCTCGAAGAAGCAGTGGTATGAGTAGAAGTATCACTGAAAGGACGCATGTTGATGAAAGATATCGAAAGTATCACACGGGGATATATATATATATGCCGTGCAGCGACACCAACTGTAACACGTTCAAGTGGAAAGTACAAGCGACGATCGATGATGTATGATGTCTAACACAAAGTACCTAGTGGCTTGCAACAAGTGAAAGGAAGAAAAATAATATGATCGACATAACACCTACATATTAATATCCCAGTTATTCTACGGACCAACTAGTACTATCCTTGGAACCTTCCCACTCCATGCCGTGCTTTCGTTGCTTCACTGTGCCTTGGATGCCGTCATACCGACGACGCTGATGTTCTCCCCTCCCCTTCCCTTCCTGAAAGGGGGAATTTCCGGTGCGGATCCCACCCCCGTCAATTATTATTACATTTCATGTCACGTTTTGGAGTGACGACGGGGGCTTTGATTCACGATTAGTTGATTGCCACTTATGATAAGGCTGAGCTAGACCCTTGACGTTACTGGGTTGCTGGTCTTGATTTTTTTCCCCTGCGAAATTCACCCAGGGGATGCGTGTGACGTCATGACTTGTGGTGGCCCCCCCTGGTTCCTTGTGGCTGGATGGGGGTTAGTGTTAGGGTTGAGTGGTGCTGGATTGGGAAGGGGTCAGGTGAGAGGGGAAGCCCTGTGGTTGCCTTTTTTGGGTTGATATGGGTGGTTTGCTTTGTTTGATAGCTGAATATGGATGTTTTGAAGGGAAGTATGGATTACTTGCTTGATGCTGTCTACTTGACTGTCTAAGGTTCAATGAAACGAATGGCAATTGTATGCATGCATAATGTCATTAAATATGAATCTATTTACCTATGTTATCTTACACATTACCATCACCGTGTCAATAATCTACACAGCATCCGCTTCCTCTCGCACTATCCACACACCCAAGTATGCACATTACATGTTCGACAACAATCTCAAGATCCCACTCACTCTCCCACCCAATGTAATCTGGTATCCCGTCTCCACGACACCCTTACACATCTCCCATGCGCCGGTGCCGTCCTGCCGCGCACCATCACCCTTGCGAATAGGGTAATCCACTCTGGGCGGAATCCTCGTCGCCATAACCTTAGGGAACCGGTCCACGCAAACAGCCTTGATATTGCTGACACCCCTCAAGCCCTCTTCGCCTGCGAACCGACCGTACCCGGATCCCTTGACGCCACCGAACGGCAATTGAACCGCATAGTAGCTGCCAAAGTCGTTGACCGACACCATGCCCGACTTGATGTTCGCCACGCACTTCGCAATATCCGTCTGATTGTAGCCGAAGACGCTGGCACCCAGTCCGTAGTCTGTTGAGTTGGCGATGGAGATGGCGTGGGGGACGGAGGAGGCGCGCATCACGAGGAAGACCGGAGCGAAGAGCTCCTGCTGGGCGATCTTCATGGTCGGCGTCACGTCTACCAGGAGAGTCGGGGTGAAGTAGTGGCCCAGTGGGTGTTCGGGGTGCTGGAAGCGCTTTCCACCGCAGATTAGGCGTGCGCCTTGCTTGACGGCATCGGCGATGAGGGATTCTAGGCGGTCGAAGGAGGCCGGGGAGATCATGGCGCCGACGTCGGGGGTTCCGGCGGAGGTTTGGGAGTCGAGGAGGATGGAGCCGAGACGAAGGCGAGCGATACGGGTGGATACGGTCTCAACAAGTTTGTCGTATGCGTTGGGGAGGGCGATGATGCGCTCTACGCCGATACAGTTCTGGCCGGCGGATTGGAAGACACCACGCATGAGGATCGAGGCGATGGCGGGGATTTCGCTGACCGTGCGCGAGTCGTCAAGAACCAGGGCTGGGTCTTTGCCGCCTAGTTCGACGGTCACGGGGGTGAGGGATTTGGCGGCGGACTCGCAGACTTTGTGGGCGACGGGCTTGGAACCGATGAAGGTCAATTGGGAGATGTCTGGGTGAGAGGTTAGGTGGTCGGCGACGTTAGGGAGGCAAACGATGCTCTGGACGAGGTCGCGCGAGTGGCCGCAGCTGGAGAGCGCTCCGCGGATGATCTCGAGGAAGAAAGCGGAGGACCACGCAGTTTGTTCGGAGGGCTTCACAACGACACCGTTTCCTGCAAAGATAGCGCTAATGACCGGGGAGATGAAGTTGTGGAAAGGGTAGTTCCATGAAACACAGGCAGAGACGACACCTAGAGGCTCGTAGGTGACCATGTTCTTCTTGTACATCATGAGGAAGTTTGTCGGGCGCGATTCCGGTGCCAGGGCCTTTTCACCGTGGTCAAGTGTCCATTTGAGCTTCTCAGCGGTGACGAGGATCTCTCCGAATGCAGCATCGACTTTGGTTTTGCCTGAATCCAAGCAGCAAGCAGTTACGAGTTCATCTTGGTGGTCGAGGACGTATCTGTTGGATGAAGGGATCAAGGTCAGTGCCTGCGTTGGCTGGCGAAAGTTGAAATGGTAAGCTGGGTACGCACTTCAGCAACGTCCTGAGGACCTTCCTCCTCTCTGCAAAGCTAGTATTGGCCCATTCAAGCTGTGCGCTCTTCGCAGCCAGGACTGCGCGATCGACATCGTCAGGAGTTGCCGGTTTGATTCCATTGCCGAGTACTCTTCCATCCGCGGGGCAGTAGCTCATAATCAAGTTGTCATTCCATTGCTGCGTAGGAGAGAGAAAGTTAGAAGCACTTCGAGATAATATGGGCGTAGGGTAAATCTTGTAAAGGAAAGGGCATCGGTGAAATAGAATGTAGGCAGACTTACTCCCCGGACTTGTCCCTCCAGCACTTTTCTTCCCTCTCCTTGAAGGCTGTCCCACTTCTCGCCCTTCCAATTGGCCCGAATCTCTGGAGGGATAGGCACGTTAAACGAAACAGCGGCTTCCTTCCTGCCCAGAACGTAGAGATAGCCAAGGTACGCGGCTGCGAGCGAGAGCAACGTGACGCCGAGCAACGGGGCCTGAGTCCGGAGATGGCCCACCAGAGGCTGGAGAGCCGGGGGGATGAATTGGTCGAGTGAGTCCATGGTGAAAGTCGCACGGGGCGCTTGACTCAACGGTTTGCTTGCCCGGGCCCTTCTGGGTGTGCAAAAAGCCAGAGAGCGAAAAGGGAGGAGGGGACTTAAGGACTGTCCGGAGGTGGTTCGATCGATTATCCACTGCTCCGATATGCGGGTGCACGTGCCAAGGGGGCGGGTTCCATCCAGCTTTTTGCAGTATGTCAAGAGAGGTTTGGACCATTGTAATGACAGGGACGAATAAATTCTATGCTATAAGGGTTTCGAGATTATTCCAGGTGCCCTTGCATGAGAGCACTAGTGCTAAATAATTAGATACGGTGCCTCAAACTCGGTTGAACCAGTACGTACCTGTAGTACAAGTACTAAGTACTATCTCTCAAGATATATATAAGTAGATGTACCACCATGACTACTAATACTGAGTAGTCAACTTACTAGTAACTGTGATTTGAACTGAAATTTATTTTCATTAGCAAAATCTAGCTCTACGTTATTCAAGCAATGCTAATACTATCTAATAATCAACAACAAACGATTCCATACACAGGGAAGAGTCACACATGGTTCATGCTGACATTAGAAACATCTCTGCTTAAGCACGGCGTTTCCGCCCATTGGATTTGGCATCCTCCGTCACTGATTCTGTGCCACCTCCCTTCCTCTTTCCCGTCCTTTTTACCAGATGATCAATCACACAGCCCTCCTCCCATCCGGCAGATGACTGCCCAGTAATTGCCCGACACCGTGGACAAGACTTACCATGACGGATGAGGAGCTGATGAAGGGAATACTTCAAATGATCAGGAATGCGCACTTCAAGATGGCTGAACGCCGTAATCTCCGTTGCTTTGTCCGAAGGCACCCAGCCCAACCACTTGCATATACGGAAGATGTGAGTATCAACTGCAAAGCAAGGGCGCTGCAAGCAAAAGAGCAACACACAAGCAGCCGTCTTCGGGCCTATACCCGGGTATTTAACCAACTCCACCATGGCGTCCTCTGTGGCAAGGCTGTGAAGATGGTTCAGGGATAGGAAGTGCTGGTCCGCGCATGCAATTTCATATTGCTTGCCACCTTCGGACTTCTTGATCAGATCCTGTGGTGCGTCCCGGGAACCCTTCAGCAGCATGTCTCTGCGCTGCTGATTCTCTTCGTAGACCATGTCTAGTATAGCCTTGATCTTCTTGCTCTTGATATCCGCTAAGCCGCCACGTTTGATGGCTTCAAAGACATCCTTGAGTGGCGCCTGACGGACAGCATCCCAATCCACGCTTCCTTTACCGATACCCTCTTTCAGGATACCAAATCTCTGCACAAGACCGTTGAATGCCATGGCAGAGTTGTTTCCTGTTGTTGCTCCGCTGAGCAACGTGCGGATGAGAGCATCAAGGACCGAAGGAACCTCGCCACAGCCGGTAACAGTGAGCGATGGCTCCGGAATAGTGGTAGGTGCAACAATCTCTCCGTGTACGGTCGAGAGTAACCGATTGACTTCTTCACATTCTTCAGGGGTGGGACGAGCCCAGTCTGGGAATGGGGTAATTCCAGGTGTGAGGCCATATGTATTAGTCTTTTTGGATCTCTTCTCCTTTTCACTGGACCCCGAGGCCGCTTTTGTGGCCTTGTCGACAGTGTTCTGCAGGGTGTTGGAAATTGCATCTATCTCTTCTTTCTTTATAGGGGTGTCGCGGGTGTCTAGCTTAATTGGAGCGCTCTTATCTTGCAGCTCGGGTAGCAGAGTAGCCGAACCTAAATTGTGAGGAAGTTCTTGGGCATCATTATTTTGTGCATTTCTGCGGTTCGTCTTTGTCCTCTTGGAGACAGGTTCACCAACTGGCCCGTTGCGCTTCGTGGGTCGAGTGTGACTCGCAGATGTAGCGGCGGTTGCTCTTCTGGCCGAGTCTTTGAAGGCTGCAGCATCCGAGTCTGATACCTTGGATGGCTGGGCCTCGTTCTGCTGCATCTGAGCAGCAAGTAGCGCTGTCTCCCGCGCAGTGGCGGAACGTGTCATACGAGCCATAACTACTCAATCAATGACATATAGTGGATAAACGGCTGTGTACTCTTCACACACGATAGAGGCAAAAAAGAAGCCGACCGACACTTTGAAATGCCGCGCAATTTTGATTCAAACCACGGTGTATACCGTCGGCTGAAGGATGAGGCTAGACAGATACTGCATTACGCAAAAGTCGCCAAATCAAATCGATATTGAGTCAACCACCGTAATTGTTATGCAAGAGTCTAGAGGTTGGTGGCCACGCGAGACGATCAACTGTCGTCACATGATCGGGGAACCTGCAGGGCCGTTCTGCATCTACGTCATCCTATCAAAAAAAAAAGTCTAGTTACACAAGAATTTTCATCGGTGGTCTATATATTCGTTAAACTCAGGGTATCTCAGCCCTTCGTTGTCTTTGTTAACCAGTCAAGCAAATGACCTCCCTATCTATCGTCCACCGTCTACAAACTCCAAGACTCCAGACCACATAAATGCCATAAAATGGTTTAAATAGGCCATAATGTCATAATCATGCGTGATCAGCAATGTTATGGATGCTGATGTCCATACGATCCTTCACCTTGGGATGCTCCTCCTCCTTGTGTTTGCGGGTGGTGCACACGCTGACCTGGGGCACCTCCGACTCGCTGGGGTCCTGCGCGGGGATGATGTTGCCCGCGCTATCCAGCTTGACACCATTGGCTGCCATGCGGAAGTCCTTCTCGCTGGCAAAGCCGTGGGTGACAGCTTCCTTGGCACGGTCCAGCGCCTTGATCTTGCGACCTTCGCCTCGGAGCTTCTCCAGGTGCTCAAAGTAGCCCTCGGAGACCGGGGTGATGTAGTTGCCGCAGAAGACACCGACTTCAAAGTCGTGTGGCTCAGACAACCCATTCTCCTGAGCGATCTCAGCACAGGCACCCTTCAAGTCATCCAATGTCTGGTAGATGACACTGTCAGCACCAATGTGCTTGGCGATAGACTCGGTGTCGCGGTTGTGCGCGACGAGCTCGGCAGGCGAAGCCAGGTCAATACCATAGATATGAGCATGTCTGTCAAGATGGTAAGCAACTGAAAGATGTTCAAACTGGGACTGTTGCCACTTACGTGATCTCTGGGGCGCAACTGGCAAAGTAGACCTTCTTAGCACCGGCTTCCCGGGCCATGGTGACGATCTCCCGACTAGTCGTACCACGCACAATACTATCATCAACCAAAAGGACATTTCGGTCCTTGAATTCGGCCTGCATAGCATTCAACTTGCGGCGGACACCCTTCTGTCTGGTCTTCTGCTCAGGCATGATGAATGTACGGAAGACATAGCGGTTCTTGACGAAACCTTGGCAGTAAGGCTTGTCCAGATACCGGGCAACGGCCGCCGCAGACGTCGTAGAGGTCTCGGGGATGGGGATAACGACATCGATATCCTTGACCACTTCCGGTCCAAGGACATTGAGGATTCTGGCAGCGAGACGGTCACCCATCCGCTGACGACTACGGTACACGCTGATACCGTCAATAACGGAGTCAGGACGAGCAAAGTAGACATATTCGAAGATGTCAGGAGCATAGGACTTCTTGGGAGCGACCTGACGGAAGACAGGCTCACAGCCCTTCTCGATGATGACCGCCTCACCAGGCTGAATGTCGCGGATGTTGCTGAATCCAAGCTGGTGAAGGGCGACCGACTCGGACGCCATCATGTAATCGGTGCCCTCACCGTCAAGGGAGGCCCGAGAACCGAGGACGAGAGGACGGATACCATAGGAGTCACGGAAACCCAGAAGACCGAAGCCCGCAAGCATAGCAGTGCAAGCCCAGCCACCCTGGCATCTCTCATACATGCGACTGAGACTGGCGAAGAGGTCTTCCGTGTTGACACGGGCCTTCTTCGTCTCGCTCAGCTCGTCAGCCCAGATGTTCAGCATCAACTCACTGTCGCTGTCAGTGTTGATGTGACGGTGGGCTTCGATGTCGAGATATCTCTTCAGCTCGGGAGCGTTGATCAGGTTGCCATTGTGAGCCAGGCAGATACCATATGGACTGTTCACATAGAATGGCTGAGCCTCGGCGTTGGCACTGCTTCCGGCAGTAGGATATCTCAGATGACCAATTCCCATAGAACCCGGCAGGTCTGCTACCCTGGCGCCATCATTGAAGACCTTGGCCGCCATACCGTTCGACTTCAACTGATAGATGCGACCGCCGGTTGCGCATGTGGCAATTCCTGCTGCATCCTGACCTCTGTCTAATCACGTAAAGACGAATATTAGTTGGGTGTGTTTCAGAAAGTTGACAGTCTTTGCATTCTGGGGCTAAACTCACGTTGAAGCAGGTAAAGTGCCTCATGAAGGTCGATGGCAGCGGACGACGAGGGGTTCGCCTGAATCAGAGCAATGATACCACACATTATGTCGGCGGTAGGATGTTCTAGTTGGAAGCTTGAGATTAGCACGTGCTTCCCCAAAGAAATGATGAGCAAAGCAAAATTTCAGTGGCAATGTAAGTCTAGTCAGATCGGAAAATATCCGCAATGATGCTTAGGAAGTCTAACATCTATAAAAAAAAACCGAAATTCATCATAGAAAGGACGAGGATTGAACAAGAAAGGGAGGATGAAGAAAGCGATCCTATACTCACATCCAGAACGGGTAGAGAAAGACTTGGGGACACACACACACAGTGTGGTGGGGTAAAAAACGGAATTGGACGGGTGTAAAAAGATGGGATAGAGCCGGAAACGTCTATCGAGACATAACAAGACTCATGCAAAGGTAGTAATGGTGGCGGATGATGGCCAATGTCACGCCCACGGAGGGATAAGTGAAGCGAATAACATGGTTAAAGGAGTTTTTTTAGGAGAGGAAGAGAGGAGAGAGACGCCTCGCATCTTATTTCTCCTGTTCTTCTCCACTGCCAACCGAGTAAAAGGGAAGAATTTTTGCGGGTGCCGCTAAACCAAAGAAAATTTCACAAACCGGAGATTGCCCCGGCTTTCCAGTAATGCCGATGCCGGACCTGACTCAGCTCCCCGCCCGTTCCTGCCATTGGTTGATCCATGCTTTGCTGGTCTCGACCACTCAGAGATGAGTGTGTTGATTAGGTAAGTGTTATCTATATAATTTCGTAGTAGATACTAAGTACTACTAGTATAGACATACTAGAATTACTCTAGCACAGGCTATTGCCGTTATTTTGCTAATGCCAACTCGGAATATTCCTGCCACAATGCTGATCTGCCTAGACTCTTGTGGCTGCTACCTAGTCACTCAATCTTACTGAACTGGGGTTGTGAGACCTGGGTGAGGGAGCTGTGTAGCCAATGTGATGCAAGACTAGCAATCAGCCATAATGTACTTCACAGCTCATTCACAAGTCAGGTGCTTCTCTGTTATACCTCGGAATAGCTTCATGTTATCAACCCTATATGACCCATGCAGCTACCTAACGTTCACATCCTCACGCACTTCTCACTCTCCTTTGCCCTCCTCCACTTCTTGACCCTGTCAACCGTAGCAATTCTCCCCCTCGTAGCCAATCAGACTCTCCATTCACTCTCCCATCCCCTCAGTTCGGTGCCTCTCATCTGCCATAACGTGTGCAAAGCGTGTTATTGTTCACGAGGTTGTCTATCCAAACTCTTCTCATGGGTTACTCGCTCTTCACACTTCCTTCAAGCCGCCTTTTCCTGCCCATTCCTCTGCCTATAAAGATGCCTTCTCTTCTCTTCCAACTTTCTCTCCTCTGCATCTTCCTCCTCTACATTTCTCCCTCCTTCTCGCAAGTTTTCTGTCTTCTCTATCATATTCTCGCCCATTCAACACCGTTTTATCTGCAAGGATATTCTTCTATCTATCTTCTCCTTCTACTTATCTATCTGTCATCTACAATGGCTCCATTCTCCTTTTCCATGCCTCACCTCTGCGAAAGCGACAACGATTGGCCCTCCGATCTTATGTCTATCGATGAAAGCTCGGATCACAGCAGCGTAACGGTAGAAAATGACCCAGACCGGGTGTTGAACATCCAGACGGGAATTCGATCAGGCCCTCTTTTTGAAAACAATCCTACACCCGCTGAGTTCGATGAAATTATTGAGCTCGACTCAGACACTGAGGAGGGCTTCAATGAACAAGACTACCTGACCGACGCTGCGTTCAATCGGCTACTACAAAACTGGCACAGAGCCCCCCAAGGACAAGATGCTGATGCCGAGGTGCAGTTCATTGATGTCCAACCAGCCAAGCGTCCTCTAACAGAATGGTGCGCGAATGGCATTGTCTACACACCGGGGCAATCCCTAGAAATTTTTGATGGAAATTTTATCCGGATAGAGAGCATATCCCAGCACGTTGTGTCTAAGGAGATCTTCTTCAATGGGAGGCACTTATTGCGTGCTACCAACCACAAGGGCACATATATCCCCAAGTGGCCCAACGAGCTCATTTGGATAGCAAATGAGAAAAGAAATATCGGACTGCCATTGATTAAGCGCATTGTAAATATCACTTTCACGAATACCTGCCATGTGGAGCATGATCCCCGGAAGAAGCAGCGTCCTCACGGTCTGTTCTGCAGGCTGAAGGAGAACTACCGCCTGAAGCCAGATGATCCAGCATCAGTTGAATACATCTCCTTCGAGGAGGCAGATGAAGGGTATAGGGCTCATCCCAGCAGTCTACGCAAGGCGTGGAGAGGAACTACCCGTCCTTTTGGAGCGAGTGATGCCCCGCAGGCCATCGATCTCGAGGGACCTGTAATTGATCTGACTGGACAAAGTACCGACGATAAAAGCAGTCGGCAGTACACGTTTGGAGACGGCTTCTGCGGTGCTGGCGGAGTGTCCTGCGGCGCTCTCAAAGCTGGTTTGCGTCCAACCTGGGCATTTGATAATTCCAGACACGCGATAAATACCTACCGTCTCAATTTCCGTGATGCCGAGTGCGAAGACTCGGATGTCTTCACCTTTTTGACGAACGATTATGCGTTTCTCAAAGTTGATGTTACGCATGGGTCTCCGCCATGCCAAACCTTTTCCCCAGCTAAGACCATACAGTGCGCTACAGACGATGCAAATTCCGCATGCATCTTTTCGTGCGCCGAGATGATTCGGAAAGCAAAGCCGAGGGTACATACGATGGAAGAAACAAGTGGGTTGTACGAGCGGCATCGAGAGACATTTCACCGTGTGGTTCAGGATTTTATTGAAATCGGTTACTCTGTGCGGTGGACAATTCTGAAATGTGCAGATTATGGAGTGCCACAGCTGCGACGACGATTGGTAATCATTGCATCTGGGTCAGTAGACATTGTGTGTCTTTCTTGTTTACTTTGACTGATGGCCTTTGTAGCCCTGGAGAGACACTCCCACCGTTTCCTGAAGCAACGCATGGGCTACCTGGTTCCGGCCTCAGGGACTACGTGACGATTAACCAGGTCATTTCACGCATCCCCCGCGGAGCCCCTGACCACGATGTCGAAGGCGCGCTGCAACGTAGCGCGATTGACCGAAGACCTTTTAACGCCAACAGACAGGCACGAACTATTACCTGTGGCGGCGGCGAGAATTATCACCCCTCGGGCCGACGAGGCTTCACCAACAGGGAGTTTGCGTGCCTGCAGACTTTCCCTATGCGTTTCCGCTTCGGGCCTCGCGAGGTACGAAAACAAATTGGCAACGCAGTGCCGCCGAAGTTGGCAGAAGCTATTTATCGTAGTGTGAAAGCCTCGCTGCAGCGAACAGATGAGGAGGAGACAAATCTTCAGCGGCGAGGGCTACACTAATCTTGGTATAACCATCGCCTCGTCTTTTGTGCATCTTGTGCGGACTTCGTATGCACTTTTTTGTTTATTCTTCTTGTCGGATTGTCAAATCAATGGCTTCAATTAGAATATTCCTCGATTAGAACATCATCACAATGAGTCTCGTTTCTTGTTTACTTTGAGAACCTGTGTATCTTATGTTATTTCTTTTCACAGTGAGTTTGGAAAGTATTGGCGGGCTTGCGTTGTGTTCGGCCCTCGGTGTGGAATTCGGGTACCCTCAGTGAGTGGAGTCCGACTGTCAGAGCTCCGAGGGGGGAAGATGGGGATGATCTGCCAGGAGATCCACATGCCTTTGCCTCAATTTGATAGCCGCGGGAAGGCATGAAGCCGTCCAACCGCGGAGAGAAGGGCGCAGCCGTCGCCACGATCGGGGACGGGTTCTGGTGGGAGGACGTTGGAAATGTTAGAGGAGCGAGATGAATTGCTGATAATAGATTTTGCTTCAAGATGATCTCAATTGTGCGTTGGAGATGCAGGATCCGGTCGTCGTAGGTCATGCAAGGTGGCACCTCCTGCATGATACTAAAGCACTAGTTCTCGACCGGGCATTCTGAAGTTGAGACGGAGGGGCCCAGCCAACATTATTAGCATTGGATTCACAGTGATGAGGGCGTTCAAGAGGAGAAAACTCTGGGTCAGGCACCGGTCGCACTGAAACTGGTTTTTGAGCGCCATTGACTTTCTGAATATTGGGACCACGCGAAAAGGCGCCGATTGACTTCTCCGATCAAAGGAGTATGAGGATTGATGGGAATCCCTCCCCGCTTCGTGTGTCTCCGGCCAGCCGGCAATAACCGCCCGATTGATTATAGGAGGAGGGAATAATGGCCTCGGTTCAACGCCGGGGGGCGGTATGAGATCAGGGTGACTTTAGCTCACCGTCCCTTTCCTTTTCCCTTCTTCCCTTGGATTGCCCCCAGCAACGTAAGTCTAAATACTACTACTTTACTCATCCCCCCCATTTTCTCCGTGCTTTCCGCCCTGTCTTTCTTTCTTCTCCTTCTCTCCCTCTCCAATTCGGCGGCATTGCTGCATCCTCCTCCATTCATTGCATCGTCTTGGGTATCATCATGTCTGCCTCTTGTTCAGCGTTGAGACGGCTGACCCACAGGTCTCCCCGCACTTGGCCCTCCCGCATCTCCTCCGTCTCCAGGCCTGCATCTTCTCTTTCCTCCGTTGCTCGTCCGAGTCGCAGCACACCCTCAACTTTTTCTCACATCTCTCGATTTTCCACCATGTCTCCCCTTCAACATGCTGCTCCCGTCGTTCCCGGCGATAAGCCGTACGACCCAGAGATCAAGGATATGGCCGACTATATCCACAACTACAATGTGAACTCGGACTTGGCGGTACGAGGGTTCTCCCATGTTTTGATTGACTTTCTTCTGTGTGCGATGGACTAATTGAAGACATCCTGACTTTTAGTATGACACCGCCCGTTTGGTGTTCCTCGACACTCTGGGGTGCGGTTTGGAGGCATTGAAGTTCAAGGAATGCTCCAAGCTCCTGGGCCCGGTGGTGGACGGCACCGTGGTGCCCAACGGAACTCGCGTTCCTGGAACGCCCTACCAGCTGGACCCTGTCAACGGCGCTTTCAACATTGGCGCTATGATCCGCTGGCTGGACTACAACGACTGCTGGTTGGCTGCTGAATGGGGTCACCCCTCGGACAACCTGGGTGGAATCCTTGCTGTCGCCGACTGGGTTTCTCGCACAAACCGTGCGGGCGGAAACATTGCCAACGGCAAGATCTTCAAGGTCAAGGACGTCCTGGAGGCCATGATCAAGGCGCACGAGATTCAGGGTGTGTTGGCGCTGGAGAACTCCTTCAACAAGGTCGGCTTGGACCACGTCGTTCTCGTCAAGGTTGCTACCACTGCTGTCGTTGCAAAGATGCTCGGCCTTAGCGAGAAGCAGACCGCAGATGCGATTACCCAAGCATTCGTGGACGGACAGTCTCTCCGTACCTACAGACACTCCCCCAACACCATGTCGAGGAAGTCCTGGGCTGCGGGTGACGCATGCCAGCGGGCCGTGAACCTCGTCTTGAAGGTGCAGAAGGGCGAGGGTGGCCTGCACACCGTCCTGTCTGCTCCCGTTTGGGGTTTCTATGATGTCCTGTTCAAGGGCAACAAGTTCCAGTTCCAGCGCCCCTACGGTAGTTATGTCATGGAGAATGTTCTGTTCAAGGTCTCCTACCCGGGTAAGTCTAGCATCAGACGTCAGTATGGAGGGAATACTAACAGTTGCCATGATAGCCGAGTTCCACTCCCAGACCGCGATCGAGGCCGCTGAGATGGTTAACGTGAAGCTCAAGGCTCTCGGAAAGACTGCCGCCGACATTAAGGAGATCAGAAACCGCACCCACGAGGCGTGCATTCGTATCATCGACAAGCAGTTCAAGGCGATGGACAACTTCGCCGATCGTGACCACTGTGTTCAGGTAGGTCCTGCCGTATCCAAAATTTGAGTGTCATGCACCACGCATACTGACAACCGCGCCAGTACATGGTTGCGACCATGTTGGTCTTCAACCGGTTGACTGCCAACGACTACGCCGACGGATCGGAGGCTGCTACTTCTCAGCTCCTGGAAGACCTGCGCAAGCGCATTTACTGTGTCGAGGATCCCCAGTTCACTAAGGATTACCACGACCCTGCGAAGCGCACCATCCCCAACGCCCTTACCGTTACTCTGAATGACGGAACGGTGCTGGATGAGGTGGTTGTCGAGGCACCCTTGGGCCACCGCCTGCGGCGTGAGGAGGCCAAGCCGGAGATTCTGGCCAAGTACAAGCGTCATCTGCAGGCGCACTTTGACCAGGCCCGCATTGACCAGCTGATTCAGGTTGGCTGGGACCAGGCCGCTCTTGAGGGCTACGACGTTGACCAGTACGTCGACTTGTATGTCAAGGACCAGATGGTGGCAGCTCAGTAGAGTCATGATTGTATATGCGGCATGGAGAAATTATACCATAATCAGAAGCGAGACTTTGGAGACATCGTGTATGAGATTAACGAGAATTAGCCACTGATAGAATACATTGAATTACCATATGGTGGGACAGCGATAATCAGGATTCTGCAGGCAGGAGGAATGAATAGAGGTCGGGCTAGGATACTAGTGGATGGCCTCGCTGCCGACGGTTACGCGACACGCTGCCGAACCCGCCAACAACAAGATCCATGTTTATCAGTCAGGATCAAGAGCTTGCCGACCCTCCCTATGTTATCATCTTGCAGAGTAGTCGAGCTAGTAGATTTCCCCATACAGACAACAGCTGATATCATCCCTACAGAATATACTCATCCAAGGGCAGCACATACCAGATCGTTTGGCCTACTTCTGAGTCTGTTGCTATGGGAGATTTACTATTTCCTCTACTTCATAATTCACAGACTAGTACTAAAAGCACATAGCAAGCTGGCATATGGCCCCAGTCCTTTAGTTGCATCAAGAACCATGTCAAATTAGAAAGATAACCTTCCTCATCATCTCCCCACCCAAACCACCACCGATAGGATATCGGCGATAAGGAAGGCCCCAATATCTATCTACGTACTGCCTAGAGCAGCAACAGTGCCGCGTTGGTGGCTGTCTCACCGCACCACCAATCATATCAACACCGAACCTGCTATCAGCGCAGCGCACGGATTCCCCAACCCGCTAGCCTAATGCAGGCTCGATAAGAAGCGAAAACCTGGGGTAAAGACAGTACTAAGACACTATCTCGGCATCGGCTGTTGTCGATCGGGACAGCCTTGCCGATACAGCCAATGATCGTGTTAGTGGGGAGAGTTGCAACGAGGATACTGAGTTCATGCCAAGATGAGGGCCGATAGGATGCTGAGGGGAATTGCATTCCATCTGGACTGCTTGTTGGGATGTATATAGGGAAGTTTATACGCGCCATGTTGTGCTTGTGTTGGTATTTGCTTGGATACTGCCATCGTCTCTCAATACCATGACAGAGTTTACGACTGAAAAGAAGGAGGAGTGCGGTGGTGATCATGAGGCTGTGAAGACAAGTTTTGATAATGGAGTTATTGAATTGGAGTCGATGCCTCAGTTTTCTGCTGAGGCGGAGAAGAGGCTTGTGAGGAAGATTGATTTTCGGTATGCATGCTTTGAATCTGCCCCATGGGAGTGAGGAGAGTTAACGGTGACCCAGGATTCTTCCTATCATGCTGGTCGCGTATATGATGTCGTTTGTGGATAAGCAGACGTTGAATTACTCTGCTATTATGGGTCTTTTGACTGACCTGAAGCTGCATGGTACGGAGTATAGTTGGACCTCGTCGATATTTTATTTTGGGTATCTTGCGTTTAGGTAAGTTGACTACCACATGAAGTATAGGCTGAGTGAGCACTGTCTGATAAGTTGCATTCAGTTATCCCGCATCACTGCTTCTCGTCAAGTTCCCCTTGGGAAAATACCTAGCGTGCACATAGTATGTCTCCTCTTCCTGACACCACCAAACCACACGCTTATAGCTATAGTCTCTGCTGGGCCGTTGTCCTCGCATGTCATGCTGCTACTACAAATTTCACCGGGCTCATGGTCGCCCGGTTCTTCCTAGGCTGCGCAGAAGCCAGCGTGACCCCGGGATTCGGCCTACTCACGTCTCTATGGTATCGCACGTCCGAACAACCTCTTCGCCACGGGATCTGGTTCTGCGGCAATAGTTTGTCATTGGTGCTTGGGAATGCCATTGCTGTGGGTATCTGGCAGATCAAAGACAGCTTAGCGTCATGGAAGGTAGAGCCCTTACAGATTTTCTCATCTTGACACAAATCTGATATCTAACAGTGGATGTTCATCATCTTCGGCATCGTCACATTCCTTTGGGGCTTCCTAATGCTCCTTCGACTGCCCGACTCACCCACAAATGCTTCTTTCCTAACAGACGAGGAGAGGGTCATTGCCCTGGCACGACTGAAGGCAAACAAAGCCGGTTACAAGAACAATAAGATTGAATGGGATCAAGTCATCGAAGCGTTCACAGACCCGAAGACCTGGTTTTTGGCTGTGTTTGTTCTGGGTTGCAATATCCCCAATGGGGGCTATACGACGGTGAGTCTTTCATCTTTGTGAGTAGATATGCGCGACTAAAGAGATGATACATAGTTCTCCGGTCTCATCCTCAAGGGCTTCGGATACGACACCGAACATACCCTGTTACTGGGCATGCCCGGAGGATTCATCGTCTTCCTCATCATCCTGATATCGTATGACCTATCCCTATTATTCATTATCCTGACTACAAAGTCCATCCTCTAAAATTATACATTATTACAGCTGCTTCACCTCGACCAAAATCTCCAATAGCCGCTGCATAACCTCCATCATACTCTCTTGCGTCAGGTACACCTCACCCCCTCTCCAACCCCTGCTATCACACTAACCAAAAGCAAAGTATCCTAGGAACCGCCCTCGTCAACAGCACCACCACCATCGCATCCCGCTACATCGGCCTCATTCTCATGAGCCTCTACTCCGTCAGCCTCCCCCTCTCGTTGGCCATGATCAGCGCCAACATCGGCGGCATCACCAAGCGAGCCACCGTCAGCGCCATATACTTTATCATGTATTGCGTGGGGAATATTATCGGGCCGCAGCTGTTCTTTGAGAGTCAGGCGCCGAGGTATCAGGTGTGTTTCCCAATTACTCGTTCTCCAATTGCGTGGCCCTATTGAAAGTATGTGACTGATCTTGTGTTTTATGGTGGATTAGAGTGGATTTATAGCCGTGTTTGTGTGTTTGGCCGTTGTGGTAGTGGATCTTGCGGCGTTTGTTGTGTATTTGAGGTGGGAGAATGCGAGGAGGGATAGGTTGGGAACGGGGATGGGGATGAGGGAGGGAGAGGAGAGGGAGGTGTTGGCTGATGTCACGGATTTGAAGAACCCGGGGTTTAGGTATGTTTATTGATTATGATCGATAGTAGGATTCTCTTGGGGTAGCGTGGACTACTACTTAGTACATGATGAATCATGATGTGGGTTCTATTTCTCTAAATGCAGTCACTGCACTGATTTTGTACAATCAAGTACTACTCCTGATACTTCTGAGAGCAACTGCTCTCTAGACCGAGATCGCAGACGACTAAGCAATTACCTAGTTATTCACAGGGCATCTATCTTTACTACTAGATATAATGGTCAGGTTTACCTTTCAATTACTGTAGAGGGAGATAAATCCTGCTATCGTGCATACAAACATCCAGCATCCAGCAATCATCATTTCATAACAAATACTTCATACTCATTCAATAATTAAACAGCACCATTAGACTAATCCATCGCAAAAACAATCTACTCCTCCGCCTCCACCTGAAAATCCTCTTTGACCCTCCTCGCAAAGTCATCATCCGTCACAATCTGACAGGCCACAACAGCCATCCCCGCCGCACAGGCCAAACAGCGCTGATGCGCCTCAGGGGACCCAGCACCATTGGTGAACCCCGGGGTATGATTGACGCCATCTGTCGGGATGGTGAAGAGGCCATGGAATCCAGGGACGGCGTAGGAGACGTTTCCTATATTTACCACAGTTAATAAATCTGATCTATCAATGAGATAGATATCTAGGTTGCGAGCTGACGTACCCATATCCGTAGACGCCCCGGTAAGTTTACCAGACTGCCCGGCGTTATTCATCACAGTGTGATGACCCATTGCGCGCATAACAGAGACGTAGCTCTCGCAGATGGGATTGTTGGTTTTAAGGTCGTCGTATGAGACGCCCCTAAACCGTCGCATCACAACATTAGTACTATTCCATGAGATTTGAATGAGGGTTCAGATAACTCACCACTCAAACTGCACCCCACAGCCCGTGGCCATCGCCGCCGCCTCAAAACACTTAACCACCTTCTCCGTCAGCGTCTTCAGACCCTTCTTCGTCGGCGACCGAATGTAATAATCCACCGACGCCGACATAGGAATAACATTCGGCCTATCCCCGCCACTAGCCACAACACCATGAATCCTCTGCGTCGGCAGGATCTGCTGCCTCAACAGAGAGATATTCACATACGCCGCGACCACCGCATCCAGAGCATTCACGCCCTCCCACGGCGCTGCGGCCGCATGCGCCGGCTTGCCCGTGAACGTCACGGTGACTTTATCATTCGCTAGAAACCCGCCCGGTAGGACCGTCGCCAAGCTCAGCAGCTCGGGATGGCCCGGGGCCATGGGGATAGGGTGGACCATCAAGCAGGCGTCGACATCCTTGTAGGCACCATTCTCGAGGAGACGGACTTTCCCGCCGCCGGATTCTTCGGCGGGGGTGCCGAGGAGGCGGACGGTGTAGTTAGAGTCAGGGGCTTGGTGTTTGAGGGCCTCGCAGGTGGCGATGAAGGCGGCAATGGAGCTCGTCGCGATGAGGTTGTGGCCGCAGGCGTGGCCGATGTTAGGGAGAGCGTCGTATTCGGCGTTGAAGACGATGTTGCGGCCCCCGGTGCCGTGGGTGTAGGTTACTTCCAAGGCGGTTTCGAGGCCGTAGGCGGAGCGTTGGACGTGGTAGGCTGGGTTGGTGCGTTGGAGGGTTTCGAAGAGCTTGCAGATGTTGTCGTGGGCTTGGTGTTCTGTGTAGGCTAGTTCGGGGGTGGACCAGATCTGGGGCTGTTAGTAAGTATGTCTGTGTTGGGGTGGGTTGGAAAGGGAAGCTTGCCTTCTTGTTGATGTTTTCTAGCTCGGAGGCATGCTTGTGGAGGGCTTCTTCGACGCTCGTGATGAAGCGTTGTTGTGTTGCTTCGAGCTGCATGGTTGTTCGTATTTACTAAGTAAAGGTCTGGCTAGATTGTATCAATCAAGTACCAGAATTGGAAACTGGCATGTACGGCAATTTATAGCTGGATCGTGCATGGTGGAGATGAATCTCCGCATTGATTGCGGAGATCCGAGAGGGGGCTATCAGTATCAGAGCGATAAGCGATAGGAAGGAACCTAATCTACTACTAGACTATCTACTACTGCTTTTGGTACTCTTGAAGCCATCGCGATTGCCGATACCGAGGTCACATGACTGGTGCCGAGCCAGCCAATCGGCGGGCGAGGCTCGGCAGGATGGCGGCTTGAGGGAAAAACGAGCATCGGTTGGCGATTCAATTCTCCGCAGTTCCTCTTTCCCCTCTCCTTTCTATGTCCTCTTGGTTGGTTTGTCTCGGCTCGGTGTCTCTAATGGCCCTGCTTCGACCAGGTTACATGTCAAGTCTGACAGGACATTCCTCCCCGACAGGCACACCGCGAGCAAGTGGAGCAACGGCAAGCACGCGATAGAACCGATAGACGATGCATGGGCTCGGCAGGAGGACTCGGTCCAAGACTGGTAAGGATCCCCACCAGTTCTGTCTTACACAAATTGTCTAGGTTGCTTTTTTTGTCCCAGAACGGTCGGACTTACTGCACCATAGGTTGTCGCACGTGTAGAATTCGCAAGGTCAAATGCGACGAAGAAAAACTATTCGTTCCCGGTCAGGAGGAGCCACAATGCCGGCGTTGCACAGCGGCCCGGATCGTATGTGAGTGGAAGGGCGGCCCCATCCCCCGGGGTCCAGCAAAAAGGCCCGGAAAAGACCCTCGCTCGGTGGAAGCGCAGATGGTCCGTCAGTCTGTTCCGTCTCCTGCACGCTCTTTATCGCCCACCGGGGCTGCTGGGAATAGCATTCAAGCGGCCAATTCCCTTGTTATATCGGACTTTGATCGCTCGTGCTTGAATTATCTTCAGGATTCCGCGCTGGTCGTGATCCTCGGAAAGCATTGGCCATGGTCTACAGTCTCTTATGCATACCACAAAATCGCAGTTAAAGAACCCATGGTCATGAGCATGATGTTGGCGACTACATCTAGTGAGATCAACCGGTCGCGTCTGTACGACCGGGACAAGACGGAGGGACCATGTACTATTGAGAGCCTGTCCGACATGGACAGTAGATTGCACTATGGTCGGGCTCTCTCTGGCCTCCGGGAAGCGCTGAAACCAGACGTCAAGCCCCCGGAGCAGATCGAAGCCATCTTCATCACCTTGTGGATGATGATTGACTATGAGAACCGATTCGGCAGCGGGACTGCTGGAATCAATATTCACATTCGCGGAATCGAGAGTCTACTCTTCAACCACGTCGTCCCATCACTCAAACAAATAGGGCCTCCAGATATCGCAATTGCAGAAGCAAGTTCAAAGACTGCACTATGTCATGTCACAGACGAGGCCCAGGGCACGAGCGCATGTGACAGCCCTGGGCCGCAACAGACTGCCGAATTGTCCAAGAATAGGCTTCGACATACAGCGGTCCCTCTTTTTCTGCTTTGGACTTTGTACTTTTTCACACCGGGCGCTTTGCTCTCTGGCCCAGGCGCTGCAAGGCTCGATGCCGACCTCTTCCGGTTTTTCATGAAAGAGGAAGCAGGAAGTGTGGGATTGAGTCTTTCCGAGCTATACAGGATTGGCAGACAGTCACCGTCTCGATTCTGGGGGGATTCCTACCCCACCACAGCCCAGCTGGATGATATGGAGAATATGCCCGGGCTATCGCTGTATCATCGAAGTCATGTACTGCAATTCAAGATTACGGAGTTATTTCGGCAAGGAAGTCATTCGGTCACGACGGGTCTTGAGATCATTAGTGAACTCAACATGTTATCTGATGTAAGTTCCCGTCTTAGTCCTGCAGATGACCTGTCATTTATCTTCATATGGATGGTGACGGCGACTAATCCGCTGATCAGGAATACGATACCTTGTTGGGTTCCGCCAAGTCTGCGCCCTCGTGTGAAATCGTGGGTGACGGACGTCGCGTGATGGAAACGATCTTTTGGGCAGCCATTACTTACTACGGCACGATCGTGTACTTCCACCTGTGCTTCAAAGACACCCTGGCCAAAGGTATGCAGGGTGCAGGGATGATGACTCTGCATGATGCCGTTTCCCAGGTTCTGGAACTCTCTTTGAAGCTACATCGCAGCAGACCGCACTTGATGGTGCGCATCACGTGGCCTCTCTTCATCGCGGGGATAGCCACATCTGACAGGATCTACCAAGACTGGGTGTCGTTTCGGCTGCGCGAGCTTGGTCGCTATGGGCTCAACTACAGCCGGGTCAGCGCCCGGTTTGACGAGATCATCCAAGGAGGCGATCCCTTTGCGCACGGACGAAGGCCATTGTGCGCGCAGTAGTGCAATTCGGCAAGACGTTGAAGTGAGTTGATAGGATATCTGGATCCCAGTGGTGACGACGATAAGGCCAGGATAGCCCGGGGATCTGCTTGACGTGTGGTTCTAGAAAGTTTCGGGAAGGGGATCCTAGCCAAATCGTGGGGACTTCCCAGACTGCCAACATCTGCTACACTCTAGACGTGCAGCTAGTGGTCGTACATTATCGCGCTCATTCAGGGTCTGCCATGCATAACGACTATGCTTGGTTCTAAAGGTGACATCGTGGTCATGGTGACGACCCTATTCGAACGAGTCAAACGGGCATGGACGGGCTTAGAGTTTGCCAACCATAGCGCTAGTCTTGGCAAAGATATACACGGAAACAAAGGACTATCCATTGCGGTCACTGGCTATCTGCAATGTTGTAGCGGGCTATTCGCTGAAATAAGATGTTTGACAAATCGGGCATCTATACTGATGGTATTCGAACCATGATGCGAGACAGGACGCATGAAAGACATGGTGGCAACGGTTAAGGACCAGGATGTTTCTCCGCCCAGACACTCGATCGGCCTCCATCGCGTCATGCAGGCTGGGTTCGTCGTGGGGTGATGGTGCGACCCAGGCCGGCTCGGGAAAAGGAAGGGTATCTTGGGACGCTGCTAGGGTTGACAGACATATGGGACTACCAAGGAAGCCATGCGTCAGTTCTATGGAACGCAAGTCCGGCCAAGACCGCTACCAGCAGTGTGTCCCCGCATCTCGGCCAAGCGTTGGCGCCACCCAAAGGAGAACAGCCTTACCAGGATTCCTGAGCGTATAGCCGGTCCTCGCAGCTCGCGTGTGTCTGCTCGTCCAGCCATCGATCGACCGATACCTGCCGCATTATGCCGCCATCGGTGAGGTTGCGGAGTTCGCTACTGCGTCTGGCAGTTGCTCGTCGACGATGATGGTACAACACGATACTGACAGGTTAGAGATACGTCTAAACAATGGAGTTCAATCAGCGTGCAGCATCTCCACCAGGCATGCATGCAGCAGTTGAGCTTCCAATAGGGGACACTGGAACACTAGCACTTACAATGGGATCGTACTCAAGGCCGCAAACAACACCACAGCACCAACGATGACACCCACTATTCCGGTGTGGTGCGTATCCCCAGCCATCGGAAGTATACGGAAAAAAACAACAAAGATAAGATCGATAGGTCAACTGCGCTTAGGAGATGACGCGTCGGATAAATCGGCTCGAAGCCAGCGACTCACTCCTCACGACAGCCTCCAAACAGCATCAGCATCAGCATCAGCAGGGGAAAGTTGGTGGGGATGGTCGCATGGGAGGGGGGGATACTGGGAATAGGATCCATTACCGGCGGGGGAATTGGGGCAGGTCTCCGAGGACAGCGACGGCTGCATTTAAAGTTGAGCCAGCGAGTGGCCCTCAGACCCCCGCGCAGCAGCACGCCAAGGCCACCGGACAGACACCCTGGGATGCAGGCCATCCGAGGCGGGCCAATCCTCAGGATTTTTGCCTCAGGAGACGCCAAGTCTCCGCGCTCCGGAACACCTTGGCGTTTCCGCTGGGGCCACTGGGCCGCTGCACCAATCACATCGCTCCGTCTCAGGTCTCGGTGCTCGTACTGGCTCACGTGGCGGAATGCTGTTGTCGTATGCGTCATAATCCCCAAAGAGGCGAGACTCGCCGACTTCGCGCCCAAGGTTGGCGCCAAGGCATCGCTTCCGGGGGTTCTGTGATTGGCGCTTGGCGGGCTGGGCAGTCTGCTCGGCCTTGGGTGTCTATCTTCCATGCCAAGACTGCTTCCCAGGTCCGGCGATAGAGGAAGCAACTTATAAGAAGGAGGAATTCCCCGGAATCATGTCGAGGAGAGAGAGTTTAGAATTTGGAAATAAGAAGCAGAATCAGGATCTAGACCAGTTCAGATCAGATCAATCTAGTGCTTTGCCTCAAGTGTATGGACTCTCATTCCATAGAGGATACAATCTACATGACACCTCCGTGATCTCCTACCTTTCAGTAGAGAAACCCTCAAGCACTGCATACACAGACACACAGACACAAGAAACACACAGATACCCCAATATGGGCACTGAGAAACAGTCTCAGACTGCCTCTACCCCCTCCCACTCCCCTCTCTCCGCCCCCGCCCACACCCTTCCCTATGCCTCCGTCTTGCAAGAGCTTTCTGTCAATTCAGAAGAAGGTCTCAGCACCCAAGAAGCACAATCCCGACTTCAGAAATGGGGGCCCAACGAACTCGAGGGAGACGAAGGCATCTCCCTCGCCAAGATCATCATTCGCCAGGTGGCAAACGCCATGATGCTGGTAAGTTACCCAACTGCTACTACCATTAACTTTGTTCTCGCTAACAAGGTCATTACTACCCAGGTTCTCATCATTGCCATGGCCGTCAGTTTCGGCATTGAATCCTGGATCGAAGGCGGAGTCATCGGGGCCGTTATCGCCCTGAACATCATCGTAGGCGTCTATCAGGACTACGCCGCCGAGAAGACCATGGACTCGCTACGAGGCCTCAGTTCACCCACGGGTGTCGTCACTCGTGACGGCAAGACCGGTACCATTCCCGCCATGGAGATCGTCGTGGGCGATATGGTCGATTTGAAAGTCGGAGATACGGTTCCGGCTGATTTACGGTATGTTCCGCCCATCCCTCCACATATAGAATCCAAAGCTAACGCCACCTAGACTAGTTGAGACAATGAACTTCGAAACAGATGAAGCCCTCCTCACGGGCGAATCCCTTCCCGTCACTAAGTCATCGACTACTACCTTCCCCGCTGACACTGGACCCGGCGATCGTCTCAACATCGCCTACAGCTCCTCTACTGTCACCCGTGGACGTGCACGTGGTGTGGTGATCAGCACCGGCATGAAAACTGAGATCGGTGCGATTGCCGCGGCACTTCGTGAGAATGGAAACCAGCGGCGCCGGCCTGTCCGTCGTGGTCCTGAAGGCGAAACCAAGAAGCGGTGGTATGTGGTGGCCTGGACGTTGACATGCACAGATGCAGTGGGTCGGTTCTTGGGAATCAACGTGGGGACGCCGCTACAGCGGAAACTGAGCAAGCTGGCGCTGCTGTTGTTTGGAATTGCAGTGGTATTCGCAGTGATTGTGATGGGCGCCAACGACATGCGCGATGACAAAGAAGTGATCATCTATGCAGTAGCTACCGGGTTGGCCATGATCCCCGCTTGTCTAGTGGTCGTGTTGACAGTCACTATGGCCATGGGCACGAAGCAGATGGTCGAGAGGAACGTCATTGTACGGAAGATGGATTCCCTCGAGGCGTTGGGCGCCGTGACGAACATCTGCTCCGACAAGACGGGCACCCTCACCCAAGGACGCATGGTGGCCAAGAAGGCCTGGGTGCCGGGGCTGGGTACCGTGTCAGTCGGAGTCTCCCGCGACCCATTGGATCCGAACGACGGCGAGCTCAAGGTCAGCGATGCCATGCCCGGAGAAGGTGAAGGGGAAGGCGACACGAAGACGCCGCAAGAGATAGTGACCGACAGTGCCTTGCTGCAGCGCTATCTGGACGTCGCAGCCATGGCCAACCTGGCCCATGTGCACCGCTCCGAAGAGAACGGACAATGGCAAGCCCGTGGCGAGCCCACCGACATCGCCATCCAGGTCTTCGCGGCACGCTTCGACTGGGGCCGGGAAAGATGGACTACCGGTGACAAGCCCGTCTGGACACAACAGGCCGAGTACCCCTTCGACTCGACCATCAAGAAGATGTCCGTGATCTTCCGCCGGGACGACACAGACGTGATCTTCACCAAGGGTGCCGTGGAACGCGTCCTCGAAGCCTGCACTTCCATCGTCTGGAACACAGACACCTCCGAACCCGTGCCCCTGACCGATGACATCCGCAACACCATCCTACAGAACATGGAAGCGCTGGCTCGCGAAGGACTGCGCGTGCTTGCACTCGCCCACCGCACTAGCTCCTCCACCTTCACCGACGTCCCGCCCCGGGACACTGTCGAACAGGACCTCACCTTCGCCGGACTGATCGGGCTCTACGACCCCCCTCGTCCGGAGACCGCAGGGGCCATCGAAGAATGCCACCGCGCCGGCATCTCCGTGCATATGGTGACGGGCGACTACCCAGGCACCGCCCGAGCCATCGCCGCCCAAGTCGGCATCATCCCCGCCAACGCACAGCTCCTCTCGCGCGACGTGGCCGATAACCTCGTCATGACAGCCAGTCAGTTCGACGCGCTCAGCGAGTCCGAAATCGACGCCCTGCCCACCCTCCCCGCCGTGATTGCGCGCTGTGCCCCGCACACCAAAGTGCGGATGATCGAGGCGTTGCACCGCCGCGGCCGGTACGCCGCGATGACAGGCGACGGCGTGAACGACTCGCCGTCGTTGAAGCGGGCAGACGTGGGAATCGCAATGGGCCAAGCGGGCAGCGACGTGGCGAAAGATGCATCCGAGCTGGTCCTAACAGACGACAACTTCGCAAGTATCATCAACGGTATCGAAGAGGGCCGTCGCATCTTCGACAATATCCAGAAATTCGTCCTGCATCTACTCGCAGAGAACGTAGGCTTAGCGCTCACCCTATTGATCGGCCTGGTATTCAAAGACGAGAATGGCCAGAGTGTGTTCCCTATTGCACCGGTGGAGATCCTCTGGATTATCATGATCACGTCCGGATTGCCTGATATCGGACTGGGAATGGAGATGGCGGCGAGTGATGTGATGGATAGACCGCCGCAGAGTGTACGCCCCCTCCCTCCTCTTTTCTCTATTGCATGTAATACTAACGAAGATATGAAATAGAAAAACGGCATCTTCACCCCCGAAATCATCCTCGACACGCTCGTCTACGGCATCTGGATGGCTGCCCTGTGCCTCAGCGCCTTCACCCTGGTCCTCTTCGCCTGGGGCGACGGCAACCTCGCCACAGAATGCAACAGCAGCTACTCCGATCCCTGCGACACGGTATTCCGCGCCCGCGCCACCACCTTCGTCTGCATGACCTGGTTCGCGCTCCTCCTGGCCTGGGAGATGATGCATTTGCGACGGAGTCTATTCAACATGCACGACTCATCCCCCACCAACAACTCTAAACCTAGAAATAAGTGGACGGGATGGGTCTCCGACATCTACCGCAACAAGTACCTCTTCTGGGGCATCGTGATAGGATTCGTGCTCACCTTTCCCGTGCTGTATATTCCTGTCATTAATGATGTGGTGTTTAAGCATATTGGGATTGGGTGGGAGTGGGGGGTGGTGTTTGTTGAGGCCGGGTTGTTTTTGGGGGGTGTCGAGGGGTGGAAGTGGGTGAAGAGGGTGGTTGTTAGGAGGTATTTGGCGAAGAGGGGGGATGATGGGAGGGGGGCGATCCATGGTGTTGGTGGGAGAAATGGGGTGGATGAGGAGAAGGTCGCTGGGGGATTTAGTCGGTTTACGACGTTGAGTCGGGAGGAGGGGGTTTTGGGGTTGAAGAAGATTTAAATAGACCCTTTCTTTTGTGGTTGGGATGGTGTTTATAGACTATGTTTGATGTGATAGATTATTAGAACGTGATTTGGTTTACCTACGTTGGTACATGTGGTTACGAGTATATAACCTGCGTTTGAAAAGAAACTCGAAATCATTAATTCATATATCGTAGTATGGCTATACTTAATGCCCCAGGTTCTGAGGAGCGACAGTGGCCGGGCCCTCTGGAGTAACATACGCCTATTCCAACCGGTTAGTAGTGATCAAACAGAGTTAACGGGCGTGCATACCTTGGACATTCCACCATCCACAACAAAGTCACTACCATTGACGAAACTGCTCTCGTCACTAGCCAAAAACACCACGGCATGAGCCTGCTCAATAGCCTCTCCGAACCGACCAGTGGGGAAGTGCACCTCCCGCCGGAAGCGCTTGGGCTTGTCGTCACCCAACCAGTCTTGCAGGAGGGGAGTGCTATAATCATGTCAGTAACATACCCACATTGACAGAACACATCACGAGATCCAAGAGGGGATAAACTAACTTCAACGGCGCCGGACACAGCGCATTGAACCGGAATCCCTCTCTCGCATGCACAATAGCCAGTTCACGCGTCAACGCCAACACAGCACCCTTACTAGCCGTGTACGCCAACTGAGGCGTAGCACTTCCCACCAAGGCCACCACACTCGCCGTGTTGATGATGCTGCCCTTGGTCTTCTTGTGACGACGCAGACTCAGCACGGCATGCTTGCATCCGAACCACACACCCTTGACGTTGATGTTCTGCGTCATATCCCAAATCTTCTCGGGGGTATCGACGGCGTCGGCATCGTCGGCGTGCATGATGCCCGCATTGTTGAAGATGACGTCCGTGCCGCCCCAGCTGTCCTGGGACTCAACCATGGCTTGTACGTCGGATTCCTTGGAGACGTCGCATTTGATGGTTTCGACGCGGGGAGCGGTGGGAACGACTTCCTTGACTTTGGCGAGGGCTTTTTCGAGGGCTGGGGCCGAGATGTCGGCCATTAGGATGTTGGCGCCTTCGCGGGCGAAGAGGATGCTGGTTTCGAGGCCGATACCGCTGGGTTGGTTAGCGGGTGGGGAGGGATTGAGAATTGAGATTGGTCTAAATTACCCAGCTGCACCGGTGATGATGGCATTCTTGCCTTGGAGACGACCTCTAGGAGCGGATGCCATGATTCTGGGGTTGGGTTAGCTATGATGGTGGATAGTGGGGATTGGTGCGGGGTAGAGTAGATGGCAGTTGGGTGATGGTGTGGGATTGGCGTACTTTTGGATATTTCTGATATATTTAGAGTATGATCAATTGAGTAGAAAGGCAATTGAAGTAGTACCAGCGAGAACAAGGAGAACACACTGGAAAGATGAGTAGAGAGAGATATGCAAGAGAAGCAGGGATGAAGCAGGAATGCGGGACAGTGGAGCCCGCTTATCTAATGGCGATCCCGATAAGGCAGGCAGCTGTCAGGCACGCAGGCCACCATGCATGCTGCATCTGCTCGTGTGCCGGTTTGAGACTGGTTGAATTGGTATCATTCATGGTAAAATAGACCCTGTATCTGTCGCAATTGGACAAGACAGATGATAAGAACTGCAAGCATCCCAATCATTGTGGCTTCAGTATCAGCCTGGCGGGCCCCGTGACGGCTCCCCAGCTGATAAGCAGCGGTGGCTGACGTACGGCCGTCCTTGCGTCCCACTTGCCTCCTCACCGTCATCCCCCTCATCCCCCAATCCAACTGCTGGACAGTTTTCTCCGCGGGCAGTACTATCCTCGAACTGCTCGTGTCATAATCCGAACACCATCATGTCCTCTGCCACCCCACCTTACGAAGTCACTCTCGAAAACGTTGCTCACGTCCTCCAGCATGACACCCGAGTCAAGCTGGCCGGTGTCGACGTCGATGGCATGCTCCGCGGCAAGCTCGTCTCCAAGAAGAAGTTCCTCTCCATCGTAGCTGATGGATTTGGCTTCTGCTCCGTCATCTTTGGCTGGGACATGCATGATCGCACATACTTCAAAGAATTGACCATCAGTAACAAGGAGAACGGGTACCGCGATCTCGTGGCAGTTCCGGATCTGAGCAGTTTCCGTCGCATTCCATGGGAGAACAATGTGCCATTCTTCCTAGTCAGCTTTCTGGATCCCGATACGAGTGAGCCGGTCTGTGCTTGTCCGCGGGGATTATTAAAGTCCGCCCTGGGGAAGGCGGAGGCCGCGGGGTATCGTGCCATGGCGGGGGGTATGTGTTTCCGCCTTATTTCTTGAGGTCCGCTGACATCGTATCTTCCAGCGGAATATGAGTTCTATCAGTTCCGCGCACCAGGAACACACTCCAACCCTGAGCGCAATGCGTCGGCCACGGCCACCTTTCTCAAGGAGAACCCTGTCGAGTCCCTTCCCCCGCTGACGGAAGGCATGTTCGGGTACAGTCTGACCCGTCCCATCCACAACCAAGACTACTATTATGGGGTATTCGACGCGTGCGAGCAGTTCAATTGTGAAATCGAGGGTTGGCATACGGAGAGCGGTCCCGGTGTATATGAGGCGGTAGGTTGCATTGGGTGACGTTAAGGTCCCTGCTGACAGTAGCAGGCACTACAGTTCGGAGAGGCCAAAGAGATGGCCGACAAAGCTGGTCTTTTCAAGTGAGTGACTTCAAGCTACAGAGGATCAAACTGACCGTGCCAGATACGTCGTCAAGTCGATTGGCACCAAACACGGCATCACACCAACCTTTATGGCCAAGCCACGCGAGGGATTACCCGGTAATAGCGGACACATGCACATCTCACTGGTCTCGAGCGATGGGAAGAATGCGTTCATCCGCGACACGCCCGACCCGAACCCGCCATATCCCGATGTGGCTTATCTCTCCGACCTAGGGCGACATTTCCTTGCCGGGGTCCTTACTGGTCTTCCTGATATTATGCCCATGTTCGCACCCACCGTGAACTCTTACAAGCGACTGGTGGAGAACTTTTGGGCACCCGTTACGGTATCCTGGGGACTGGAGCATCGGGCGGCCTCAATCCGGCTTATCACCCCACCTACCGCGAGCGCAAAGGCAACCCGGCTGGAGGTGCGTGTACCCGGGGCTGATGCAAACCCGCATTTTGTTCTAGCAGCAGTTGTCGCGTTGGGGTGGCGGGGTGTGGAGAAGAAGCTGGAGATTCCGGTTCCGCCCCTGTCCAAAGGCGAGGACATGGGCGGGGCAAGCGATAAGGGGGTCCGATTAGCCAAGTCGCTGCGGGAAGCCACGACGGCGTTCATGCGCAAAGACAGTGTCGCACGGGAGGTCTTTGGCGATGCATTTGTGGAGCATTTTGGGGGCACGCGGGAGCATGAAGTGCGCTTGTGGGAGGAGGCCGTCACGGATTGGTGAGTGGATGGAGGTGGCTGCAGTGATATGATGATACTGACTATTAGCAGGGAGGTCCGACGGTATATTGAGACGGTGTAACCCGGATGGACGGAGCTGCGTGTACAGGCCAGCAGCTGGCAAGATTAGAAGCCCGTGTTACTTTGTTATTTTTGCTTCCCTGTTTTGCCCAGACTGGTCCAGATCGGACGGTACAGATTGGCTGCAGACGAGTCCGTGGCAACCCGAGCTGGAGCTGGGGTCGGGAGAGCAGCGGAAGTTAGAGTTGACAGCGATCACATGCGTTCACATGTGGAAGAGATGACTGGATGTACTTTTGATTTCTGTTTCATAGTAGGTGTGTGGCATGTGCGTAGCGACATGAATGAGCATACATAGAATAGCTGTGACATTTCCATCATGTTCGAGTTTTTTGCAGCCAGGCCTGAGTCACAACAGCAATGATTGAATCAGCTCCACAGTATCACCAAAAAGCACTGTATCACCATCGGGACAAGTCGGTCGAGTGTAGGCGATGGCCGGACCGCAGGAAGCTTTGCCAGGACGGACGGAGGAGAGGAGCAGACAGGGCAGCAGGATGGCGGCGAACCGCGGTTGGGAGGAAGGCTCTCGGGCCTGCGGGGAGTTTAGGAGCTTATCAACATCCTCGGTTGACTGCCTGAGTGGCTACTGAGTTGCAAGATGCAGTCTGCAAGCTGGGCAGCTGCAACAGAGCCAGCAACTACCGACCCACGTCGGGAATCATCTCGAGACCTTCCTGGATAGTTAATATAGTGGCCACTACTGACGAAAGTACTCGAATTGATCGAGTAAGAAGTACTCGGCCTGAACGATAAGCCGCGAGTCGGAATCGGTAGCCGGCGTGCCCCGCCCGTTATCGGCCGAATTGCAGCTGGTTTCCCGCGGAGAAGTCACGTGGACTCATAGCTCTGGAGCAGCCCTCATTTTGGGTTCAATCCAGCTTATCGGGACTCCCCATGGACCGCGGTTACTGAGTGAATGGTGGGACTGACGTAGTCGCTGTGTAGACATATATTCCCTCTATTCCCTCCACCTCTTGTAGCTCAGAGTCGTGCTTGTTGTTCTGGAAAGCTTTCTCCGCTACTTCCTTCTCTTCATCATCTCATCTACTGTACTTCTATCCTGCCGGTCCGGATAGTATCTATACCCCCTCCCCACATATACTTCCCGATAAGATAAAGCATACCACTCCATCATGGTGCAAGTCGACACCCAACTCAAAGACGTCGTCATCCTCGGCAATGTGAGCTCGGAGGCTCGCAAGATCCTCACCAAGGACGCATGTGCCTTCCTCGCCATCCTCCACCGCACCTTCAACCCTACTCGCAAGGCCCTCCTCCAGCGCCGCATCGACCGCCAGGCCGAGATTGACAAGGGTCACCTTCCCGACTTCCTGCCCGAGACAAAGCACATTCGTGAGAACGATGCCTGGAAGGGTGCTCCCCCGGCTCCGGGACTCGTCGACCGCCGTGTGGAAATCACGGGTCCCACAGATCGCAAGATGGTCGTCAACGCGTTGAACTCCGATGTCTGGACATACATGGCTGATTTCGAGGGTAAGTCCCTTTCTATTACCCCAGATTCTCCCCGAAAAGAATAGCATCTAACAACAGACAGATTCCAGCGCCCCCACCTGGGAAAACATGATCAACGGCCAAGTCAACCTCTACGACGCCATCCGCCGCCAGGTCGACTTCACCCAAGGCGGCAAGGAATACAAGCTGCGGACGGACCGCGTGCTCCCCACCCTCATTGCTCGCGCTCGTGGCTGGCACCTCGACGAGAAGCACTTCACTGTCGACGGCACCCCCATCTCCGGCAGTCTGTTTGACTTCGGTCTGTACTTCTACCACAATGCCAAGGAGCTCGTTGCGCGCGGCTTCGGCCCGTACTTCTACCTCCCCAAGATGGAGTCGCATCTGGAGGCGCGTCTATGGAACGACGTCTTCAACCTGGCTCAGGATTACATTGGTATGCCGCGCGGAACGATCCGTGGTACGGTGCTGATCGAGACCATCTCGGCGGCGTTTGAGATGGATGAGATCATCTACGAGTTGCGCGAACACAGCTCCGGATTGAACTGTGGACGCTGGGATTACATCTTCTCCTTCATCAAGAAGTTCCGCAAGCACCCCAACTTTGTGTTGCCGGACCGCTCGGACGTTACTATGACGGTGCCGTTCATGGATGCGTATGTGAAGTTGTTGATTAAGACGTGTCACCGCAGAGGAGTCCATGCTATGGTAGGCCAACCATTCCCCATTATACTTGATGACGATGCTAATAAACTTGTAGGGAGGCATGGCCGCTCAAATTCCCATCAAGAACGACCCCGCCGCCAACGACAAGGCCATGGAGAGCGTGCGCGCCGACAAGCTGCGTGAAGTGCGCGCCGGACACGACGGCACCTGGGTTGCGCACCCTGCGCTGGCCTCCATCGCCTCGGAGATCTTCAACACCTACATGCCCACTCCCAACCAGCTGTTCGTCCGCCGCGAGGACGTTCACATCACCGCCAACGATCTCCTGAACACCAACGTCCCCGGCAAGATCACCGAGGACGGCATCCGCAAGAACCTGAACATCGGCCTGTCCTACATGGAGGGATGGCTCCGCGGTGTGGGCTGCATTCCGATCAACTTCCTGATGGTACGCTCCATCTCTATCCCAAATATCCCAAGAATAACATATACTAATAAAGAAATAGGAGGACGCCGCCACCGCCGAAGTCTCCCGCAGTCAGCTCTGGCAATGGACGCATCACGGCATCACCACCTCGGACGGCAAGAAGGTCGACAAGGCGTACGCCCTGCGTCTCTTGCAAGAGCAGGCGGACAGTCTCGCGGCCAAGGGTCCCCAGGGTAACAAGTTCCAGCTTGCAGCGCGGTATTTTGCCGGCCAGGTGACGGGCGAGGACTATGCCGATTTCCTGACGAGTTTGTTGTATAACGAGATTTCGTCGGCGGGCAAGGCGGAGCCGGCTGCTAAGCTGTAAGCTGAGCAGTTTGC